ATTTTGGAAGTAAAAGTTTGTTACCGCTATTTCTGAGAAAGTACTGGATGGATCTTTCTCAAATTTCATATGCAGTTTCCCCTTGGTCCCTAGTTGTGCATTGTACCTTTTATGGACTGATCTGAAATCAAGATGGCTGACAGGCGGCCATCTTGGATTTTGGAAGTAAAAGTTTATTATCGCTATTTCTTGGAAAGTACTGGATGGATCTTTCTCAAATTTCATATGCAGGTTCCCCTTGGTCCCTAGTTGTGCATTGTACCTTTTTGGACTGATCTGAAATCAAGATGGCTGACAGGCAGCCATCTTGGATTTTGAGAGTAAAATCTTGTTACCGCTATTTCTGAGGAAGTACTAGATGGATACTTCTGATATTTCATAAGTATTGGTTTCCGTTGGTCCCTAGTTGTGCATTGTACTTTTTTTGGACTGATTTGAAATCAAGTTGGCCCACAGGAAGCCATCTTGGATGTCTAGAGTAATACAGCACAAGCATATTTTCTTCTATATTCTATCATATTGATTCAAGACCATATCCATTATCCACCTGTAACTGACTGCTATCTAATAATACTTTGGGATCTTTTGCAAATGATATTTGCTAAAAGGTGCTTAATAAAAATATCTTGAACCATCATTGAGTACAGTCAATGAAGACCAATTCATGAACATTTACAAAACCTGTAACACAAAAAAATAAACAAATCTTCAAGAACTGAAAACAAATCCTCAAATGATGGGCGCCAAGATCCCTCTGGGATCTCTTTTTTAATTATGCTGTTGTAAAGCTCACATGGTGCAAAAGACAGTGGCATAGTGTCCGCCATTCATTTGTCTGTCAACTTTTACTACAAATCATTAGTAACAATTGACAAATTTTGGTCAGAATCATCCATAGGGGAAGGGACTAACATAAATCAATAGAACTGAATGGGACCCCCCAAAGGGAAATTAAAATACCATAAAATCCTTCTTCTGTTGGAATGAGTGAATTTCGTCCAACTTCGGTGTGAATCATCCTGAGGTGAAGGGAACTGTTGTATATATAGTTAGGATGAACCCCTAGGGTCAGAAGGAGGGGAAGATTAATTGGAAAGTAGATATAGGTTGTTAGAATCCTTTCAATATAACCTGGCGCCAGACAACAGGTGACTGATACAAGCCTATCAGCCTGTGGTAAACTAGACTTAAGAGATGATACTGCATGTTCAACATATGCATTTAATGCAAAATTCTTTCCATTGATGTTGTCACTTAAAATTCACAAAAGGAGAATCACATTGAGTATTAACCAGATGAGTAGATATTTACTTTGTATTGATTACATATGACCACAAAAGGACAGTGAGATGTCATTTTCTCCAGGTGAGAAAATATATACTAGATTTCTTACTGCCATTGTTTCTCTTAAAGATTGTAGGCAGAAAAATGATGACGATTATTGCTCCAGGTGAGAAAATATATATACCGGATTTATTTCTCCAGGTGAGAGGTATATATAGTTTTGTTGATGTTTAGATAATTCAGTTTAAATTGAATTTCCTTTTATTTGGGTTTCTTTAAACATTTATTCCAGGTTGTCAAGCGATATGGATTCTGCTGCGTTTGTTGCATTCAATTTTTGAACATTGAAATAAAGCAGTTTTTTTTAACAGGAAACAGTTTTAAAATACTTCAGAAGTGATATATCTAATCGTCTGGTAAAAATGATCAATTAATGTTTTTATTTTCAATTACTTTAATGGTTTAGTACTTTAAATTTGCATGAATCCTATGACATCAAAACGGTAAAGTTAATTTAAGCCAATTTTACACAAAAGCTTACTTTTTGTTGGTCCATTACTGGTATTGGCAAGAATTTGCATGAGAATAGTTTATAACCAGTAGATAGAAATTGCTTTTTGTACGGTGCATCGGAACAGGATATTGGTACTGATGTTTTTTTTTGTTTTTTGTTTTTTTTTTTTGCAATAAAAAGTTCAGACAATTCCCTGTGTTCTAGTGACATGTGTATCTGTACAGAGGACTAACATAATTATATGGAAAGCTGGTGCACAATGTGATTGGCTAATAGCTGATATATTCAATGCCAAATGTTAATTGCTGACTGTTTAATGTTGGATGTTTCTTGTAAGTATGGTACAACCTCTCCCTCACCATCTTTGAAGATAACTTATATAGTTGAGGAAAATAAACCCTTGTGTCCATGCTATATATGCTGCTCGCATATAATGTGGACTTTGAAGAAACCTTGTGATTCAGAACTAAACCAGGCCAGGAGTCAACTAAGGTCATTTCCACAAGCATCTTTACATCCTTTAGAAATCTTGTAAAGGTCTAACTACGGACTGAATGGTTGAGATAAATATTAAATACTATTCTGGTAAAGCCGGTCACACAGTGATGTGATGTACTCCAGTAACAACTAACGTTTACAAGTACAGGAAATCCACTGTTCTGGAGTAACAAGTCTCCACTGTTTCATGAATAGTGAGCCAACTATCAGTTGGGGTGATGTACGAGGTTTACAGTAACAAGTCACAGAGGTGTTCGATACAGAACGTTTGTATAGCAACATAGGAAAACTATAGCAGTTGTGTTACTTCTATGTTAACATGTCACAATTATAGAGGTCACTAATACACGTGTCAGTTGTAACAAGTCACAATTATAGAGGTCACTAATACACATGTCAATTGTAAGAAGTCACAGTTATAGAGGTCACTAATGCACGTGTCAATTGTAACAAGTCACAATTATAGAGGTCACTAATACATGTGTCAGTTGTAACAAGTCCCTATTATAGAGGTCACTAATACACGCGTCAGTTGTCAAGTCACAATTATAGAGGTCAATAATACACGTGTCAATTGTAACAAGTCACAATTATAGAGGTCACTAATACATGTGTCAGTTGTAACAAGTCACAATTATAGAGGTCACTAATACACGTATCAATTGTTACAAGTCACAATTATAGAGGTCACTAATAAACGTGTCAATTGTAACAAGTCACAATTATAGAGGTCACTAATACACATGTCAGTTGTTACAAGTCACAATTATAGAGGTCACTAATACATGTGTCAGTTGTAACAAGTCACAATTATAGAGGTCACTAATACACGTGTCAATTGTTACAAGTCACAATTATAGAGGTCACTAATACATGTGTCAGTTGTAACACATCACAATTATAGAGGTCCCTAATACACATGTCAGTTGTAACACATCACAATTATAGAGGTCACTAATATATGTGTCAGTTGTAACAAGTCACAATTATAGAGGTATCTTATACACATGTCAATTGTAACAAGTCACAATTATAGAGGTCACTAATACACATGTCAGTTGTTACAAGTCACAATTATAGAGGTCACTAATACACGTGTCAATTGTAACAAGTCACAATTATAGAGGTCACTAATATATGTGTCAGTTGTAACAAGTCACAATTATAGAGGTATCTTATACACATGTCAATTGTAACAAGTCACAATTATAGAGGTCACTAATACACATGTCAGTTGTTACAAGTCACAATTATAGAGGTCACTAATACATGTGTCAGTTGTAACAAGTCACAATTATAGAGGTCACTAATACACGTGTCAATTGTAACAAGTCACAATTATAGAGGTCACTAATACATGTGTCAGTTGTAACAAGTCCCTATTATAGAGGTCACTAATACACGAGTTGTCAAGTCACAATTATAGAGGTCAATAATACACGTGTCAATTGTAACAAGTCACAATTATAGAGGTCACTAATACATGTGTCAATTGTAACAAGTCATAATTATAGAGGTCACTAATACACGCGTTAGTTGTCAAGTCACAATTATAGAGGTCAATAATACACGTGTCAATTGTAACAAGTCACAATTATAGAGGTCACTAATACACGTGTCAGTTGTAACACATCACAATTATAGAGGTCACTAATACATGTGTCAGTTTTAACAAGTCACAATTATAGAGGTCACTAATACACGTGTCAGTTGTAACAAGTCACAATTATAGAGGTCACTAATATATGTGTCAGTTGTAACACATCACAATTATAGAGGTCACTAATATATGTGTCAGTTGTAACAAGTCACAATTATAGAGGTCACTAATACATGTGTCAGTTGTAACAAGTCACAATTATAGAGGTCACTAATACACATGTCAATTGTAACAAGTCACAATTATAGAGGTCACTAATACATGTGTCAGTTGTAACAAGTCACAATTATAGAGGTCACTAATACACATGTCAATTGTAACAAGTCACAATTATAGAGGTCACTAATATATGTGTCAGTTGTAACAAGTCACAATTATAGAGGTCACTAATACACATGTCAATTGTAACACATCACAATTATAGAGGTCACTAATACACATGTCAGTTGTAACAAGTTACAATTATAGAGGGCACTTATACACATGTCAATTGTAACAAGTCACAATTATAGAGGTCACTAATATATGTGTCAGTTGTAACAAGTCACAATTATAGAGGTCACTTATACACATGTCAATTGTAACAAGTCACAATTATAGAGGTCACTAATATATGTGTCAGTTGTAACAAGTCACAATTATAGAGGTCACTTATACACATGTCAATTGTAACAAGTCACAATTATAGAGGTCACTAATATATGTGTCAGTTGTAACAAGTCACAATTATAGAGGTCACTAATACACATGTCAATTGTAACAAGTCACAATTATAGAGGTCACTAATACACGTGTCAATTGTAACAAGTCACAACTGAGGTTGCTGCGATACACATCAGTTCTATTGTAACAAAGCAAAACTATAGAGGTTGGTGTGATAATGAACATTTTTTTGTGGAAATGAGTTGTAACTGCCAAGGTCACCGATTCACGTTTCCATAGTAGCAAGACAACTACAGAGGTCAATGTGATTGATATACGTTTCTATAGTAACAAGTATATACCGTAGAAATAAGCCAGAAACCAGTTAATAGATTGGTAATTGTTAAATTTATTTTATCGATGTTTTACATCATCAATATATAAACATCCTCATTACATAATATATACACAATTGTTGGCATTCAATCCATCCATTCAATCCAACTTCCAGTCACCAATAAACAAACACAGACAGCTACGTACCACACATATATTGTACTTTAAAACAATCTGCTGATTTTCATGTACACACACTCACTAATTAAAAAGACACTTGCTGACTTAAGTGTACATTTACAAATTATAAACAAGTATACTTTCTCTAGTTACCTACGGCAACAAGATATGGAAAACAAAGATCACCATTAAAATACCAGAAACACATCATTTGCAACAATTTCTCAAAAATCAACCTACTGTGGTAATTTTAACAAAGAACAGCATACATATCTAATATTTGAGAAAATCAACATCACATGTTAAAAAATGACATTATCTCGGCTATGGCTCAGAGTATAAGTGATGTTTAAAAAATGTTTACGATCAGCAAAACGTTTCTGTACTTGTGCATTTACAGAAATGGAATTGAAACTATCTTGAACTTGGCAAATTTACATAGCAAATTAATTAAGTGTTCAAATTACTTTGGACTTGAGTGAGGTACAATGAACTCATTGGTAAACATTTATGTACATATGTAATACAAACATATGAGAAACATGTGATGAAGACTGCAAGTAAAAGTAAGTATAAAATGAAAGTAGATAGATCATATCAGCATGTCACAAATGATTTTTCAGTGACGGGAGTTACAGAAAATAAAAGTAGCTTCTATATGAATTTATGAATCGTACTTCACATTGCTACAGTGATTGCTTAGACTGTCATTCTTTTAATAATGATGATATAATTTCATAGTACTAAAGACAGCCCGGTCAATCTATTGGCAATAACATTCAATTTAGTAAAATTGGACTGGGCTTAGTCAACCTGACCCCATGTGTCATCATCGAGACGTATTTAAGTAGATTTTTCTTACAACACTGACTGATTGCCATGAACACCTATAATAAACAGTATAATTATAAACTTATCAAGTATGACGAAAAAAAATCCTTTTACACCAATCTACTGTCTGACAATGTACCAGAGATCCACAACTGTCAAAATGAGGCAAGCTTCAGAAAATCTATTTAAATCATTTCATACAATTGAAGCCCTTGTTATAACCTGTCTCAAATATAACCATTTTTGACACCAGTTGAATAAATTCTAGTTACTGAAATTCAAATCAACAAAGTCATTTAATAAACAACTAAAAAAGCTTCACAGTACAATATGAAGCAGTACATGAGTCATGGAATTGGTGGGTAATTTACCAACATCAAGTTGAGCTGCCGAGACATGACCTCTTGTTTACGATTAAAAACATTCTGTACAAGTTGGCGTCTTCCAAAACTAGTCTCATAGCTTTGTGGGGATTGCCATTTGTGTTTATGGACAAGAGCAGCTGACTACCATTGCAGGTAGCCAAGACAGGTGAACATATTGACCGGTATACTTTGAATTGCACAGTCCCGTATTCCTGGTGTAAATATACATGAAATATAACTGTATCACTAACGTACACCACATATACAGCTTCCAGCACCAACACGAGGAAGAGGGCTGGTAAGCAGAAAGTGGTTTGGAAAATAAGTCTTGTAACCTATCACATAACCAGAAGTAACCAACATCTATTCTGATTTTAAAGCTGATAACAATTATTACAGACAACCTGGATATAGAGGCAGAGTGTCCTGTATCCAGGATACACATTTGGGACATTCAATTAGAGGTATATTATGTCTTTGGACCTACAGCAACACCACTCTCAAACAACACAAGCAACCGGTCCCACAGCACTTTAAAGCACTATCATTACCACATTGTAAGAACTTGATATACATTTTTGTGTATAAAGTTTTGAATATTAAAACATAAATGATTTGAAATGGATTTACTAGACTTCACTTTAAAAAACATCATGCCGCTGGTTGTTCAAAGGCTGATTAGAGATAACCAGTGGTTAGTAAAAAATCTCTGAGACAAATTAAAAAAATTTGGGAACATTCTTAATGATGCTACAGCAGTAGGTTTATTGAGACAGGTCAGATTAATACATGTACATTTTAAGTGTGAATTTTGCCTAAAACTCTCTTGGGTTTTTGAATGGTAACAATTAGAATTTTACACTAACCACTGGTTAACTGTAACTTTTGAGCAAATTGGGCCAGGTAGTCTTTCTCCCCTGTATCATCAACATACATACATCAATCTATAATAAAAAGAAGTCTTCATTTGGTCGTTAAAAGTCCAACATTCATTCTAAATCAACTAAACACTGGTACCTTACGTTGTTTAAATTTCTATCAATCTTATAATTTTCTGTTTGTTCCTCAGTAAGACAATGTTTTAATGTTTTAAAGAGTCTGACAAGTTTATCAGCTAAAGTTATTTGACGGAATCTCAACAAAATTACATATATTTTTGTCTTTCTTTCATTCAAATTATCAAAAAATTATTGCAAGGACAATGGAAGTCTACAAGCATGTTATCAACAGTATAAGACTTATGAGTTACCTGATCTTAAAAGGGTGGGATATGGGTTGGCATTCCTAGAAATCTAGAAATATTAAAATATAAGGGTGGGATGTTAAAAAAATCTGTAGTTTTCTTCATCCATTTAATTTGAGGACACCTAAACTTATTTGAAATCTGATCAGAAAAAGCAATCACAGGCAGAAGAGAACATCATTTAAAATAAGCAACATGTACACAAAAAAGTACATAAATATGTACTGGCAAAAGTAAAGTATCACAAGATTTCCGTTAATCAGCCGAAGGGTCTCCCTCGAGACTCCATGCTCTCAACACCGGAATGTTACACAGATCTATTGTTAAACAATAAATTAACACTACCTTGTCCATTATAATGCATACAATTTTAAATTAGCTGTGACATCAATTTCAATTAGACTTTCATATTGTATGACAAAAAAATTCATCAAAACACTTAGGGATATCAATTTTCATCATTGTGACAACAGTAAATCGACTTCTTACATCAAGCAGTAACGAAAATCTTTATGAATTTGTGATAACATAATTATTCAATAGTTACTTGGACACAGATATGATATTTACTGAATGATTCTTTACAAAGAAGACCAGCTTCCTATGTCTCAAACCTGATATGCATTGTTCCATTCCTGTTTGAAATGCTTCACCCTGGTGTGACGATGTGTGATGGTGACAACTGATTGTTTTTTCCCTCTTTCCATTTATACTCAGCACATAGTAAACAGAGCACAACTAACATCAAAAATAATTTAGAATCAATGAAATACAAGCTGAACATAAAAAGCAGTCAGTATTTTTCGTATCAATACAAAAGGTAGAAATAAAATATATGTACATTTTTTATATGTTATTACACTTAGCAGATTATAATTTTGAGCAGTTTTATATGACACAACTTCAGTGATTAATGGTTAAGAAGATTGTAAGTCTACTCGTGTTGATTAAACAAAATGACTTGTATCCAGAACTATCTCAGCTGCTAACCAAGGCTGGAACAAACTAGGTACTGTAGACAGAATGTACTAGATTTACCCTGGAACAGACTAGATACCGTAGACAGGTTGTACTAGATGTACCCGGGAACAGAACTAGGTACTGTAGACAGGTTGTACTAGATGTACCCTGGAACAGACTAGGTACTGTAGACAGGTTGTACTAGATGTACCCTGGAACAGACTAGGTACTGTAGACAGGATGTACTATATGTACCCTGGAACAGACTAGGTACTGTAGACAGGTTGTACTAGATGTACCCTGGAACAGACTAGATACTGTAGACAGATTGTACTAGATGTACCCTGGAACAGACTAGGTACTGTAGACAGGTTGTACTAGATGTACCCTGGAACAGACTAGGTACTGTAGACAGGTTGTACTAGATGTACCCTGGAACAGACTAGGTACTGTAGACAGGTTGTACTAGATGTACCCTGGAACAGACTAGGTACTGTAGACAGGTTGTACTAGATGTACCCTGGAACAGATGATATACAGTTGACAGGTTGTACTAGATGTACCCTGGAACAGACTAGGTACTGTAGACAGGTTGTACTAGATGTACCCTGGAACAGATGATATAAAGTTGACAGGTACTATAAGGATATGTATTATCCCAGTACTAGTTTTCTGAGGAGATATAGACAAATGAGGGCTCAGTTATTGTTAGGATCTGACTGGATACATGTGTTTTTGTCCTTTCAGAAATGTCTAAGGATGCTCTATAACATTCTGTTCATAGAATGAAGCGTTTCACACTCATACCCACCATATATCATCATATCCCATTGACCTTTGACCCTCTGAAAGTCAGCCATGCCGAAACTGAGGTAAACCACGAGTAAAATCTTCCCAACAAATCACAGATAAACAGATAAGTCTAATGAATCTCGGTAACCTCTCCATTCTTCAAAATCCTCACAAACTGAACTTGCCAGGATGTACCGCCTGAGGTAAGATTACAATGCTTTGTTCCTGCTATGTCACTGCCGCAGACTACCAGAGATGAGAAACAAGATTCAAACAATACTAATGTGTGGGATACTGACAGCCTGTTTTCATGATGCAACACACTGTAGTTACTGAGGATACTGTACTCAGTTGGATGTCTGGGATACACAACTATGTCGACAGACTGACGACCATAACTCTTCAAGTAGGAAGTTGATATGTTGTTACATTTCTCACCCGATCTTTTAACATGTGTCTCTACACAATGTATTTTTAATCTTTTGGCCATGTATCCATGGATAATTTCACACTTTGATCTACAAAGATGCATGTGACAGTATTTTATCAATGTTGCTGTCCTTATAATAGAATGATGATGGTAGGACGTTCATACTACAACATCAACATGTGACAACGTTATTGTACAAATAATGTCACACGACGTAACTGTGTCATACCCATGATGACCTGGCCTCATGTCATACTTCTGCCCCTAGATCCAACACTCCTGCCTCAGCAATAGGTACATACTTGTCCGAGATCTGCACTAACAATATCACTTTGTCCACGTGTGAACGCTTAATTGTTTCTCTGTGACAAGGTTCCCATCGATGTACAACAGTACCCTCCATACCCACGGCCGGACACCAAGAAGCCCAGCCCGATTTTCCACCACTCTGCTTCCAGTCTTCATTCGGCCACTGAACATCTATACGACGGCCAAGGTTAATGGTGGGGAAGACTTTTGTGGTGTCAGTGATCTGTAAAAGAACAATGATGTGCAACAAAATACATGTGAAGAACTAGTGTTGTTCCGATTAATCGATTTAATCGAGTATCACTTGTTTGAGATGTTTGATCAATTAATCGAGTAAGAAATCTGTAATTGATCATAGTGATGTATGAAAATAGATTATTTCAACATTAATAAAATTATTTTTAAAAAAACGACATTTGTTTATATTAAAAAGTATTCCATGCAATAAACGAATAACAAGCACACAAAATGATGGTGTAGGTACAACAGTTTTAGTAATTACGTGAATTGCTGTTAAAACATAACACAAAATACGTATTTAGACTTTTAATCGATCATCGATCAGTTACACAAAGTTGATGATCGATCAGGAAATTTCAACCGATTCCCAACACTGTAAAGAACTGTGCCATATGAAATTTTGTCTCCAACTATTACACTTCCTTAAACTTTTTTTAACTTTCAACTTCTGTTTTAAACAATTACAGAACAAGTTTAAACGTTAATTAAAATGTACTATAGTTTTCATATCTGATGAAACTAAACAAAATCCACAATAATATTATATCTTTTGAGTTTGGTCAGAGAATCAAATGTGAACGTCTTGATGAAAGGAAGGTCAGTTATCCTTTGTATTATATGAAGGAATAATATTTTAGTTGATTTATAAAGCAGCAGAAATCCTTGTATAAAATGTTAACATCAGTATACTAACCTAATACTAATGCATTAGAAAAGGATCGTTGAAGTTTTATAGAACTATTTCCAAAAGATAATATATAATTAATCTGGTATAGCATATTTAATCCATAAGCATGAAAAAGAAGACTTTTCTCAAACTTAATTACATACCCGCACTTTTTGTGGTAGAGGGTCTTTGCTCCCTGTAGTTTCACTGATAAATCCTGCTAAAGTAATGAGAGCACTGGGTTTACTGGCAGAGCTTGCTGTAGAGACCAAACTCCCACGGTTTCCCAGAGTCTGCAGGGCAAGCTCTTGATTTGTAGGAGTAGAGGTAGAGCAATTGGAGCGAGAGTTTGGACCTGAAAAGGATGCCATCAAACAATTTAATCTAGTGTGAGTTTGGAACTGAAATGATGCCATCAAACAATTTAATCTAGTGTGAGTTTGGACCTGAAATGATGCCATCAAACAATTTAATCTAGTGTGAGTTTGGACCTGAAATGATGCCATCAAACAATTTAATCTAGTGTGAGTTTGGACTGAAATGATGCCATCAAACAATTTAATCTAGTGTGAGTTTGGACCTGAAATGATGCCATCAAACAATTTAATCTAGTGTGAGTTTGGACCTGAAATGATGCCATCAAACAATTTAATCTAGTGTGAGTTTGGACCTGAAATGATGCCATCAAACAATTTAATCTAGTGTGAGTGGTTTCCCAGACCTGAAATGATGCCATCAAACAATTTAATCTAGTGTGAGTTTGGACCTGAAATGATGCCATCAAACAATTTAATCTAGTGTGAGTTTGGACCTGAAATGATGCCATCAAACAATTTAATCTAGTGTGAGTTTGGACCTGAAATGATGCCATCAAACAATTTAATCTAGTGAGAGTTTGGACCTAAAATGATCAAACAATTTAATCTAGTGTGAGTTTGGACCTGAAATGATGCCATCAAACAATTTAATCTAGTGTGAGTTTGGACCTAAAATGATGCCATCAAACAATTTAATCTAGTGTGAGTTTGGACCTGAAATGATGCCATCAAACAATTTAATCTAGTGTGAGTTTGAACCTGAAATGATGTCACTAGACTGTAAAATTCATGCAAATAAGTATCTGAAAGTCAGAATGATGTTTTATCATAATTGTTTAAAGGCTTCGGTATGTTAGGATGTGTTATGTCTATCAACAGTTTTGATAAAGACTGGCTTGTTTGTTAGCAGCATTCCTGGGAAACATTCAAAAATACATAATTAACATTTAAAAAAGACAACAATTAAATCTAGTGTGAGTAGAAGTTTTGGTATGGTAGCTTGTATAAATACTATTCTCTGATTATCAGGGTAGATAAAATGTGTTAGATGTTCTGTCTGTAACATTTCCTCTTCATCAGAGACAGAAATGCAGAAAACCTATTCTCGAAAGTAAATAATAATTAAATACCAGATGGTGCAGTTGTTTCTGAACTTTTCTGGTTATTCAGTACTTTCTGACACTTGAGGATGTCAAATGGAGACATGTTCATAAAGGGTACTTACCAATACTGCCAAGGGCTGTTGCAGCTCCTGCAGGGGAACAGCTGAGCGAGTATGGTAGATCTTCCGAGTATCCAGAGCTGCTGCCAGCACAGGTAGCTCCACATCGCCGACGCATTCTGCATTAAACACCAAATTGTATTGATTTCTAAAGTATAAACTGGATACTAGACTTAATGTCACACATCCCTCCAGCACAGATCTTACTTGAAAGATCTGTAATAACTCTTTGAACTCCTTATAAACAGTAACAATCTTGAATACTTAATGACAGATTTTAATACATGGAAAATACTGCATTGGATTAATTCAACTTTCTGTTTTAATTGCAGTACATGACATTTCCTATGAATTTGGTGAGAATGACATATGAATATCAAGCGTATGAGAGTAATCATGTCTGAGAATATATCAACTGAAACAAATTTGTCATTGCTACAAAACAGATGAAGCCATACATGCTGCTATCAACTTCACATGTTACCAAAGAAAATCAAAAGCCCTGATGTTATTTTACTCACATGCGAGTGTAAGTGTTTGAAAGTGATCAAATGCTAGAATTCTGACCTTTCAATACCCTGATTAGTAAACAAACTATCGATGATAGCACCCTCACAGCCAAAGTAGAGATTGAATGCCTGACATATGTTAAGCTGTTCATGGCTCGACAAGTGACTGGTTGCAATTATGGGGCAAATTACCTTAAAACTGTCAAAGATGGTCATTATACAGGAAAGCAAGATGGTCGGTTACCCAGGTGACCAATACAAAGACATAGAGACAAGAGTACCATGCGGATACACAATATACATCTGTTCCATGCCAAAGTAATATTCAGCACTTATTGTATCGAAAAGAATACAAATATGGCAATGGTGATGATACGTAAAAAAATGACACGAGGGAAAACAGTGTTGTATATTCTAATGGTAAAGCATACCAAGTTTTAAAGAGATGGGTGGCAAACTGAAAAAATCTCTGGACAAGATTAAAATACTGAAAAGAACAAAGGGAAATAACAGACTTAAATACTTTTCAATCGAAATGTTATTCACCAAAACACAACTGCATATTGTTGTTATCAAGCCTACCAAGTTCCACATTGACACACAGGAAAAACTTCATGTCAAGGTGATTAAGTCTACCAAATTTAAAAAAGATTTGTTGAAAACTGTGAGAGGAGATCTCCAGGCAAATAGAAGTTCATGACAGATGGAAGGAAAATGCCATTCCATAACGCATCCTATAGAAGAAATAACTGGAATTTAGGAAAGTGTCTATCCTAGCAGCGTGGCCTCAATTTTCAGGTGGTTGTTCAGTGAATTCTCACTTTATATAGATAAATTGGTGTCCTAAGATCATTATACTCACTTTTTCCACAAGTTTTGGAAGAAGCTTTTGACATTAGCGAGGATAAACTCTCCACCTATGATGGATGCAAGTGGTGTGTTTGTGGAGGAATATGAAGTTGTCAAAGGGGAAACATAGATAGGATAGCCAATGGGCTGGTCACAGGAAGAGTTGATCATGTTACGCAATGCTTGTTTAGCATTCTGAATGCTGCCTCGTTCTGGATTTCTGTTTCGTAAGAAGATGAGTTCTTGTTGCTGGCCAGCCCACAGACCACGAACACACTCCCGGTTGACCTGGAAAATAAGTGTGCCAACAAGAACATATACAGAGTGTTAGAATATTTCAGTCTGTTGCTGACGCAGCCTTATTAACATTAATCTAACTCACAAAAGTAATTCCTACTAACTGCAGTATCATTGATGTAATACCTTTAATTGATCTCTATCCGTTAATCTCGATATAAAATTTATGACACACTCATGAACATTCCTGAGAAGTATTCTATAGTATAAGAAGCATTGTTATTCCAGTATATGAAATTACATGTCTCACCTTTACCACCCTGAAGGTGAGGTATTTCTTGTTGAGCATGATGACCTTGTATTCATCTAGTCCTTCATCGAACACATGTCTGTAAGCAACATATAAATGTATTAACAAGACTAGACGAATATTGCTCTGCTTTCATAAGGTAAAACATTTGACAGCCTGTTGATCATTGATATATGACATGTAAGACATTCCCATACCTGAAAGCCAGCAGTGAAGGCATGTTGGAGAGAACAGCATTCCTCCACTTTGGATCGGCCTCATGACAGATGACTAGGTTTTGTTCATAGTTACTGATGGCAGAGTACAATGTTGGTTTGTCTTCATACTCATCCGTGAACAGGAAGTAGTCCTTTAATAGTTAAAAAAAAACACTGTGAAAACATGACATCTTAACACAGGAAGGAGTCTGATAAAGACTTCAGTAGTCAAATAAAAAAAACCTTAAAACAGTATGTAAAAAGTACACAACACTTTTAATCAGCAAGATCAAACAGCACATTAAAACAAGAAGTAGAACAGTCACACCACTAAAAAAATTCAAATCATTCGGGCTCTAAAGAGGAACCAATAAAAAGAGGTTAAACATATATCTCAAAGAAGTTAAACTTTGACCGAGAAACAATTATGACCTTACCTGGTGTAGTTTTAGGGCCATCCTTATAGCAGGGGCAACAACTCTCCTTAACAGCTCCATATCAGCAAACACCCACTCATCACGGGGTGATGTGATACGGAAGTCACCCTTGAACAGTGCATGTAACCCATGCAGGAAAAAGTCCATACTACAAAACAAGAGAATTAAATATGTCAGACATTAAAACCACTCTACAGTCTAAGGAATATTTTTCATAAGGTTGCTGTCATTTTATCATCATGACTTACTACAAGTAATTTAAAAACCAAATAATTTCATTTAGTTTGTTACAGACCATTTAATAATCTATACTTGTAGTTTTTAATTCTAGAAACAGGAACTGTTTATATATACAAACTCAAATTATTTCCTCGAAAATAAAAGAAAAAAAGAAAGAAAATAAAGTGCATATCAATACCAAGTTTTTTTGTTTTTTTTTTTATCGAAGAAAAGCAGTTATTACAGATGATACTTATACTCTACATCACTTCTATCTATTGTCTGCTGATATTTTTAGTAGACGAAGGGGAGCTCTTGATTGCCCTTGGCAGGCACCAACTTCTTCAGTATTTTAATGATAATCTTTTAGTAGCCATGCAGTGTTTGGAAAGGTATTCTGTGATCACATAGCTGAGTGAATGACTCACCTGGATGAAGCTGTGTTGTGTGTTGCAGTTCCCAGCGCCCGTCTGCCCAGCAGACTTAAGGCGAAACACAGCGACACCAACATGGAGTCTTTGGCAGTGTCCAGAGACTACCGAACAAAGAACAAGACATACAAAATGCAATATACATGTATATAATCATTTTAATAGTCAAAATACTTTTCTTCTTAAAAAATCCTGACTAGACAGTATAAGTATCAGTGTTTAAGCAATTTCTATAGTAATCGTGACCTTGAAACACAAACTAGAGAGATGATATTGATTCAGGTTGGGATAGGATGGGATGGGATGGGATGGGATAGTATTAGACAGGACATAATGGAAATTGGCAACACAAGATGCCCCTAAAACATGACAGGGGCACAACATCATCAACACACCAATTATCTTTGGATTTTACACTATAAATTCTGTGTACCTTATCCCTGCGGCTGACACAGTAGTTGATCCAGTCAAGATAGGTGCTACAAAACTTTTCTCTGGAAATGCCCTTGAGTTTAGGGTCATAATCTTCGTCAATGAGAAGGACAAAAGTTGGGTCCACATCCACATATTTATCATCTGTTGTCGACCTCATTGCATCCACAAGAGCCTCCATCTGTAGCCATGTTTCAAGGCGTGGTGAACGCACCATGTAGTATATAATGCTCTGTAATGTAAGATTGACATTTTTCTACATTCTACAAGTGATGACGTACTTTAAAAAGATATGAAATTAAAATATTCTTTATTTTTTTTAAAGCACATTTTAATATTTCTGTTTTCAATGACCTTCTAACAAAATTTTTTTATCTTAATTCAACATTTCTGAATGTCTATCACAATTGTTTTATTTCAAAGAACTTTTGAGTACTGAAAGTCCATAATGTATAATTTTGATCAATTTCCCAATTTTGTCAACTATGTGAAACTATTTTTCCTTCTAATAATGGTCTTCTCTGTGCCCTTTAAGTAACAGTAGACTAATTTTGTAACTAACCATAATATAGTAAGAGATGAGCATTTTGCGTGTGTCGTAGCCCTGGGCCATGGATGCAGCACTGATGTCTGAAATGCTGTAGCCCTCTAGGACATACTTGGTAACAACCACTTCCCATGCCAGCCATCGCTGCTGGAAGGCAGCATTCAGTGACAGAAAATGAGGTAGATGGCCTGGCTCGCAACAACAAAAGCCTGAAACACAATACACATTGTCAAATGTATTACATATATTGTATCAAGTTTTCTCCAGACAACTCTCGTCTGATTTCAACAGAACATTCCTTCTGTGTCATGTCTATTGAGGAAATTCTTAATTCCCTCTGTCCACTTGTTGTCAGTGTCTGCCTCAGTGGTCTGTTGGTTACAACCACGCTGTCACACCTGTAATCAGTCTTGTCTATTTTGTACACGTTATCAATAAAACCTAGTACAACTTTCCATGCCGCTTAGATAATTTTTTAAGATTATTCGAGTTTGTCCTCCCCATCAGTGTAGTAAATACAACGGCTATCACCGAGTTATCCCCCCCCTGTGTATGATATCTTACCTTCATTATCCTCCACTCCCTCTGTGATAGCTTCCACTTCTCTCTGCTGACAATAAGTTCCTGTAACCATATAAGATCCCATACTTAAAAATATAGTACATACACATACCATAACAACAAACCAAACAACGTTTCCCATATCTTAACATATCCTCATTAAATTGGTATATACATACACTACTGAAATTGTTGTTAACTTGGTACATATATGAAGTATTAAAATCCTCATTGACTTGGTACAAACATACACTATTAAAATATTCAATGACTTGGTACAAACATACACTATTAAAATCCTCATTGACTTGGTACAAACATATACTATTAAAATCCTCATTGACTTGGTACAAACATATACTATTAAAATCCTCATTGACTTGGTACAAACATATACTATTAAAATCCTCATTGACTTGGTACAAACATATACTATTAAAATCCTCATTGACTTGGTACAAACATACACTATTAAAATCCTCATTGACTTGGTACATACACATGTTATGAGAACTCTCAAAGGAATAATTTAAAACAAGTTTCACATGAAATGGAAACTAGTGAAAGATTCCATTTATCACAATCACACTTTTACAATCATTTGCTGAAAAGCCATTAATCAGACCACCAAAAAATCTGAATTAGCAATATTTTCATCCTTTTTCTCTTCCTTTGATGACATCACAATGGATTAACCACCATGAAGTTATCATGTTACAATTGAATTAACAATGGGAACCTTCAACTAATCACAGCTCTGCTAGGTCATATTACACATGTAGTAACAATGGAGGACGTTACTGTCTTAAAACTAAGTGATTAACAGGTATTTAAATACAGTGATACCTGAAACAACATTCCTCAAGATAAATAGCACTGATTAGTCCTGAAGAAAAGTACAATCTGCCTTACCCCTGAACTCTAACCCTCTCAGCTGAAAGGTGACAAGCCCATTGCCCATCTCTATGATATGGACAAGTGCATTGAGGTAGTCAGATGCCATGATGAAACAGTCTCCCTGCTCTGCATTTCCCCAGCGTCCCATCATCAGGTCACCACACAGACTGTGCTGTAGTGACCGTGTCAGGTGCTCGTAGAAAATGGAATTAAGATTGTTATCATCAGCACCTATAATAAATTAAATCATTCCATTACCATAACACCATTACATGATACTGCCAATGCTCTCCTGACAGTTTATATTGAAAATTACAAAACAAAATTATACTTAATTAGGTACACGGAACATAGAGTTGTAATGTAAATGAAGTGTGTACCCCTAGCTTGAACCAACTGCCACCATATGCACACTGTCTTGGTTTCGCGGTTACATGGCCTATCAGATAAGCCTTGATACTGTAAATCACTGATTTTTTTGCACGTGATTATATTTCGTGTTTATTAGCAAGCAGCTACATTGCCAATATACTTTTGTTGGTGTAACTGCAAAATCATGTTTTCATGAATAATGCAGTCGTTTACCTTTTTACGAAATTTAATACTTCCTAAAATAAATTGATTTACAGAACCCAACCTTGGTCATTCTTAGTTTGGTACCTAATAGTTCATTTCCTGATCCTGTAGTGGTCATATGAAAACCCTATGTTTGGAAGATATTATTCAAAATGATGAAAAAAATTTACATAGAGTTGATATGTTGGGCTATAAAACAAACCTGGATTTCTCTCCAACTGTGATGAGAGCCGAGTGGTTGTGTTGTCTACCCGTTTAGTGCTGTCAAGAAAAAAAGCTTCACATTATTCATCAAGATTGAGTTGATAACATATATCGCATAAAACAGGAGACACTGTCATCGGTATATCAGGAAACTAGATAATGTTTGTAACATATACACCTGAGCATTCAGACTATGATTATGTAGAAAGAACCTGGCTCCATTCATCATGCAAGTGTTATATAAATGTTGGTTACTTTCTGAAATAGGGATAGAGCATTTCTTCTCATCAAGATTTTGAACTTAAATTACTGAAGCATGAAGTGTAGGTCAAATTCAGCATCCCCAACATCATTCTGTTAAACAACATCACTTAATCATCTATCATCAATGAAGCACTTTAATGTTTCTGTATACCGACATCTCAAGTTTTTTAACTTAGTCACTGAAGCATAAAATGTAGGTCAAATTCAGCATCTGCAACATGTATTCTAAGTACTTGTGTCCTTCCAAGTTGTATCAGTCATGCTAGTCTGATCATATGGCAGTTACAGGTTACAATCATGGACATTAAGTATATAATAGTTGTACCGACAGAGAGACAGATGGATGGATAGAGTTTATTGCAATATCCTCCTGACATCAGTGAGTAGTGGATGAAAAGACTTCAAAATATCATACAAATTTTCATAACTCATATCAGCCATAATACATTATGAATACATTTAGTTAAAAAATCACCATTCTTAGATCAATATTTTCAAATCTTTAAAATATCTATATTTCATACATACTTGTAGTCTTTCTCCCAAAATTTTACTGGACGAATATACGACGTAATGAATATAGCACTTCCTAAGAAAGGATTTAATGGAGTGGAGAAAAAGGAGGAGACTCCTGCTTGTAAAAATAGCATGGCAGAATCTGGACAGGGTCAAGGACATGTAATGTTGTATGTATACTGTAGAGATATAAGTCACTCCATTAACAGCGTCAGTCTTTACCATAACAAAATCTAATAGCTCACAACTCACTAACATCCCTGCTTAACCGTTAATTGACACCATGCAACAATTTCCATTAAAAAATTTTTATACTAAGTAAATTACTACCATCCCTTCAACTCAAAAACATTCATACTAAGTAAGTTACTAGCATACCCTTCTTTATCCTGGTATACAGATAACATTTTACAATCTCTAATTATTGTCCAGTAATGGACAACTTGCCACTATTTCAACTCTAAAAATTTATGGAAAAGTTGCTAACATCCTAGGCAACCCTAATCTAAATTTCAATACAAACAATATGCTATTATCCAGGACTTCCTGTCAATGATATGGTTTTCATATATCTTGCCACTACATGAGCAACAACTGTGGCCCAGACTTATACTGTCTGCACCAATACAAAGGATACGTGGAACACTGAAAGGTTGAGCGAATGCATGGAAAGCTGAGCCCCAGGTGATCTGCCATGGAGCTATATAGGTAATGATAAACTTCATCTTCAACATCAAATCACAGAACTGGAAAAGAGGACATTTAGGAACTAATCAATGATTCTTGAATTAAATTACACATTCATTTTGATGTCCATACCAAATAAAACATTTGAAAGATGTTAATCAAAATTGAATGAAAATTGGCAACATTTTCACAAATAACATGTAAGTTTTTTTTTCTAAGTTAAAGTGTTAAACATGTCCAAGACTGAAAATAACTTACCTTACAAAAAATAATGGATATGAAAAAATAATCGATGAGGAATGTTTCTGATGAATGTCTGTAGTCGTACTTGAAGAAGAACACAGTGAATGTAATAATAAGGTATTGCTTTGGTGTGTCAGAAAACGAAAACCTCAGCAACTTCAGGGCACATATGGCAATGATAAGTGGCCCCACACTGAAAAATTAACAAGTCATTTGTTAACCTCACAAACTAAACGATCAATTTTTTTAAACAGTTTTTTTTTCAAATAATGAACAAGAATGAGTTTGATTGTATTTCTCCCAACAAATCTACATTACTGCTATTGTATTTATATTATTACCTCATATAATCAAAAGTAGCAAATTAACAGCAACTGTTATCAAAAAATTTTGTCCAAAATAGAAATACATGGAAATATATTTCTGCCAAACCATTTAGTCTACATCTTTTCAAATTTTAATATTATAATATTATGTGGTCATGCTGAAGTTCTTACTATATTCCAAATTTGCACACAATCTGAGGTGTTGACTGGGTCAAGGCACATAGAAAGACAACAGGGTACATGGCATTACGTTCGAAAAAACGAAGCCACACATAGAATCTCTCAAACAGCATGATCTTTGGAGCACCTGTTAATAAAATATTTTATTTTTAACCATGGTTAAATATGATGTTAAGGTCTGGTTTATAAATTAGTATTGCAAGTATTTGTAAATATAAATTGTAAAATAATTGTCTATTAAATTCAGCAACATACTTTCAAGATTAAGTTACAAAATCGGTCTGAACAATTCTGATAATTAAACTGTTGGTAATATCTCAATATATATACAGCGTTACTGAGTAGTTTTTATGTTATCACTGAGCTCCACCTAGTTGACAGATATGGGGACTAACCTTCAACCTCAAACATGTTTCTCTCTCTAGAGGCAAGGGCGGGGTGAGAACAGCACAGCCAAGGCATCTCCTTACGTAGCATAGGAATGATGTAGTGAGCAATGAAGCCGACACTGGCGGCTATGTAATACAGTATATCACTCAGCAGGGGCTGTCACACACAACAAAGCATGGTGATTAATATAAACATTGGTAGTATGAGTTGAAACGAATGTGCAGAGATAACAGTATCAGTAAGCAATTTTCCAATCAAATTCTCAAATTCAAAACAATTTATAGAAAGGTTTCAGAATACAAATTAACATAAATACCATAAAACTAGGGAAGAGAAATCTATATATTCCAAACAATTATGTCTGCAGACATTTGTACAGGCTGGAGTCGCCTGAACTGACAAAAAACTTACATGTAGGTCTGGACTGCTAAAGACTGTGCTGAGGTGGACAGCAAACCCAATAACCAGGATAACAAGTACCACCAACAGGTCTGACTGTAGACGTTCACTCTGTAAAATAATTCAATATCACTCTACCTTCTAATGTCTCTGTTTACTCTACCTTCTAATGTCTCTGTTCACTCTACCTTCTAATGTCTCTGTTCACTCTACCTTCTAATGTCTCTGTTCACTCTACCTTCTAATGTCTCTGTTCACTCTACCTCTACCTTGTAATGTCTCTGTTCACTCTACCTTGTAATGTCTCTGTTCACTCTACCTTGTAATGTCTCTGTTCACTCTACCTTCTAATGTCTCTGTTCACTCTACCTTCTAATGTCTCTGTTTACCTTCTAATGTCTCTGTTTACCTTCTAATGTCTCTGTTTTCTCTACCTTCTAATGTCTCTGTTTACTCTACCTTCTAATGTCTCTGTTCACTCTACCTTCTAATGTCTCTGTTCACTCTACCTTCTAATGTCTCTGTTTACTCTACCTTCTAATGTCTCTGTTCACTCTACCTTCTAATGTCTCTGTTTACTCTACCTTCTAATGTCTCTGTTTACTCTACCTTCTAATGCCTCTGTTCACTCTACCTTCTAATGTCTCTGTTTTCTCTACCTTCTAATGTCTCTGTTCACTCCACCTTCTAATGTCTCTGTTCACTCTACCTTCTAATGTCTCTGTTTACTCTACCTTGTAATGTCTCTGTTCACTCCACCTTCTAATGTCTCTGTTTACTCTACCTTCTAATGTCTCTGTTTACTCTACCTCATAATGTCTCTGTTCACTCTACCTTCTAATGTCTCTGTTCACTCTACCTTCTAATGTCTCTGTTTACTCTACCTTCTAATGTCTCTGTTCACTCTACCTTCTAATGTCTCTGTTCACTCTACCTTCTAATGTCTCTGTTCACTCTACCTTCTAATGTCTCTGTTCACTCTACCTTCTAATGTCTCTGTTCACTCTACCTTCTAATGTCTCTGTTCACTCTACCTTCTAATGTCTCTGTTTACTCTACCTTCTAATGTCTCTGTTTACTCTACCTCATAATGTCTCTGTTCACTCTACCTTCTAATGTCTCTGTTCACTCTGTTCACTCTACCTTCTAATGTCTCTGTTCACTCTACCTTCTAATGTCTCTGTTCACTCTACCTTCTAATGTCTCTGTTCACTCTACCTTCTAATGTCTCTGTTCACTCTACCTTCTAATGTCTCTGTTCACTCTACCTTCTAATGTCTCTGTTTACTCTACCTTCTAATGTCTCTGTTTACTCTACCTTCTAATGTCTCTGTTCACTCTACCTTCTAATGTCTCTGTTCACTCTACCTTCTAATGTCTCTGTTCACTCTACCTTCTAATGTCTCTGTTTACTCTACCTTCTAATGTCTCTGTTCACTCTACCTTCTAATGTCTCTGTTTACCTTCTAATGTCTCTGTTTACCTTCTAATGTCTCTGTTTACTCTACCCTCTAATGTCTCTGTTCACTCTACCTTCTAATGTCTCTGTTTACTCTACCTTCTAATGTCTCTGTTTACTCTACCTTCTAATGTCTCTGTTTACTCTACCTTCTAATGTCTCTGTTTACTCTACCTTCTAATGTCTCTGTTTACTCTACCTTCTAATGCCTCTGTTCACTCTACCCTCTAATGTCTAACTCTACCTTCTAATGTCTCTGTTCACTCCACCTTCTAATGTCTCTGTTTACTCTACCTTCTAATGTCTCTGTTCACTCCACCTTCTAATGTCTCTGTTTACTCTACCTTGTAATGTCTCTGTTCACTCTACCTTCTAATGTCTCTGTTCACTCTACCTTCTAATGTCTCTGTTTACTCTACCTTCTAATGTCTCTGTTCACTCTACCTTGTAATGTCTCTGTTTACTCTACCTTCTAATGTCTCTGTTCACTCTACCTTGTAATGTCTCTGTTTACTCTACCTTGTAATGTCTCTGTTCACTCCACCTTCTAATGTCTCTGTTTACTCTACCTTCTAATGTCTCTGTTCACTCTACCTTCTAATGTCTCTGTTTACTCTACCTTCTAATGTCTCTGTTCACTCTACCTTCTAATGTCTCTGTTTACTCTACCTTCTAATGTCTCTGTTTACTCTACCTTCTAATGTCTCTGTTCACTCTACCTTCTAATGTCTCTGTTTACTCTACCTTCTAATGTCTCTGTTCACTCTACCTTCTAATGTCTCTGTTTACTCTACCTTCTAATGTCTCTGTTCACTCTACCTTCTAATGTCTCTGTTCACTCTACCTTCTAATGTCTCTGTTCACTCTACCTTCTAATGTCTCTGTTTACTCTACCTTGTAATGTCTCTGTTCACTCTACCTTCTAATGTCTCTGTTTACTCTACCTTCTAATGTCTCTGTTCACTCTACCTTCTAATGTCTCTGTTCACTCTACCTTAATGTCTCTGTTCACTCTACCTTCTAATGTCTCTGTTCACTCTACCTTCTAATGTCTCTGTTTACTCTACCTTCTAATGTCTCTGTTCACTCTACCTTCTAATGTCTCTGTTTACTCTACCTTCTAATGTCTCTGTTTACTCTACCTTGTAATGTCTCTGTTCACTCTACCTTGTAATGTCTCTGTTCACTCTACCTTCTAATGTCTCTGTTCACTCTACCTTCTAATGTCTCTGTTCACTCTACCTTCTAATGTCTCTGTTCACTCTACCTTGTAATGTCTCTGTTCACTCTACCTTGTAATGTCTCTGTTTACTCTACCTTGTAATGTCTCTGTTCACTCTACCTTGTAATGTCTCTGTTCACTCTACCTTGTAATGTCTCTGTTCACTCTACCTTGTAATGTCTCTGTTCACTCTACCTTCTAATGTCTCTGTTTACTCTACCTTCTAATGTCTCTGTTCACTCTACCTTCTAATGTCTCCGTTTTTTAAAAGTTTATAAGATGTTTAATACCACAAACCTTACTTTTATTTGACATGAAAAGGTGGATAAAAAAAGCCTTTAATATCTCCTTAAAAAACTTTCCCTGTATCCAGTACATGGAAATATTCCCTTGTAACATTTCAGGGTACACGTTCAGTTGTATAAAATAACATTATCGTAAAAACTTGAATAATGTGTACAGATCCTTTTAATGAAAAATGCTTCTACTTGCATAGGACATGCACCAAAAAATTCAAGCAAAAACGATCTCGTCAAGCCAAGAAATCAGAACGTTAAGTAAACACGTCAGACCAACGATATAAAGTCAAAAAGTTGAAAATTTTCTCTTCAAAATACATTTTCATCTCATTTACTGACTTTTAATCACCTTCTTTGATTTAATTATAGGTACAATACAATTGAAGAAAATCATTCTGCTTCATGTTTGTGCACTTCTTTTTTTGTTTTCTTTGACATCAGAAGCATCACGCTGAATGTGTGTACCCCCCCCCCCCCCCCCACCACTTTGGAAATAAATTCCTCAAAAAAGGTGGGGTTTTGTGGTACTTCTTTGTGTTCAAACCAAATGCTCCAATTTCATTGGTTGATTTTTTTTCCCCTGTTAAATTTCTGTACCTCTCTAAACATCCTTTTTCAATATGGATAACACACAAAGAGAAGACTTCACTTAAAGATAATTAATTATATGAGCACTGGTGACAATATCTCATAAAATACTGGACATGTAAAAAAAAGCTCCCGTCACCTTATCCTGGATATACATACCACACATTTCTTGAGTTTCTCGGGGAGTGGATCTACGAGGTCTCCTTCCTCTCCCTCTGTTTTCTTCTCCTTACACATGAGATCTCGCAACAGCATCCTACACAAACAAACCACAAATATGTAATTTTTTTTGATAATTTAATATTTGGAGTTAAATGGGATCAGTATTGGAAAGTTTTTTAATACTATAATACAGAGGACACTATTTCATACATCGCCATTTCATTTAGTTTTAAGAGGTGATCAGTTTTGAGATGGTTCAATTAGGACAAGGGGCATTGTATTATCTATGCTAAGTATTCTAGCTTATTTCGAATGCTTATTTCAAATATTCTAGCTTATTTAAAATATTTTGGGAAGTTGTTCTGATTGATTTGTCAGTGTCCTGTAATATATTTACTGGTTTCACTGGTTAATCTAATATACACTTTGACTTATTTTCATCAATATCTTGAGCAAACCCTCTGTTCGGCTCAAATTAAAAAATATCAAAATAAGTTATGGATCTTGTAAACAATGTTTGATTGATTGACAGACAGCATCCCCTGATATTTTTCTTTTTTCTTATTGGAGACAAAACAAAAAATACATGAAATAAGAAACTTACCACAGAACAGAGGGATCACTAGCACTTCTACTGAGGTGGTAAGATACAGCAACCAGCAGTGCAGAAAAAATGGAGAACACGACATTCTGAGACAGGTCCTTGTCATCACAAGCCTGGTGCTCTGTTCCTGCTCCCACCTGTAAAATTGTAACATCACAGAAGTTATAGTCAAACGAGCTTTAAATTTCAACAATACATTACTTATATAACAATATGTTTTTTCTTTATTTAAATTGCAAAATATTTACGCCCTAATGTTTCATGTAATATAAACCGAAGAATATTTTAACACAAAGTTTACTGAAAGCTTTTTAACCAGTGTCAGTACTCACTCCAATGGCAAGGAAGCATGCTCCATACAGGAAGGTGACTGCCATGACACTTCGCACCACACAGTACACTGATGCCCCCAAACTCACCGTAGCTGTAATATATGGTAAAACCTCAGTGCAGATGGTCGATATACCAAGTTATCGTTTCACATTATACAGAATTTATGTCTACAAAACTCTGTTTGCTGTAACTAAACATCTTATAAAGAAATAAATGGTCAAACTAACAGTTGCAAAGACACAAGATACGATAAAAATGTACCTTATAATCCTGCCAAAAAACCCCTAACAACAAACACATGCGGTAATACAAGAACGTCTCATCTTTAAAGTCAATGTGGTATATAAATATATATGTGAAGCATTTTCAGTGTAAATTGATAAGGCAATACACAAATTTTATCGATAATATTTGTTAGGACACCTAAAGTGACAGTTATCATGAAAGTGACACTTTTTGTCACAAATTTCCAATTGATCACTACCGTTTTCTAATCTTCTTGTACTTTTCAAAAATCTTTTTGTAAATAGATGTATTTTTTAGGTGAAAAAGAAGGCCTTCTTGCATATGACATGTACTAAAAGCACAACTTACCATTACCCCCAAACACATGCATGTCAATCTGTTCCAGCAGGTACATCATGAAGGTGTTAACTTGTGGCAGGAGGCCCAGTGTAAATATGAGTGGGAAACACAGGATAAATACTGTAACATATAAAGATATATTTCTACATCCCTGGTGACAGTGAGGTGAGACAACGAAACTTGTGTCTGTCTGTATTGCATCCCTACAGTCTTAGTTACCATAGGGCAAGTCAACAGAACTTTTATCTATCTAGGTATAATATCTCTATAGTCCTGGTTACCATGGGGCAAGTCAACAGAACTTATATCTATCTAGGTATAAGATCTCTATAGTCCTGGTTACCATAGGGCAAGTCAACAGAACTTATATCTATCTAGGTATAAGATCTCTATAGTCCTGGTTACCATAGGGCAAGTCAACAGAACTTATATCTATCTAGGTATAATATCTCGATAGTCCTGGTTAACATGGGGCAAGCCAATAGAAAAAATATCTACCTGTGTGCTAAATTTCTAGATCCTGGTTACTATGGGGCAACCAAACAGAAATAACACCTATCTGTGTGTTAAATCTCTAAACCTGATTACCATGGGGGGACCCAACAGAAAATACATTTATGTGTTATATCTACAGTCCCGGTTATGATAAACCATATTCCTCTTACATCTGTCTACACTGGAAAGGGTTTGTGCTTGTGGGAGACTAATAAAACAACCACATAACTTTTGTTTAAATTAAACAATTTACATTATCACATTGATGACTGATTCCAATAATTCACAGCAATATATTTTTGTCACGAAATGGACAGTGATAAGATGTTGAATGTTATAGTTGATCAATAAGGTACAAAGTCTTGTAAACAGGAGTGGGATGAATTCCTACCTCATCGTCTCATTAGTATTGGCATATGAATACGCTACAATTCATTTAGGTAATTTCAACAATTCTAATGCAAATCCCAATTATGACTTAAAGTCATAGCATTATAAATTTGTCAGTGTCATTTTAACACTTTGGCATCCTCCTACATAACAATAAACTTTCAGAAGAATCAAACATCTAAATGATGCTGTACCATTTTAAGACTCTTGCAGGTGCTGATGACACAATTTCCTTCTTTGTGTCATATTACAAATTACACTTAGATATGCCACTAATGACGATTACTTTTTTAAAATTCATGCAAGTAAGAAAAAAAAATCAATTCGTCCATGTTTAACATGAACCCCTTGTGGAGGTTCATGAAAAACATGAAAGAAATTTATTTGCAATTACACTGGCATTATACATGAAGTTAAAATCTACTCACTCTGAAGAAAGTCTCTGGCAAAAATGAGACAGGACGCAACAGTAAATGGCACTCCATAGACATAGGTTGGGGTGGTGGGCACAAATTGTCGGCCATAGTCCAGTAACAACATAAGGCCACAGCACACACAGAAGTAAAATGGACGGCTGAACACCACAATACGGTTGTATCCCTGAAACACACAGTGGGTGAGATCATTACAGATATCGTCAGACAAATCTTATCAACATATGGAAACATTTACTAATGGAATTGATCTTTCAATGTTTGCACTGCATTTTTCTGGGATAAAATGGCTGTAAACATAATCACTTGGTTCAAGCGTAAGATATGGTTGAGGATCGTTCGCACCAAATTTGTTTGAGATTGGCCTTTTGAAACTGGTACAGTTGAAAATGTCTCATCAAATCAGAGATTAGGAGAGCTAAAATGGACTTAACATTATCGCTTGGTCTGGAGTATATATGTATCATTGGAGTTACATCTTATAACCTTTTCTCCAAAACTTATTAAAAATGAGGACAAGTGTTGAACAGCGATAAGAAATAAATATACAAAATACTTCTGTTACAAATTGGTTGTAAGTGCACTTTGTGTACAAAAGAAATCTCACTTACATGCATGGGTGATGCTGCATCAGGTTGGACACTCTGAAATATCAAAAAACTTCAGTAATTATTCAGTTAATATTCCATTAGATGTATACATTTCAAATCGGACAAAAAATAACCTGCATCAGTATGAAATACTTGGTAAAAAATGCTGTAACTTTCTTGCACTTCATCCTATAACAAGACTTTTTTAGGACCTGGTATACCAACATATAAGCCACAAAAATAAACACAAAAGAGATGAGATCTATTTATTTTGAACACTTGATTCAAATGATGTTGACAAGAACTATTGGATCATATCTTCTCTTATAATAGAAGCCATACCTTTTACCAATGAACATTGACAACTGTAGATGACACATTATGTATTAATCTTTATCAGTAAATAATGACAATTGTAGAATGACAACTACAGATTATGCTTAAGATTAAATACTGAATATCAACCACTGTTAAATTAAGTTTGTTACTGGTAAAAATGTAGGCAACATTCCTGATTTGTTTTTGTTGATTCCACGAATATACTTGTTAACCACATACAGGGCTCTCAATCTACCAGATTTGGGGCCGATATTCGGCCCACTCCCAATGGAAATTAGTATCTTTTTTCCCAATTAAGGCCCCAGGTTTTCCCAATTCTAAGGAAAACATCATTATTTTTCCTAATTCTAAGGGCCCTGGGCCCCAGTCCCAAAATGGGGTGTGAGAACCCTGACATATCAATTTGTCCATGAAATAATAAAGTTGGAAAATTACATGGATTTTTAGTAGTTTTTGTGAGTACAATTAAAAAAAAAATAAATTTGAAATTTGAGACCCTTGAAATCAATAATAGTTTTATGGTATATCACCCTTAACTTCACCAGCAAAGATTTAGGAGTTAATATTAACATTGCAAGTGAATATTGAGGATTATCAGTGTAAATTACATTTATCTTTAGTACTGAATATTGACACCTACCTTTACTAGTGAATATTGACAACTGGCAATAATAAAACAGAAGAGGAAAACAGACAAGTCGTGGTAGAAGTTACTGCTGAGGACGAGGGCACCTAGGGCAGCTACAGCCACTGATATTATCACAGCTACAAAGTTCTCTATAATTGTTAAATTCCTGTAAACATGAAAAACAAACCCTATACAATCACTTTATAACATAGCTTTATACATCAAATATTACTTCTAAAAAATGTTTTCTAAGTATGAAGTTTAACAATTTCATGTTTTTAAAATATCTGGATATCAAAAGTTACTGCAGGATAATAGGAATTTTACATATATAATACAAATATGAAGAGGTAAATAACCTTCAAACTTATGCAAAGATATGAGTAATTTTAAGTCTTAGAAGAGTGCCATAACTTTGAAAGTTAATCGGAACTTACCTATCTAATAAAGCTAACAATGCCAATCTATCAAAATGGACTTTGATGTATTTTGATAAAAATGGAATCAGCTTAAATTTGTAGAAAGGTTTTGGCTTCCCATCATGAGATGCTGAGTCTTGGAGATCAGAATCTGAAGAACTTCCTGTTGGACAGACTGATGGAATGCGTGTACGACGATTGTGCATACCCATATGTGATTCCACCAAACCAGGAAGGTTGACATAGTTGAGGACAACCTGCCCATTGGAGTCCAACAGACTTGGTTCATCCTTATTGGTCTCTGCCTTCGGTGAGTCTAATATCACAGTAGAATCTGAGCCGCTCAGGCTCCAACTGTAAAATTAGAAAGTCAATTGTGGCCATACACACTATTACATTATTAAACATGTTGAAACATTTGGACCAATGATAGCGAAAAAATGTTGACTAATTTGTAAAACACAGCTAGTTTCAAGCAGAAATCTTGGTAAATTGTTTGAGATTAAAACTAGAACAAATTCCAGTATTGCATAAAAAATTAATAACTTGAGTTTCCAGTCCGTTTACAGTAAATTTTAGACAAATTCTACAAAGAACTAACCTCTTTTCTGACCACGGTACTGTGGCATCAATTGTCTCATTTGTGTTGAAGGCTACGCCACTACTGTTTTCTCCAAATGTGTATGACAACCAATTACCTAAATACAAATCAATATTTCTATACCAACATCAGCTTATATATTGCTGTTATTTCTCTCACAATTTATAATTTCATTCATACATGACTGTTAAATGAATACACTAAAATCTCATGGCATATCCTGAATGATCTGGTGACCAGTCCAGGTATGTGCATATCCGAGATAAAAGAGTAGTAAACAATCATTCTATAGTTTTTTTTTGTTTTTTGGGGAGTTTTCATTTTTTGTACGCAGAATTTTGCTCTTTATGAGTTGACTTCTATATCATTTTCTTTTGTAGATTTTTGAGAGTTCTGTGCATTTAACATATGAAAACATGATTAATATATGCCTGTTCTACCGGTAATTAAGACATTTTGAAGACAGCTGGAAACTTCATTCCAGAAACTAAACATAAAATGAACATAAACATAAAGTCAAACCAATATATATTAACATAATGAAAATGTTTATGATGACCCACCTTGGTCATCCTTAAACCAGTGCACTGCACCCTCTGTTGTGTCATCATGTGACGTGGCCATGTGGACATTTTGAGTGCCACTTGATTCTGACAAATGGGGTGGTGTGTTGTGACGATGACGACTCTTTGACTTGGTCCTGTCCACTCTGCGCCTTTTCACACTGATATAGAAATATAGTTTTTCAAAGTGAAATCTGACTTTTTCAGTGACTCCACTTTCAATTTAAACACGAATTAATGAACTACAGCAAAGCAATCCAGTTTAGATTTTCCCCTGTTAATGGTAGGTGCCCAACCAATAAGCAAACCATGGTTACAACCTTGTATTAGGAGCTGATACAGAGGCTGATTAAAAAAAAATTTTTTTTTTTTTTCAGACTTATGAATTAATTTGATTCATTCTGACCACAGAATTGAGGCATGAAACCCAATATTTACTAAGAGGTAGAAAGGCTAAGATTTGCTTTTGGCAACATAAACCTAAGTGGCAGAAGAACTAAGACTTATTTCCAGCAACTCTGACATCAGAAGCGTCCCAAAATTTAGAGGCAGAAAAGCTAATACTTACTTTCGACCACTTCGAGAGCCAGTAGAGATCTGGCTTGTGAGAGGTAGGAGAGCAGAAACCTCAGTTGGGGTGGCAGACTTGGATGAGTGAGCCTCTTGGTCCTCAGTCAGTGGGGGTGGGGCATTAGGAGGTGTGGCATGTGGGTCATGCTTCTCTTTGTCTGAAAGATTTTATTTCAATATTTTACACTTATATTTTAAACATATTTGAAAACATACCAACTTATTTCTTTGTACATTTTGTATAATAAAACAAATATCTTATGGACAAGCTCAGGTACAAAACAACTGTGTCATTCAGTAACTACTTTATACGTACCATGTCTGTGTCTATCTCCACTGAGACTGTCAGTGCCTCTACTGCCTCGTCTTTCTATAAATGATATCAGTCCAAAATGAAATCCAGCTACATTATTAAATATCTAAAACCACATCAAAGACTAGAAATAAAAAATAAATAACCTTTCATCAAAACACATCGTCTTGTGATTTTCAGTAACCATGTAACTCTCACCTGTAGCCTGGGTGATAACAACATTGATCAGTTTCTTGATTTGTTCTGGATTGTCTGAAGATTCACTCAAGATCTCCAAAATCTTGCGACGAAAATCTTCTGGATCAGAGAGCTCCCCTGATGAAGGAGTAGCTGCACTAGGTGTAGGTTCATCTGTGGAGAGGAAACACATTATCTTTACACTGTTAAAGTAGTTGACAGGAATAAAAAAGACTATTCTTTTATCAATCATATCATTGAATGTCAATTCTTGATGGCATCCTTCTAAAGATAATGTATTGTTATGTACGGTATTTTCAACTGATAGATTACAGGCTTCAACAGCACTGGTAGCATCTGTCAACATTACAGAAACGATACAGAACAAAAGTGTGAATGACTTGATTATTGTAACATTGTTAAAAATAAACACGTTTTTACCTGTTAGTGTTATACAGAAATAATGAGTTGTTATCTTGGTGTACAAGTGTAACAACTGAGTAGTTAATGCATCAGCTACATACATAACAGTAAAACACAGAATAAATCGAAGTCAACATGATCAAATGAAATATCAAACTTATCCAATGGTTTGACATAGCTGTGTTTTTATGAAAGGAGACATTGTGCAGTGAAGAATTATCCTATTTTCATTGCTTGTTTACCAGATCGGAGTCTTATAGCATGGCATGGCAGCAATAAATAAGTTAATATACACAAACCATGCACATAAGAAAGTAAAAGCAAAAACAGTGTCGATTTGTGCTAAAATGACCATTCGGACTGAAGCCAGGAAAATTTTACCTTAGACAAGGTGATGCTTGAATGTTTGCCACAAAAAAGGAATTTCGGTAGAATTTAGAAGAGATGGACCAAAAATATATTCTACACAAAAGAAATATTTGATTCAGCAGTGTTCGAATCATTTAATTCATTTAGATAAAGAAGAGAAAAAATCGTGACTGAACAAAACATTTGACTCATTCGAGTATTTGATTCAAGCGTGTTCTACACAAGTGAGTTTTACTGTATATATACATACAGGAAAAAATAATAAAAATGGAAACACTTCAGATTAGTAAAACATAAATGCTACTGATCAGAAGTGTTTCCAAATTATCATTCTCTATGTGTACCAGATACTGAGAGTCTATAACTTTCTAAAATATACATACATTAGAAAATAATGAAATTGGAAACATTTCTTATTTATTACTTATTCTATATATGTACTGGACACTGCAAATTTTCACTCTCTACCTGAAAAAAAAATATTATATCTGTTCCCAGGTGCATCTTAATTGTTAAAAAAAAAAATTACTTTCAGTGGGTGGTAGAGGAATTGACGGAAGAGCAGGAAGTGGGCGCGTGGGATACTTTTTGGGGATAGCACCCTGCCTCCTCATAGCCTCAAGTTCATCTGGACTAGGGGTGGATGGGGTTGTGATGATGCCGTTATCAGGTAGGGGTGTGTAGTTAATTGGCAATTCTGGGCTAGTTGTCTCCACAGTAGTGGTGTCCCCATCATTTGTCATTGTGCTGGACGAGTCAGACCATATCTTCTCATCATAATGAGGACTCTCCCCTGTAATTATAGACAGATTTGTTTAAAATATAAAATTGCGTCCACACCTTCAGACAAAATCACAATTCTTCTCTTGCTTTATTTATAAACATGTAGAGAATATACCTTTTTCAACATTTTGTCACATGTAATATGTCATGATTTGGATTTTTCCCTAAGTCAGTTGTGTTTAGTGAAATCATGCTAAAACGAACATTCAAACAATTTTATATTAGAGCATACACGATAAACATGATATTACAAACTACATAATTAAATATTAAACTTTTCTTTTCAATAAATTTCATCTTCTAAAATAACTTACGCCCATCAGAACTAAGTGAGTCACTATCAGTACTGAAAAGCCAGTCCAGACCAACTGTGCTGCTTTGCTGAGATGGTGCTGCTTCCTGTTGGGGATTAGAAGAATTGTCAGAGTTACCTCCCTGTAGAAACCGTGCAATTCTTGAAGTCAATGATAAGTCTCTGGGTTTTGAATTGACTCCTGAGCCTACCTCACTTCCATTCACAAAGCTGGTTGGAACAGACTCCAAATCTCCTACACTACAGGGTCTGTCTTTAGATCGTTTTGGGCGACGTGGTTTACCAGCTGTAAAGCTACGTTCTAATTTGTTCTCCCTTGTGCCCAATCTGTCAACTGAAGCAGCACTAGGTCGGGGCCTTCTGCCAGTCAGTACATTGGTTTCTTGAATTGTATTTTCAGAAAGCACTTCAGTACTTTTGGAAAAATGTGGTGAAGATGGCACTGAATCTCTGTCTTTTTTATTTTCGTTGTTCATCTCATCATCATGAATTTCCATTACTCTTTCATTTGAAACCTCACTTTGATATTGTTCACCCTCTTCTGTCTGTTTCTTTGCAATAAGTTTCAGCATGATTTCAGCTTCCAAAGATGTTGCTGATTCCAAAGGTGGCCTTGCATGAACCCTTGATCTAGAGGAATTGACAGATTCATCTACTGATGCACTGCGATGACATTTAATTCTAGGCTTGTCTCTGTCCATTTTGTGTATGATACGAGTCTCCTCAGATTCCATTGACAGAGAGCAAGGTGTATGATGTCGAGAACCTGTGTCTTGTTCTACATCCACCACAGCACAACCATCGCCTGGCCGTTTTGACCGTCGCACTCGCTTCAGAATGTTTTGATCACTGTGTGGCCTAATGAGACCTGTCTCAGAATGTCCTTGCTCCTGTACAGTCTGCATTGAGAATCTTTGATGGGGAGGAAGTGATGATCTCACACTGACTTTGATGCTTGGGTCGTATATTGGAGGTGTCGATCTGGAGGTGTTCTCCAAAGAACTTTTTGTCCTTCTGACAGCTTTGCGACGTCTACGTATCCAGGATCCAGCATCAGGTGATAGGTCAGAATCAGTGTCCTCGCGGAGCTTAAGTCCCAAAATCTCACCCTGTTCTACCTCACCATCAGATACCTGAGGATTCACCTCTACATCTGCTTTTGTAGTAATCTGATTTGCAGAATTAGTTGTGTTCTGGTTAGATGGAATTGAATTTTTCTCACTCTCTCCATCAGCACCTGAAGTATGTAAATGTGTTAATGAAAATTTGGAATAATGAAGATAAACCACTAAATTCTGAACTCTGTTGATAACAAATAGCCTAATATCTTATCTTTTTGTCATGAGTAGATTTATCATTACTTGTTGCATGATTTTAATTCATTTCATTACGTACTGTCATGAAAATCAGCTGATTTTAAATACTACCTTTAAGATTTGTCAGTTCCTGCACTTCTAGTTTGGATTTTTTATTTTTATCTTGTTGATCAGTCTCTGGCTGTGTATCCATCCCATCTGCTTCAAGCTCTGCCAGGGGTGCCTGTCCATTAGTCTTCCTCTTTTCTAATGCATTACGAAAAAAAAATGATAGTTTAAACCTCAGAAATCAAGTCCATGATTCTTTTTAAAAAGATATTTCAACAGTCCAATTACCAAGTAACCCAAGTCTTCAGCATAATCACAAAAATGATGTTCAATTCAAATGCTTAATATGTTTCTATACTCAAATTGTTCTCTTAAGAACTTTGCCCCTTATTTTTTAAGACACTGTATGAAATATGACTCAAAAAACCCACGTTTTGCTGAAATTTATAATAAGCAACAGTTGAACAATGGTAACAGGAGTGCTAATTTTACAAACCAGATCTATCTGACCGTCTCCTTGTAAGGTCCAGTTCCACTGCTACTATTCCCCTGTTGTTGTTTTCCTCATCATGATGACTAGTTCCTGGCTGTACAGACAAGGGCCGACCAATTGGACGCAGCTCTATTTCTTCCTGACCCTTCGCACTTGACTTACCATCACTTAGAATGGACAAACGAAATCATGAACAGTTTTGTAAAATGATTTTTTATATTACCATATACATTCACGAAGCTTCATACCAAAGTGTAAATTCTGTTTCCAAGAATTAATGTCATGACTTTAAAATTACGTCTCTCTCATGAAATGACATCAGCAACATTATATATCTATTTCCCTTCATCACTTCTATTTCTAACACAAAATTATGACATTTGAAATTAATTCTTAACCTTGGGTCACTCATACAAATTATTTTGTGAAATTTAAGCTTTTATTAGCTGCACAAGACAATCTTACCCTAGTTCAATAGTCTTGCTGTCCTTATCACTGTTGTCCTTTTTGTCTGTTTCATCTTTTCCCTCCGTCAGCTCGGTGGTGTCATACATGTAGTGGAGCCGGTAGTTTACACCTTTCAGGATAGCAAACACCAACCCAACCACCAAGCAGTACAATCCCCATACTAGTGCAGATGAGACAAGGGTCTAAAAGATAATAAGTACTTCGCAGTTTAACAAGTGGACAAGTACAAATAGACCTTAATGACACATGGATAGAAAATCATATTCTTAACACAGAGATGAAAGTGGCTGGCATTGGAAAAAGCGGAAATCTGCCGATCGCCGGAAATTTTTCATCTCTAATTCAACTATAGCTTTCAAACATTCGACTGATGTAAGAGTTATCTTCCTTCGTATTATCGATTTGACAATAACGGAAACTTGGTGCTCATAACTGCTCGATGTTTAATTTTACAGTTTATAAGGGCATATAAATCGAAGGATTTAAGAACGGAGATGATGAAGATTGCTTAAAGACAAAATGCACCATCAAGACATACCTAACCCCCACCCCCCATTCCACCCCTGAAATTTTCTCACCTGATTTGCATCGATCTCAAAAATGACCAAATTTGTCATGAAAAAGGCGGAAATCCGCCAATCGGCAGAGATTTTTCATCTCTGTTAACATCCCACCATTCAGGTAACAATAGGAGGGGCTTATTTTCCAGTGAATTACCTATGGAGGTGATATTTTTACTTTATATCATGTGCACAAAATAATAAATGATCTAATTCAAATAATACCATTGAGCAAACAAGAGGCCCAAGGGGCCTTAATGGTCACCTGAGGAATATAAGTCAATAATCTGGGGATTTTAAAATGTTACAAGAATGTAACAACACTTGTGCAGGACCGTGTGTAAAACATCTGTACCAAGTTTAAACATGATCCACCCAGTGGTTCTTGAGAAGAAGTCCAAAATGTCTAAGCCAAACAGAGGCCAGGGTTGCACATTTATATAAATCAAATCAGGTTTTCATTTACAAGTTGAAATATAGCTTAGTAGATATATGTATAGCTAAAGTATACAAAAAATCAGATCAATTTCAAGTCTATCCACAATTTTTTCCTTGCCTAATACAATAAGGCGTCCAACTAAAAAAACTCACATAAAACAATGTGAAAAAATCTTGTGGTACTTCTGAGACAAGAATATATATGTATCAAGGCTGAGAAATGTAGTGTTACCACAGGTATTGAACCATATTATACACATATTTTAATCAGAATGTTGGACTTCCTAGTTATGCCACTTTATTAATTTAAAGACATTTGCCTAGCCACTGGGGTTAAAAATCAGAGATGCCAAATGTATATGTAGAGGAAGCTGATTTCCAGTTAAATATGTATTTAACATGACATAGGTAGTCGAAATTGACATGTTTGTGCGATAATTGAATCTTTATCGGTTTCACTGAGGATGAATCATGCACGAATGTTTGTGATTGTATGCATCATTGCCCGACAGAATGAAAGTAGGAAGTTGATAGATCTCGCTAACTAAACAGAAACCCTCACTATAAATGGTTCAATCGCACATCAGTTACATGACATATACCAGCTTTTAGACAGTTCCGCAATAAATCACTTACAAGGTGAAGGATCAGAGGGGCAACGAGTAGGGCCATCCATAGATACAGATGGAAAGTGTTGGAGAAGATGTTTTGATGGGGGTCGTAGAACCAGCCTCCGCTCAACGATGCCCATATCCCCTGCCGCAGGATATCGATAATGTGAGAACCCATATCTAAAAGATAAAGGGTTTATATTATATTTGTGTCACACTTCAAGTCATTTTTTGGCTTTCTTCTCGTTCATTACACATGATTATTCGATTGTCTCCGGTATACAAGTCTCGTTGGAAGCCATTTTTCATTTACATCTCGCGAAGATCACGTCTTGCACGGTATCATATTTGATCGATTTTACTTCTGTGAGGAAGCGGGAAATTATAATTATCGATATTGTGTCTACATCAATGAATATGTACAGTTAAAACATAGACTGTGTCGTGTTGTGTTATAACCATCGATATCAATAAAAAAAGTCTGTTCAGTCCTTATGAGATAGTGTTTTACACAGGTTAATAATCCTATTTGTGTAGACCGCAAGCATTGTCTAGGCTCCAAATTACCGTCGACTTTTAACATTACTATAATTTTACATCATGGTTAAACGATGTATCGAGGAGTCCGCAATACTACTTGTGATACAGTGACCTAGAAGTTTGTATGGGATCACATGACTGGTTAAATATAATAAGGCCCAAGTAAACAACATTCAAAAGTTGTAAAAGTGAACATAGCCTCCCTGGCTCTTCTGATTCATAGGTATTGTTTCGCCCTGATCATCATTGACTTAAAGATTGTTGTCAAGAAAGCGAAAATACATGCCACAATGACAGAAAGTTTAATTTCAATTTTCAAAAAAAAAAAAAAAAAACTGTCGAATCAATCATGCTTTTCAAAACTGAAAATTCACGATATAGTTACGACATAAATAAATGAAAGAGATCTGACAAGAATAATAACAACAACAAATAAATAAATAAACGAATAAATAAATAAATAAACAAATAAATAAATAAATAAACAATTAAATAAATAAACAAATAAATAAATTAATAAATAAACAAATAAATAAAACGCCTCTAGACAAGATAAAAATAATGAAAATAAATGTCGGGTTCAAATGAACCGTCTTGAAAAGCATAATACTAGCTGTCACAAGTCTTATACCAAGTTTCAGAATGATTGATAGAATTTGTCAAAATATACTGGTAGTTTTATAAAATGCACTGCACTGACTAGCTGTAGTTTCATAATCTGTTGGAAAACGTAGTCAGGTTGGACCGTGAACTCATTTTCTTTTATAATCTTACATATGGTACGTCTTAGTTACCAATGATGACACGACATGACGTGATAATTCGAAAACCATTACTAATCATAGGTGTTGATCTAACAAATCCCTTTCAGCTTTTAGCTCACTCTACATCCAGATGATCTCATTCCAGCGATGATATTTTCAAGAGTTGATAGCGTGGGTGCATGAAATCCATTTTTGCTGGTGTCAATGATCAAGAGAAGTAAATCAAAGGAGCTTCATTGTAACTGGTTGTCCACACTCCGAATCCAACCACGTGCATCCTCATGCCATAGAACCACATCACCGCTTCCAGATAATGACGTTTTGTCAGTTACTGACTACTAAATCAACCTTCGCTGTTTCTAGGACATTTAATCCATTAAAAACAAAACGAGACAAAACTTATCAAATTAAAATTTCACACGCTGCCTCCTTAATTACGGTACATGCGTGGGATTGGTTTTGCTTTTTGGATGGAAGGCACGTGCATACATCCAAAGACACATTAAATTTCCTGCTATTCTCGCACAATAAGCGGAATCAATCCCTTAATCAGCCACTGCATCTGACTCTGCGGATGTTTTAAAAAAATTACCCTCGCTCCTCTACATTCTAAACCTGTCTCTCTATGTACTCCGTTAACAAAATCTTGCATGTACATATACCAGCGCATGACGTATCATCGCCAATCTCATGACGGTTTGTCATTATTTTGAAACGAAAGCCAGGCGGCGTCAACTTCACTGTTACTCTAAACAGAAAATTTACCAAAATTACAGGACAATAACCGAAGTTTAAGACTTGGGGTTTCCTTACCGACCCGATTTCCTCGGAATCACTTTTCATTTCAAACGTATAATATAGGATGAGAAACGAAGCCCAGTGGGAAGGTCTTTGGTGTTAGCTTCTGAGAATGTTCTCATGGCCGTGACGTCATCAAACCCCTTCTCTACCCCAGTCACTTCTATACTGTAGTTAGCGCGGACTCTGTGGCCAACGATCTTAACAGTTAAGGGAGTTATATGTACAATGCTTCTTGTAACATATCACAGAAATGATTTTGTTAAAAAAGGATCATTTTAACTAGTGTCCACATAATGCAAATGTCAACTGCAAAACATTAACTGCTGCTCCAAGCTAAGGCTTCTAACAAAGTTTGAATTAGAAGAAATTAAACTTAAAAATGGATTTTCCTGTAAAAAAAAATCTTCCATCTTTGAAGAGTAGAACCTCTTTGAAAATTCAGTCAATTTGACCTGTTTTTGACCCTGCCCATCAGTCCTTGGGGGTCAACCAAGGTCAATATGTGCATCTCATCAAATTGTCGGCTTATACTGATAATTATAACCAAGTTTGAACTATCTCTAAAAAAAAATAAATAAAATATTCTAAAAAATGTCATTTTTACCTCTCCCTTAAAGGAAATGCAGACCCTGGGGTCATGAAATTTACAATTTTGGTAAAGCACTGTTAGACAAATTCCATACATAAAGAGTATTTAATTCTACTTTATCCATCCATGAAGAGTAGAGCATCTTTAAAATTTCAGTCAATTTGACCAGTTTTTGGTTCCATCCAATAGCTCCTGGGGGTCAGCCAAGGTCAATATGTGAATTTCATCAAACTGTCATCTTATACTGATAGTTATAACCAGGTTTGAACTATTTCCAATAGAAAATATATGTTAAAAAATATAATTTTCTTAAACATCTTATATATAATAGTAAAATTTACCCCCTCCCCCAGGGGTCATAAATTTACTATTTTGTTTTAGTCTTTTAAGTCCTTTCCATCCATGAAGTGTACTTGATTCTACCATACCTGGGATTTGAGAAGATTTTTGAAGTTTCAATCAATTTGACCCTTTTTGGTCCTGTCCCTTTGGTCCCTTGGGATTGAGGACCATATAATTTACAAATTGCAGCACCTTTCGCCATGGAAGGTTTTTGTAAAATTTCATTGAAATCGGTCCAGTTTTTCAGAAGAAGTTGAAAATGTTTGAAGTTATGATGCATGGCACATGACAGAAGCAATTGCAACAGGTCACCATTCAGACAGCACTGCCTCTACTCCCAATTTGTCGAAGGAGGAACAACATGTGAAGTACCACAAACTCAATTACCAGTCAATATCTGCATCAACTGAGTGTTTAGATGAAGACTAATCGTCATTCTGTTTATATTAGTTTTAAAAATTAAAGTAAATAAACCTTGAAGGATTTATTTATTTGTTACACACAGTTTAGTAATATCTTTGGACATTAATTGATAGGGAGTTATCGTTCTTATGTGTGTACATCACTAATAACAGAGTTATCATTCTTTAATGTGGACGTCACAGTTTACAATGTAAATCTGCCTGCCTTAACTGTACTTTAAGGACCATTTTGGACAGTATTGTTGTCCTGATGAAGCCTGATTTATATGGATGAAAACAACAGACAGACTACTTAATAAATACCTCAAAGAACTTGCCCTAGTCTGTTGGATTGATTCATCTCAACTTAAGCTCACCCCTTCTCATCTATCCCTTGCGTAACATTGGACCTTTGGATGCGCCTTTGACTGAGTAGTAGCATTGGCTTTAACTTGTATACTTTTATAAACTTATTATACAGATGTTTTAACTGCCACTCCTCTCACCAAGTGTGTATGCTGCAGTTCTTCAGTCAGATGGATTAGGAATAGCTTAATTCCATTTCCAATCCTTTTGTGATTTCACACAGGTGTTTCATATCTAATTATGATACTAAAATGAGTTTAATGAACTGGTTATTTTAATGAACTGGTTAAGTGATCATGCTACAATGAAATATATCATCACAATATTGTATACCTTGAGAAAAATAGCGATAACTGATGTAAAAGTTCTCCGTCAAACACAAAAAACAAGTAAATCTTTCATACGGTTGTAAAACTACTTTTATTTCATACAATATTAAATGTTATTCATGAACAAAATATTTCAGTAAAAAATATTTGAAATGAGTTAAAACATGACAATCAAATTAAGTGAAGAAATTTCAATCACTGTACACATTGCCATGTCATAATGCTTAGTTCATTGGACCAATAAAGTCAAATAAGTTACATCAACAATGATCTGAATAACTGAATAATTTATGGGTGTAAAATCTAGACCACCTGATGTCAACTTCATATCAGTTATCAACAATAGTTGTAAAGTATTTCAAACCATGCTTCCTCAATTTTCAAAAACACAGAATTAATGAAAACATTTGTGAGAACAATTTCATGAGCTTACACTGATCTGTGTAACATTAGGTAGGCATTTCTACAAGTGATATACATAAATTGCAGTGAATGGCTTGTTCTAGAAATGTCTTTTTTAAATGTACATTTTATCTAGACTTGAGTGTTTTGCTTGAATTTGCATAAATTTAATACCAGATGTGCAGCCTAAAGGAAAAACATGGTGATCTCTTCAAAAATAAACAAAATATGAAAGTCTTGTCTTGTGACACCATTGAGGTGTGATTCTACTGCCATTTTATTTCACAGGCTTTGGACAGTTTTCTTTTTTCATGTAAAGAAGCATTGACACAAGTTGTCTGTGGGGAGCACCTAATTTTATTACAGATTTTGTTTGCACATGACCCAACAAAAATAAGTATACATGTATATTTGAACACAACAATTATACTAAATCCTATATAAAGAGTATACAACAATATTACTTTTAAATTCCAGAGTGGAATCAGAATGGAGATTACAGGGCTTGTATTGCTGGTAATTTAAAAAAATTTCTTTTTATATCTTATTTTTATTTTACCAAAGAATTTTGCATAATTTTGGCTAATACATGTCTACAGCAACAACCTTTAGTTGACTTGTAATCCAGTCTGCTCTTTTCACTTTACAATAACAACCAACATGTTTGTCATAGAATACACAGAGAAATCTCACCAGACAGTAACAAACAAGATTCCTTGTAAATGATTCTAGTTGTAACCAATTTGAGCAGACATTCATTACACATAAGATTGCAATGGTACATACAAACATGAATGAATAAGAAATACCATGTCTAAGGACACCAAAAGCTGATTCAGTATTACAAATACTATTATAGAAAATAGTTTGATGACATCTGTTAACAATAAAAATATAGGAGACCCTGGAGTAATGATCCATTCACAGAACACTGGTTATAATACAGACTTATAAAACAATATTTGTATAGTTGCCTCAGAAAAAGGTATTTACGAGTAAAAACCTTACATACATTCAAGTATGACTTTAAGTACCAATACACTTCAAACAGAGCTACTACAGGAACAAACCAAGTAACAGCTAGGGCACTATAGCACCTACATAGCCATTCAACAGCAACATCTGCTGTATTACCGATGAACTAACTATCAATTCTGTTGATCTAAACCAATGTTTAGGATAAACACAAATTAAACAAAAAATCATGAAATGCCATTGATGTAAATAAATCATAACAATATCAGAGTAAAAGAAATTAAAAATATGCAGTTAACAAATCTGATTTCAGCAAATTAAAAAATATATATTTATATATATATACAAAAAGAACAGCATGGTGAGAATAAATGACTTTGTCAAATAGAGTACCATTCAAAAAAACAGGTAAAGTACATCATTTTATGCTTCCTAAAGGTTTAAGTAAACCAAGCAACTGACATAAATAGAATAAATTAGTTGTAAAATGTATACAAAATATGTCCAAATATAGCATGAAAAAAAAAGACCACAAATTTGGTCGAAGAGCATTTGATTATAATTTTTGTGGCAAGAATTAAATTCATTATAGAAGATGTACTTTAAAAAAAAAAAAAAGAAAACCCAATCATGCACTTGATGGAACTAAAGATTAACGATTCAATGTGAATTATGCAGTTGTTTTACACATCCTTTCACCGCTTTGATGCATTCACCATTTTCTCCACATACAATGTCAGACTGTGAGTGATGAGGATGGTAATGAGACATATATCCATATATCAACAACCACTTGTCACACTAGTCATCCTCTTCTCCCAAATCTTCTTCTTCCTCATCCACTTCATCATCATCATCGTCATCGTCATCATCATCCAACTCAGCACAATCATCATCCACTTCTTCATCACTTGCATCCAGATCTCCATTTCCTTCAAGCCTCTTTTGATCCATGTCATCCTCACCAAAGAGTTCTCCAAAGGACTTTATTGTTAGGAAGTCGCATCGAACCTGTCTTGTGATGAGTGGGTTTCTGTCACGGTCAAGCAATGCTACTCTGAACCCTGCCTGCATAGATGCTGCACCCTCTGCAATGAACATGTTTGATAAATGTGTTTAATATATTTATACTTAAAAAATGCTTTGTATACTGAACTTGTTTCCTTCAGTTAAGCATTACGAGCACTGTTATTTGAACATGTAATAAGAGTCTTACGATTTAAAAGTTACAATTCTAGTATTTCCTTTCGAAACTAAAATTCTCTTTCAAATGCAGATCTCTTGTGTTCAAATATTATTGTTTAAGGCAAAATTGCATCTGAAAACATTAGTTTGGTTTTTAATTGCAAACTTAAAGTTGAAAAAAAAAGAAAGTTCTTTGCAACAATCCCGTAATATTGATGAACATAAAACATTTTTGAATAGAACAAACAATTAACATAAGACTTCACAAGCTACATTTTACACCAAAGACTATAAATGAAGTGAATATCATGGAATTTTCATTCAAGCAATACAAACAGGGAACATTTAGAATTTCAAACAGGCAGTACTTTCATTCACAAACCTTTTGGGTCATCTGTGAGGTAAAGAATTTCACCAGGTATCACATTAATTTTTTCAGAGATGGCAGTATAACTGCTGCATTCAGTCTTACTGCCAATGTTAGTGTCAAAGAAATCTGTGAATAGCTGAAATAAACAAAATAATAGGTTGAACTTCACGGATAGCTGAAGAATTTAACACACACGTCCTAATTAGATATAAGTCTATAAAATATCACTTTTTTGATCGGTTATGCACAGATAGGTAGGAAATAGCAGACAGACATGATGGTAAAATGCAATTCTTCATAAAGTATTAACTGAAATGTGACCTGTTACTTAAGTCCTACCAAACTTCTCTGTTTGGGAACTTAATTAAAAGTTTCATATCAAACATTGTTTGTGTTGGGTATAATGTAACACCAACTGTATTATACATTAATTTTTTGCCAAAAAAAGTTTCATGTAAATCATGTACTCTGTCCTTATAGTCTGATGAGATATGAATGGCATTGTTTATACCAGAGTGTATGAATATTCCTGCACTTAAGTATGTGCAAGTACAGAAAGCCTGTCTGAACAAGACTATCTCCTACCAGACTAGCTCCTATTTTAATTTTTATGTTTGTTTCCAATTGAGATCTTGATTGCCATGGCATTGTTTTTTTTCAAAGTCTGTTGAAAATGTATCAATCACTTTATAATTGAAGTTTTTTATGATCCATTAACTGCTAATTAATTATTAAACATAAAGAACAATAAAAATATTGACTTTTCAGGTGAGAAAACAAAGCTTCAACTAAAACAAATAGATAACATCATAGTAAATAGCTAGTTTTTTTCTTCTCTTTTCCCCCCGAAACTATGCATTAGCAGATGTGGTCCTTATGGGATAATGCAGATGGAATTTACTAAGAAATAAACAACTGACATCTAGTTAACAAGAAACACTTAAAATGTCCGCCAATAATGTTATTACACTTTATGATTGCAATGTAACCCAGAATGACTTAACTGTATGCATTCGGAACCTTGTTATTGTACACAATTAATTTGGGAAAAAATAAATATATAGAAGAAATGACATTCGTCAACAGATGAAAAGTTTTAATGACAAACACTGACAGATGGAAAAAATCTTAACAACAATCAATGACAGATGAAAAGTCTTTGCTCCTTAGGAGTATAAAATGTCACTTTGATTCCCTTATATGGGAAGCTTACCTTTGTGATATCCCCCTCCTCCACATGACGGAAGAGTTCTTTTTGTGCCTCCACACTTCCTGATGAATAGACGTACATTGACACTCCTTCATCTATCAGTTGTGTGATAACTGGCTCTACATCATCGTAAATCCTTTAATGCAAAGATCAAAATAAACATATAAACATGTCATAGTCAACTGGAATCCATGTGCTTTGCCAACAATTACCTATCCATTAAATTACTGATTTAATATTTTCATCCATATTATTAAAATTGATACAGGGATCCTTTTGGGGTGCGATTTCTGTGAATCATCTAAGAGAAATTGTGTATCTCGCGTGAAATTCTGATGTAAAGCGAGAAATTCTCGCATTCGTATGTTGTATACTATAACTCCTCAATCTCGTGGTCGAGTGTAAAGTAGAAGGTATTAAACTACGGATGTCTTTTTGTGTTTTCATTAAGATGTAATGCGGTCCGAAATGTTCCGAAAGTAGGCACAGGCAACATGGCCGGCCAGCGGAAGATTTCTGTGATGTTTGGCCTAGTAACAGCGCACAAAACTGCAGATACTGAAATGCCATCGGACACACCAAATCCTAAACGATTGAAGATACAACAATTTCAACAAAACTTTTGTCTTCAAAACTGTTGTAGGCCACTGAAGCCATAAATAAAGGTTGTTAACTTGTTATTTGTAAAGGACTGTATTAGAGTTGTCTATTTTTCTCTCATTAAATTTCAAAATCTCTCACTCACATTGACAGTAGTGAGAGGATTTCTCTCCCTGAAAAAAATGATCAAAATAATCCCTGGTCCTAATCTGAAGAAATAAGTGTGAAAATTTTACTTATTTATATATATATATATATAAAAAAAGAGTAAAAATAAAATGTTGAGAATAAAATACAAGATTAAAATTCTTTTAAATACTTAAGTCTTGAAAGATTAATTCATCTTGCATTTAAAACAGATAGCTTAAACAGACTGTTTAAAAAAACAAAAAACATACATGGCTTTGATTTTGCCTGTTTTATAGCCTTCTCTCCACATGTGTCCCTGTAGCTGCTTCAGAGCTGTTGACTTGCGGTCGTCTGCCATTTGCCATTTGATGTTCTCGACACAGCATTTGATTACTTCATCAGCTTCTCCATCAGGAATCTCTATGCATCCTTCTACTTTGTCAGCAATATCCTTAGAAGCCTAAAAAGCATCAATATATATAATTTTTCTAAAATTTGATTTTCAAATTTTACCAGTTTCATTTCATTTAGTGACAAAATTAATATTGTTGACAATATTATTAGAGAGAAATCCACACAACATCATGTCTTATTTATGCAAAGAAAATGATATTTTCAAAATGCAGACCAAAAGAAGTTTCTTCATGAAATCATTTCATGATGAAATATTGTATTCATAATGTTTTCTCACTGAAGTGACTCTGACTTTGTGTCTACTTAATCAAAATGTACAACCTGCTATCATCATTGCCATGCACAACCTTACTATCTAACAGTGCACGAGATTAATTCGGTTAGGCACTATTTTAGAATGAAATTTTGATTATGATATTTAAGGTAGTAAATGACTTGATGTAAAGTGATTTTGGTTTAAAGATGGACAACTTACAATTGATGAATGATGTAAAGTGATCCAAACAGCCCATCATCTGATGATAGTGGGCTAAAAATTCCTCAATGCAGTCAAACGGAAAAGTTTACATGACATAACATTTCCTGCTAAAGTCTGATCTATATGATTAAGATAGTAGTTTGGCACTAGCCAACATGTTTTACTTGTTGTAGTGTTGCCCAAATGACATGTACTACACCACCTTCATTTCAAAACAGTACATAACTGTGAAAACTACTACTGAATTATTTTGTTAAGTTGATTATCAAGGTGTGTTGATTTGTGTTATCTATGAGGTACAAAGACTACGTCATGTATGAATATCAAAGGAATCTTGATATTCACAACTTCAATTTTTAACAACTACATTTTTGTAGAGGAAATATATAGGTCATTCAGTGACACTTGCAAGTTCACTATAAATCTTGACAGTGGCATGCGTTTGTCCTCATATTCATACAAAATACTTTCACCCCTTCATACATTTATAGCAGCATGACTGGAAATCTTGCAGTGGCCGGGCACTTGTGTAACATGCACCGACTACTACTCGAGAGCCATTCATCTTCATATTCAATGTTGCTTAACTACTATGCAGGGACACCTACAAATGATGGACATAACAATTGATCTGGCTATACCACCAACCATCATTATACCACCTTTGCTGACCCGTCATCTCACATTAACCTCTATATTAAGATTTGATGGTTTTGCTTGATCATAATTTTTTTTAAGTGTAATAGAACATGGAAGAATACATTCCTTGCAAGCACTTCAACTGAATCGAAGCAAGGTCTCTGGCATTGCAATCATGATAGAATTACAGAGATTATATCTAATATGTACAAGACAAACACTGACCACTCAATCCTTTCACATACCAATTCACGAAGTGCTGATATATCTGCCTTTGTCTCCTCATTATCAAATCTGCCCTTCAGGTATGTTTCAACATTCTCAAGGATGTAAGGGAATAGAACTTTCTGAAAAGTAAAATAAATACGGTTTCAATACAATTTCATTACCATTCAACTCAAAACCTGTGGAAACTATCACGACTAGAGAAAATGTCACCGATCCTTGTGTCAAGTTAACATTGTGCATTATAATTCAATTTCGGAGTAATAATTACTAAAATGATCTAACATTGGCTAAAAAAGAGTTTTCCCTACCTAAAAAAACAAACGTGTTTTATTAATTTGTTATTAACCGTAGAGAATCTCCTGGTTTCTGCACGACTGTGCCTACTGTCTAACGAGTTTAGCTGTTATATGAAAGCAACAAGTTAATATACCATCTTTATAGCATCTTTGGTGCGATGAAAATACAGTCGTAAGTTTTTGACATTAACTGCGAATTACTACCATGCATGCATCACTTATGTACAAGCAGGAAGATGAGCGTGATGGTGGACCGGTACTGTATGCATGTGTGTGAAAGATGCCGGTAGCCTCCTACCTTAACGAAAGATACTGGAGTGGTTGTTCCTTCGATGTCAACGACAACTGCCGAAACGCCATCAAGTAACGCTTCCACTTCGTCTACTGACCGTTTCTGACATTGTTGATCCTCCATTTTCTGGTAATGGCCAACGGTGGGCACTTCTAGCGAAAGTGTCAGTGCAACGCTATTCAGACAAAGAACAAATGGACCAGGTGCGAGCCGATTGGTTACCAGATGGCGCCCTAGTTTCATAAGGTTGTCTCGTTCTCAACTGATGGCTATTCCATCAATATGGTATTCTGTTCGTTTACTTTAACAATTTCGTAACGGAGAATGGATAAAACAAATAGAGGTATCATTGTGAAACTATAAAATGTTTTTCGTGTTTGTTCAATAAAATAAATAAACGCTAGAAAATGGAACATCTGCGTTCGTTTATTGACATGAAAGACTTGGGCCTAACTTAACTAAAAGAACGACGAAGATGCTGAGCAGACGATCTAGACGTCTGGAGATTGACCAATCAAATTTGTTGTTACAACAGGATTACGGTATCGTGATCGTCCATTGAAATCGGGAAGGCCCTCAAACGGGTTCAGTTCCGGAAGAATTTTTATCCACGTTGACAAGATACGGACTGTGAAGGAAAGTGCATCCATTTAAGTATTAACGTTATCATACCAAACTAAGGTCGTAGCTTTAATTAATTTAACACATTTGTCGATACCTATCTATCACAAAAGTGAATTTGTTTTGGTTTCATTTATTTTGCTACCGGTTTTTCACCGGCTGCAGTGAGGAAGTGTGGAGTGCCGACGTGGACGGAAAATCATCTGGTGGTGTATGGTTTGTAGTCAGACGAATAAGTTTCAGAGCACCACTGACAGTGCTCTTTTGAAACCGGCTAATCACTACTCTTAAACTGTAGTTCATCTTGTGTGTTGAGTATTTGGTGGATGTCGGACAAGAATATAGGGAATAAATAGGGGAGGGGCGTGGTAATTATCTAACAAGTGTCAGTCAACTGGAATTCAACGATAACTGCTTTTGCCACCTGTTATAATGGATCCGCATACTATCCTCATCGGTATTGCAGCGTTTTGTTTGTCAGCACTGCTGATCTATCTTATATCTGTGTTTGGTATAAAGGAAAAAACTTTTGAAGAAGCACTGGCTGAACAAAAGCAAAGACTTGAAGATGAGAAACAGAAAGAGAAAAGCCTGAAGAGGGCAGAGAAGGAGAAAAAAAAGTTTAGGAAAATGAAAGAGAAACCGAAAGAAAAAGGACTTCAGGTTTCTGAGCCTGAACTACCAAAAGAACCCAAGATGGTGAATTTAGATATTGATCCAGAAATCATTGAACCGCTAACAGATTCAACCACTATGGAAGGGAAGCGTTCTCAAAACACAAAGAAGAAACCAAAATCTATTCTTCATAATAAAAATGAAGAACCTCATGTGACAAAGGAAACTCAACAAGTGGTTCATCACATTCCTGTCCCAAAAGATGAGCTGGAAATTCTGCATGATCATGAAAAGGAACAAAAGGATGGAAAGAAGGAGAAGTCTGTACCAAAGGCATCTAAGAAGGGGAAGGAAGAGGTTAAAGCAGTCTCAAAGAAGCCTGTATTAATAGATGAAGAGATTGTTGTCCCTAAGTTTGAAAAAGTATCACATGCTGCTTCCTACTCGAGCCCGGAATCCAAAACTAGAAGTAAGAATTAAAGTTACTCTATTAATACCAAGTCTTAAACCATTATTGTGGTGCATCAGTTAAATGTATCGCTCACAGTAATTAAAATTGCAGAATTTTGTTTGCAATGGGTTTTCACTGAACATGATATAATTTGATCAGCTGAATTTCTGATTCTTAATTTTAGTCTCTGAAATTACAAATGTGGATTTTTTTTAATGCATTTGATTTCAGTGGTACTATGGGTACTAAAACATTCTAACATGAAATGAACACACATTTCCATGACTTTAAAAAAAAAAAATTACAAAATTTTGTTGAATTATTTTTCTTTCATTAAAGATAGGTATTTGAGTCTAATTTCATTGGTCAACTTTACTGGATGAAGATTATCCAGATGTCCAAAAATTTCTGTGTTGCCTGGTATACATTACAGGGTCACCCTTTATCTTCTTTCGAATGAATTATCTTTTTCTCATTCTTGGTTATGTACATACATACTTCACTGGAGATAAACTTGATAAAAATATCCAGATGGATATAAGGAATTTCCAGGTCACTATATTTTGCTACAGCTTCTCTTTACACATATTTGCTTATTTGATTTTAGGTTTATTACAATAGTTGCAGAATGATAGAGATAGGTCTGCAATAGTCTGTATGCTATCTTTTGACTTTGTATCCTCTGCCAGTTAAAACACATTAAAACTTTGACCACCTCCACTTGTGCATATATATTTATTTTCTTATATGGATGCCCTGTAGCTAGGTCGTTTGGGAATTTAGAAATTGATTTGTCAGTTAAAGGTTTACTGTAAATACCTTTATCAGTTTTTCAAGTGTAGGATTGTTTTTTTGTGGAAAAATTCATTACAGTCTTTTAGTTTCAAGTACATGTACCTTTTTCCATGTGTACACTATTCATTATCAATTCAAGAAAGTCGTGGGATGTTTGTTTCATATCATTTTTTAAAAAAAATTGTCTTTCAGAACAATGCTTATCATTCCAAAGTTGTCAAAACCTAGAAATATTTTTGTAAAACGGAGATCTGTACTATTATTATTTTAGGTCATATGTATGTACTGATTGACATCTGTACATTTGGAGAACACATGTATATACACATAAGACAATATATCATTGGCATTTCCTGTTCAAAATATTAACGCTTACTTAAAACAGCAGCAGTGTTGACTAGTTTGTGATCTTGAAAGTATTTATATTATTTTTTTTTCAAAATCTTATTAACTAATTAACAAATATATGCACATGTATGTGTGGGTAATGAAGTAGGACCAGCCAAAACATTAGGATGTGTACTAGTCAAAACAAACAAGTCATTTGTCAGTTAATGTTTAATATATTCAAAACAGTGGAAATGTTATTGGTTCATTGCTGTTATATAGATATATACACTTGTGCCTTGTTTGAGTTTGATGACAATTTGACAATTTAGAACAGAAGAAAAAAAATATCGACTCCATGACCTTAAGTGGTCTCTTTAGACCAAATGAAGATGCATTCAAAATATTAGTAGCTTTTGATGACTACATCGACATGAAGTTAAGTTCATCAAAATCAAACCTGTCAACTTACCAAATGTAAAGGTCACTGGGTCAAATCTGAAAGGCAAACAGTTTGTCACTTTAAATTGGTAAATAGAATGAATGCGGTAAAGTGTATTATATGTAAAAAGACATGGATAAAGTGTGCCATTCAAGGATTAAGGTGAAATGACTAAATGACCAGGCCACCTTTCCCTGTTAAATGTCAATTTATGTTGGATTTTAACCTATATCAATTATTATTGTTATCTTCAATAAAATGCTCGACTTGTGGTCGTATGTCAGATTACCAGCTGGTAAAAAGTCCATATCAAATGTCTTGTATCATAACTCGGAAATATCCTAAATAAAAATGTTAAATCATCATTCTGGGTGCATATGATAGCTGAAATGTCTTAACACAGAATATAATATAATACTGATTTTATTGTTTATGCAGTAAAAAGGGTTAAAATGATGCATGAAGACTTGAATATAAACAATGTTTCTCTGAATTGCAGTTGGCATAACAGTTCAATTACCTTTTCTATATTTGTACTTTCTACTTTATAACAAAAATCCCTAGATTTTTTGTTAATTAATGAATTTACAAGAACTAGTGCAGAACTTGTATGAGTATGTGCTTTGTCACAGCAAGTTTAGCTGGAACCTACTGCCAATGTCAGAGACTCAAGTGGTTGAATTGAATGAATTCAAAGTATTGCCTTTGAGGGAGAGAAAAGCAAAACAAAAAAGAAAACAAAAGTTGTCAATAATACAACTAAAATAAAATGTCTTCTGTATTTTCTTTATTGGAATATTTTCACCTGACCAGACTTGACATGATATCAAGTTTATTTATTTTACAATATTGTAAAACAAGTTGTCCAACTTATCACTCTTCTGGGCCCGAATGGAAGTGAAGGAGGGGTTTGATTGTAGGAGGAAATGAAGTACCTTGGGAAAACCCTCATGATCTGGCAGCTGACCCCATACCTTTTCATGTCTGTTAAGGGAATCAAACCCCATACACCTAGTTTAAAAGACGAGTGTATTGTCACTGTGACACCCGACCATCTAGACCTGACATGAATCTGCTTACCCCATTCATGCATTTGGCTTGCATCCATAAGTAATGCTTAATATATATGTAATACTTGATAACAGCAGCCTCAGGCTGGAATTTTACATTTACGTCCCTGGAAATAGTAAACAAATATATTAAATGTACTTTAAAATATTGTTTTGTTTTTTTTACATTGATATATGCTATACAGTATGGTTTGGAAGATTAAAATTGAATATTTTGGAATGCAAATTTAACAGAGTATGCAAATTTGAAAGGATTAAGTCATCAGTTTGATCTTTCTTAGCTTGATCAACATGTCTGTGACTTGACAGCAAGTGTCAAGTACAGTTTATACACCTCCTGAAGCTTAAAGACTATATACTAGTTAGCTACATGTATACCAGTGTATCATAAGGGTCAGCTGTCTACAACACACATTCCTGAGGCATGATTCTGTTTGATGTCAGAGTTCACCAATCTTGTGTAATGAACATTCATTAGTTTATGTAATTACAATTTACAACTACTTTCCTATGTATAAACTTACAAATGTAGTTAAGTATACTAATAGGCTCATGGATTCATGCTTGTAAACAGCTGCATCTGCTGAAGTAAAATGTGTTGTGCCTTATATCCCTCTGGACAGTCAAGTCAGGTGCCAGATTTGGGGCGGATATTCTGCCCCATTCCCAATGCAAAATAGTATCTTTTTTTCCAAGTTTAGACCCCAAGTTTTCCCAATTCTAAGGAAAACACCATTATTTTTCCCAATTCAAAGATGCCCCGGGCCCCAGTCCCAAAATGGGGTGTGAGAGCCCAGACAGTGATTACCCTTTGTTCATATGGGTCCCTGGAGGTAGGGTTGAAGAACTCTACCCACTGTCCCCATTGCACGATTCTTAACAGTGACTAAAAAACCTGAAATCTTCCATATTTTCTTCTTCCTAGTATTGCCTATTTTGTTTGAGCACCCACTTCAGTGTGGAAGGTTATATAGGTTTAGTCTCAAGACCATGATAAATCATGGTCTATACATTGATAGTTGTAGCTCTCTTTTCCCTTTAGCTTGAACAGGTTGTCAGTAAGGACTGGTTTTATGGTTATTCCATTATCGGTGTAATGTTTCCGGTGGATGTCTTTCGCCTGTGTTTGGATTATGACATTTTAATTTGATGATACAATATGTAATTACTTTATGCCTTTCAGTGACCATATCAGTGGTCATTCAGAAACTTTGAATTGGATCATGATAGACTGACAGTTGCATGATAACTCTGCCAAAAAGGTCGTTCTGCAGAATAGTGACATTATACCAATACTGCTGAATGTATTTGTGAAATACCAAAGTATCCTACATCGTTTCATTTTTTTTTTTTTTTTTTGCATGTCTTTCCCTTCCCTGATCTGAGGATATTGACGGCAGCATTTAGAAACAGGCTGATCTCTTTGGGGCTCATTTATCTTTATTTATAGACAGACTTCAATGGAACTTACTACAACTATTCCATATCAAAATAGCTCAAACAAGTACACATTGTTGATTTTTGCTGTTATTTTTAGCAGAGTTATGCATCTATAATTAACAAGTATAGGAAGTGCATAGAAAAGACAAAAAAATGTTTTAATTCTACTCGGTTCCTTTCAAATTTGATAAATATTTTTATACATGAAGGGAAGGGATTTGACAAATGTTATAGGTTTTATATGTGATCCCCAATTTTTAAGAGTTATGCCCCTTTTATTGTCAAATATGTGCATTGTTTTCAAATGCAAGAAATATTAAATTCTTTATTCAACCATTGTAGGCTTAATCACCATGACATGAAGTTGTGTTTTTCATGACAACAGGTTGATTCAACAGTATTTAGAAGTGTTACTACCTCTTCTTGTTTTCATCATATTTTTTTTATCTGGTGATCTCCTCTCTTAGTTTTTGTCACATTTCTTTCATATTCAGTTGATGTAATCACCTTGACATGGAGTTTTGTTTATTACTGTTTATAAGTCAACATTTTTATTTTGTCAGAATATCTCTTGCCTCAGTATTTAAGTTTCTTTGCATCTTAGAAGGCTTGAAAGCCACAACATGAGATTGTGTTCTCATGTGCAGTATTTTGATTCAACAATATTTTTTAAAAAAATATTCTTTTCAGTATTTTAATCTTGTCCACATTTCTTTCATTTTCCCACACATTCTTTAAAACTGGGTCCGCCCTGCAATACTTTTTTTTTTTAGTTGTTTCAAAGTTTGAACATTACCTGCATCTCTTAAAAGGTGTTCATCTCGCTGAATATGGCTGTATGTTATGCTTTCGTTGGCATCCCTGTATGTATGAAAGGCAAAATAGAAAATGAAAGAAAAATTCAAATGGTTATTGTGAATGGGCCTTTAAGATAACGGAAAGAGGAGACAGTTGATTCCTGTATACCTGGTACTAGTTTGTATATTTTTTTTTATATTTTTGTATTGCAGTTGATCCTGGTCAGCTTGTTGCCAGTATTCACACAGCTCCTCTCACAGACTCCGAGATACAAAACATGATTGAAGTCCTCTTGAACAAACAGGGAGGAGCTAGCTCATCTTGGAATAAGGTCTGTATGCTACTAATATCTATTGGAATGGAGGGGATGGGGATTAGGGAGAGGGGGAGCGCAGGTAGTTCAAGTAATATTATATTCAGTACTGTTACAATTTCATTATCATAGGGCAGATGTTTTTGTTGTTAAGAGTGATCATGGTATTAGCAATTTTGTGATAATTCTTGATTCTAATACCTTAATGTCGGCAATTACGGCCTTTTGGTCTTTCAGCAGACAAGAAAAGATAAGAAAGTGAGTCGGAAGCGGAACTAAGATAGTCCTAGAAGGGGGATTGGATAGACACAGCACACTTCACATTGTAATGAAAAGCAACTGCTATGTTGTATGTGTGCATGTTGTTCTGAAATAGTGTTTCTTAGTTTTTTTCATTTAACATGGGCAACTGTACCTACATTTCACTTCAACAATTTTGTTCACTGATGAAAATATTTAGTTATAGTACAAAATATCCTCATTCCAAGTTGTATAATTGATATTAAAACATAAGAGATAGAATGTGATTTTATCTAGTCAATTTTTATCTGGTCAAAATATGAAAAGGACAAAAGTGATATAATAATGTAACGTTTTGTGTATGACTGTGTTTTTGAGGAAGTTATATAAAGCACCATTGAGGGGAATGGAATGATTTGTACTTTAGCAACAAATGATTTCATAGTGGATAAACATATGTTTCCTGTATTATATAACCTTATAGAGAATGACCTTCCAGGATATAGATAGATATCTGTTATACCATCTGTTGGTTTTCAAGTATTACACACACCCACACTTCCTGATGACAAAATTATTCTGTATGTACTATTAAAACTTATACAGTTATATGTTCTTGTAAACTGGTTTTATTATTTGTGTGTGGGTGTGTGTGTGGGGGGATGGGGGGGGGGGGGGGGGGGGTTTGTATGTGTATTCGGTGTACATGTATAATACAAGTAATTTTCTTTCTTGTTTTTATTATAGGCTTAATCTGATTTTAGAAAGTTTTAGAAATTTTCACAAAAAGTGTCATAAGTCCATTTACTGTCTTAGCTCAGTTGTCATTCTGCCCTTTAGTCTATTCTTCTCAGTGGCATCCTGCCCTGTTTTGTTTACTTCAGTGGCATCCTGCCCTGTTTTGTTCACCTCAGCACCATCCTGCCCTGTTTGGTTCACTTCAGTGCCATCCTGCTCTGTTTTGTTCACTTCAGCGCCATCCTGCCCTGTTTTGTTCACCTCAGCACCATCCTGCCCTATTTTGTTCACCTCAGTTGTCATCCTGCCCTGTTTTGTTTACCTCAGTGTCATCCTGCCCTGTTTTGTTCACCTCGGTGACATCCTGCCCTTTTTTGTTCACCTCAGCGCCATCCTGCCCAGCTTTGTTCACCTCAATGCCATCCTGCCCTGTTTTGTTCACTTCAGTGCCATCCTGCCCTGTTTTGTTTACCTCAATGCCATCCTGCCCTGTTTTGTTCACCTCACTGTCATCCTGTCCTGTTTTGTTCACCTCACTGTCATCCTGCCCTGTTTTGTTCACCTCACTGTCATCCTGTCCTGTTTTGTTCACCTCACTGTCATCCTGCCCTGTTTTGTTCACCTCACCGTCATCCTGCCCTGTTTTGTTCACCTCAGTGCCATTCTGCTCTAAACCTTTGTATTGTTCAAACCAAAAAAAGTGCTCAGGTACCTTTTTGTCACAACTCCAGTGACTGGTATATTTTGCCAGTTATGGTCATGGTAGGCCCTTCTAACCCTGGCATGGGAATGGGGGCACTAATTTAATTCTGTACACAAGAGAGGCATGAACCTCCAGTGATTGGCCTAACAACAGAGGTTTGTTACAAATGATTGGATATATGAGGAGCCCCTGTGGCTTAGCCCCTTAGGGAAAAAGACCCCATGTGACATGTTGAATGCCTAGGTCTACCTGCAACCTCTGGGAATTTAATTGATACAGTCAATTGTTAATAAGCATATGATTATAATCAGGGTCCATCAATTCAAAACACCTCTGTTGTTAGTTTGCTCATTTATTTAACTTCGTTAACTTGCAGAAAACACAGAAAGGTGATGATGTTAAACTGCTGCGCAAACAACTGGAGGAGAAGGAACGTGCCCTGCAGGAAGGTATGATGGTACAAGATGATAACTTTTATTTGATATACTAGGAGCTGTTGTTTAGTTAAAGTACATCTGTATGACAACATCTTTCCGCAAGGTTGCATTGGCGTACCACAGTAGGTTCTGTACATGTATTCATTCTTCGACACTATGGTCACTGAATGCATGAAGCATTTTTGAATTCTTCAAAAAATCCAGTGTTAAATTGATAAAGCTTAAAAATGAAAATGGCTATTTTCAAAATACCACCATTATTTTTATACCAGAAATTTAAAGATGGTACCCAGTAGCCTTCTGCTGATTCTGCAGATTTTTGACAAATATACACATAATTATAAATCCGTCACCATTTTGTTGTCTCAGAGCAAAAGTTAGCAATGCATGCTAATGCATGTCTGTCCAAGGAGAAGGCTGGTTACAACAGCCTGGAAAAACAGTATCAGGAAAAAATTGCTGTACAGAACTCCGAGATCCAGGCTCTCCGTTCCAAGATGCAACACTCTATTGAACAACACATGCTAGAGCGAAGTACCATGCAGACTCGCCTTCAGCAGCTGGAGCGCCAAGCTGGGGATCAAAGCCTTGCACAGAAACTCAGTGAGGTACTCTTTCTGTCTTGTTACCTCACTAGTTGTGAACATGTAGAACAGTTGTACTTATTGGGTCTGTAATTTCAGAGTATTTTGTTGTTTAATTTAAATTTCAACCAAACCATCATTAGATTAGACAAACAGTTTGAATTTTGAACTTGTTATAACATGATTCATTCATTGAATTAATTTTACATTAACAGATTTCATGTTGGTGTTTAAAAAAAATACCCCTTTTATATTTTCAGGAAAACAAGATTTTGAAAGAAAATCTGAAAAGGGCAGAGTAAGTTGTTTTGATCCATATGAATAAATCTTTTGAAATTATCCTTTGTGTATGATTTAGATATAATTGAAAAAGTCTTGAATGTTTTTGAAAAAAAGAAAGACCTCATTTTGGAAAAATATATTACATGACTTCATGTGTGAATGATAAGAATGGATTTGACATGTGTAATTTTCATAGAATGTATTAATCATTATTAGGTCTGAGACTGTACCCCAGAAGAACTATGCCAGTCTGACTCGTGAGCTCCAGATTATACAGGAGGAACTCTCAAAGAATGTTTCAAGGAATACTGCTGCAGAGAATGCCAAAAAAGCATTAGAAGAGAAACTTGCAAAGAAGGACGCAGAGCTAGCTAAACTTAAAGGATCAGAAGTAGGAAGCATTGAATTACATAATTAGCATAAATGTACTCAATCCACATTAAACAGAGAGTCTTTGCAAATTATAAAACATGTTAAGGTTAGAAATATATTTAGCAATAGAAATAAATAAGAAGGACCATATCTACATATATCAGAAATGGAATGGTTTTTAGGGAGAATTTTTTACAATTTCTTTTCCACTTGTAGAAGGAGTCTGAAGGTGTTGTTACCAAGAGATTGGATGAGGTTAACAAGCAACTGAGGAAGACAGAAGCAGAGAATGCCACACTGACCAACAGTTTGAAAGCTGCTGAGAAAGAGTGCTCTACAGTCAAGGCACGACTCCAAGAGTTGGAAATGGCACTGTCCGGTAATGACAACACATCAAAGGTGCTGGAGGAGAAGCTACAGGTATGCCTAAATTGAGTTTTTTCCAGAAGGTTTTACAAATGTGCAATTAAGCATATTTTAGTTAAAGTTTTAAATTTAAAAGAATCTTTCTTTAGATTTATATAACATCCAATTATTAGGAGACTTGCTAAAGCTGGGGTTTTTTTTTTTTATGAAAATGCTAAATAATGGTATATACTTGCCTCTGTAAGACAACTTTAAAAATATATATTGAAATGTCCTTTTGGTGTGATATTCATTATCTTTGTCCCTATATGAAAATGGTGATGGGATGGTGTGTTAAATATTGGTTAATGTTTTGCTCAAAATCATTGCTGTTAATGGCTTTGCTCATTTAAATATCTTTTTAATTTACATTTTTGATTGCGACAATTTAAGGTGTTTGGTTTTATTAACATAGAAATTGTATCATACATCTAAACAAACAAGCCAACCCAGTGTTGGATTGGTACTTTAAGCTTGAATTTTATGTTTTAATTTTAAAAAAAAATTGTTCATAAAAAGGACAAACAAAAATAGAGCGTTTTATGTCTGAACACAGGAATCATGTCTTTCAGTACGTGTAAGTATAGACCTGCAATTTTCACTTGGTTATTTTTGTATTTTTTCCTAGAATTTGTAACGTTTCTGAAGTGCACAATATGGTTCACATTGAAATCCCTTTCACACCATACACTGTCAATATGCAGCGTATTTACTGGAACATTAAAGCACACTTGTATACATTTATACAATATTGGTGAAATTAAGTCATTTTAATGCTGTTTGATGTAATCTAGCTTGACACCATGATGTATCCTATGTCATGAACTACCACATCATTATCTGATTTAGTTTTATATGATACAGATCTATCTGATAATACCCAGCTCTGTGTTAAACAATCTAAGAAAATAAGTCAATAGTATTTGAGAGAAATCTGTAACAAAATGAGCTGTCATAAGTCTAGCAATGCTTTGATAATATTTAAAGGTGTAAGAAATCTTTTTGTTGTTTTATGAAGTCATTTTATAGTATTTATCAACTGCACATCTCCTGTAAATCACAAGCAGAAATGAACCTACCGTAAATTTTCGCGTATAATGTACAGATATGGGGATATGGTATGATTGAAACTTTTCAGACAGTTAAAACAACATCGTTTACTGAGCAATAGTACGCGTTCAGCCGAAGCCGGGTGTCATCAATTTCCTCGTACTCAACGTGTTTGTTACCTGTTAAGAACTGTTAATTATCCAATTAGCCAAGCCTTTCATGCTTGTTAAGTCAGGTACCTGTGTGAATTTGTTTATATAAGGTAATTAAATATGTTAGGGTCACAATGATTGTGGTTTCCTAATTATCAATGGATCAAACCACAACAGTTTCATTGCGGTAACCAGTAATCAATGAATCTTTCTGTAGATTTTTTTTTTTTTAATCTGACCCCAAAAAAGTACCTGCGCACTATACCCGAGTGCGCACTATACCCGCAAATTTACGGTATTACAAAATTCTACAGGTGTGAAATGCTTTACCTTTCATATGTTTATCACATGTTCTTTTTCATATGGAAGTTGATTGTGGTGGTTATTATTATTATATGGTAAAATCAAGTGAAATTAAGATTAAATTACAACTTTGTTACTTTAGATGAAAACTGTTTTAATATTATACCTTTTCATAATACACTGATTGATTCTAACAGCGCAATAGGATTTCATCTAAACAACTTATTTTCAAATACCTCAATGGTCCAGTTCTTTGTGAGGAAACAACATTATGATCGAAACAAAATCTGGAAAAGGATTGACTTAGAAAAAGTGGACTGTAAAGTCTCCACTGACGTGAACATCTTTCAACATGTGAAAGTTAAAGGAGCAAGATATGTAATGGGAGGGACGTAATGGGACTGTAGAAGGACAAGTTGTAGAGATGGAAGAGTGAATTGTAGATAGTTTATTGGTGATGTGAAATTATGTTGAGGTTAAAGCATGAAGATTTTAATGATAATAAAGGCAACGGGAAGGACAATGGTTTGAAGATGAGAAATATAGGTTTGGTAGTCAAACTAACAATGAAAAATAATACTGGTAGTACTGAAACAGCTTCATACTAGAACCTGTGTGCGATTTGTCTTTCATTAAAGTATGATGTCAAAAGAATTTTATCACAGTGATTTTAAGTGATTTCTGATTTTGAAAGAGTCAGATTGACTTAACTAGAAGTATTAGGTTAAAGATTTACGTTTTATATGTTGTTTTGGTAGGGTGCTGAAAAAGCCAAATCTAATGTTGAGGCAAGTCTGAAAGCAACAGAGAAGAAGTTAGTGGATGCCGAACAACAGAGGGCTAAACTTGAGAAAGACTTTGAGGTAATTACTGTACTACCAGTATTAGTGGGTGTATGGTGGTGATAGGATGAACTTTTAACTTAGTGTGACAGGGATCGATTTTCCAAGGTTTGGTCAGCTGTGTAATATGTAAACTGGTTCCAGGTTGTACCTTATTCTAATTGATATAGAATGGTTAACGAGAAATCAAAGAATACAGTGCTACAGCTGATCATATTTGGACAGGTTGGTTCTAGTCTGAGGTGGTTTTAAGTAAAAGTCTATTTTTATATGTATTGTATACAGATTTCTCTTCAGATTTGTTTAAAGATCAATCTCTTGGCTAAAAATGGCATTTTTTCTTGATGCATATGTACATGTGTCAGGTTCACATCTTTTCATGGAATACAGTTTGTAGATGTCAATGAACATTGAGAATATTTGTTTCACAACTTTCAAAGGATTTTAAGAATGAGAGATCTGTGGCAGAGGCCAACCTGAAATCCACAGAACAGAAACTGACAGACCTGGAACAACTCAAGACTAAATTACAGACAGATTATGAGGTAGACATATAAGCAGAAGCATGTGAACAGTTTCAAATATTATCAGGGAACAAGATGTGTTTAATAAGTTATGCTTGTATTTATTATAGTGTCCATCAGAATCATGTCAAGTTTCCATGGTTATACAAATATTAATGATACTAAACATAGATTATGTATTTTAAATCTTTCAAATTCTGAAATTTTTGGAAAGTTTATTGTCTCGAATGAAATCCAGTCTCCATTACAATTGACTCTGTAAAATCATAGGCAGCAGAGAAGGCGAAAAATGATATGAAGTCAAGCTTGGAAAGTCTTGAGCAGAAGTTATCGGAGTCCGAACAGAACAAGGACAAACTACAAAATGAGATGGAGGTAACCATCCTGTCTGTTACCAGCCATGCATGATCGTTCTGAGCTTTTCTGCAGCAAAATTGTGTACTGATGAAATGCTTTGTAGATAGCCTACTCAAAAGATGCGTAGATTAATTCACTTTAAGACTATGAGACACCAGACATGCATGCCTCTCTTGGCATCCTCTACAACATTGCTTTGCATCTGTTTTCATGGTCGACAAATGTTTGATTGACAACTGACTCTCTCGTCTTTTCTTGTCACATCCTATAACAGAGGCATGTATCATCCCATTCACTAAATACACTATGTCACAAGTTTCCTGGACAGCAAAAACTTGCATGAAGTGTCACCTTTATTTCATGTATAACATACCTGGTTTATCATCTACAGACACTCATGCCAGCCTTGACATCTACCCAACTTAACTGTATACTAAATATCTGTATAACTAATGAATGCCTAGTGCTTCTTAGACAATTCATGACAAATTTTGAATGTAATCTTTGACGTGTGTCGTGCATGCCCATATGTGTCCTGCAATATACATATGTAGTTTGCGAAACATGACTGAAATGGCTTGTCTTTGCATACTGCATAAAAGATAAAGGACCGTATGCTATATATTCATAATAACCGGCAGCTATGTATTCATAATAACCGGCAGCTTATGCTTTTTAGGTCATCTGACCCGAAGGGTCCGATGACCTATAGTCATCATGCTTCGTCCGTCGTCGTCCGTCGTCCGCCGTGCGCCGTGCGCCGTCCGTAAACTTTTCATTCAAACGACTTCTTCTCAATAATTGGAAGGCCCAGGCAACTAATATTTGGCCTGTAGCTTGCTTTGATGAAGCCGTACCAAGTTTGTTAAAAAGAATGACCTTGACCTTCATTCAAGGTCACAGGGGTCAAATGTCTTAAAATCTTCAAACAACTTCTTCTCAATAACTGGAGGGCCCAGGCAACTAATATTTAGCCTGTAGCTTGCTTTGATGAAACCCTACCAAGTTTGTTCAAATGAATGACCTTGACCTTCATTCAAGGTCACAGGGGTCAAATGTCTTTAAATCTTCAAAGGACTTCTTCTCAGTAATCAAAAGGCCCAGGCAACTAAAATAAGGCCTGTAGCATGCTGGGATGAAGGACTACCAAGTTTGTTCAAATGAATGACCTTGACCCACTTTAAAGGTCACAGGGGTCAAATATGTTAAAATCTTTAAACAACTTCTTCTCAATAACCAAAAGGCTCAGATTGCTGATATTGTGCCTGTGGCATGCTGGGATGAAGGGCTATCAAGTTTGTTTAAATGAATGACCTTGAACAACTTTCAAGGTCACAGGGGTCAAATATGTCAAAATATTTAAATAACTTCTTCTCAAATACTAGAAGGCCTAGGGGGCTAATTCTTGGCCCATAGCATGCTGGCATGGAGCCCTACAAAGTTTGTTCAAATGAATGACCTTGGCCCACTTTCAAGGTCACAGGGGTTATGTTAAAATATACAAAGGACTTCATCTCAATAAGCAAAAGTCTATGAGTGCCAATATTGGGTCTGTAGCATGCTGGGAGGAAAGGCTACCAAGTTTATTTAAATGAATGACCTTGAACAACTAAGGTCACAGGGGTCAAATATGTCCAAATCTTTAAATAACTTCTTCTCAAATACTAGAAGGCCTAGGGGGCTAATACTTAGCCCATAGCATGCTGGCATGGAGCCCTACAAAGTTTGTTCAAATGAATGACCTTGACCCACTTTCAAGGTCACAGTGGTCAAATATGTTAAAATATACAAAGGACTTCATCTCAATAAGCAAAAGTCTATGAGTGCCGATATTGGGTCTGTAGCATGCTGGGAGGAAAGGCTACCAAGTTTATTCAAATGAATGACCTCAACCCACTAAGGTCACAGGGGTCAAATATGTTAAAATATACAAACGACTTCTTCTCAACAAGCAAAAGTCCATGAGTGCTGATATTGGGCCTGTAAGATGCTTGGAGGAGAGGCTACCAAGTTTGTTCAAATGAATGACCTCAACCCACTTTCTAGGTTTGGCTTGCTTTTTGTCAGATGACCGTTAAGGCCCATGGGCCTCTTGTTTAGACAGCATACAGGCATGGCATGTTTTAACATGCTATGAGCAGGTGTACATTGAAGATGTTATGCAGACAGGCTTTCTGAAACTTTTGAATTTCGTTATTACCCTACCACTTTATAGTTATAGTGATCAAATCTGATCAGTTGAAGTATGGGAATAATCTAAATCAATTTCATATTTTGGGGTTCCAATTTGAAAGCAAAAGTAAATAATAATAATAATAATAGTCTTTATTTATACTTGATAACAAATTTGAGTCAATGACTCGTATTACAATTTGGTCAAGTGTTTACTAAAAAATATACAATATTTACAATCTTTCCCTTCTTCAGAGATTTTTATCATGCTTTATTTATAGCTCAAAGAATATGTTGAATTTGTTGCTGGATTTTACATGAGATTTAAAAGACAGTTCTTAGTTCTTACTGATTCATCGTTGTGGAGACTTCATTCCTGTCTGGAGTACCTCACTCCAAGCCTAAGTCACCATAGCAATTGATAAAATTTATGAGCAAAACGGCTTGAAGGTAAGGAAGGCTTAAGTTGATGATACATACCTGTAAGGTAGCATTTTAAAATTTTTGTTTTCTTCAGGTTTTGAAACAAGAGAACTCCAGCCTTTCACAAGAAGTGCTAGTGGTAAAGGAGACTGCTGTGAAGACAGCTGGGGCCCCTAATGGAGATATCCATGATGAACCTGCAGAAAATAAAATAGCTGTTTCACAGCATGAAAAAATGTAAATATCAGATATGTGTTTTGGCAGTTTATTTATCTTTTCTCTGTATGATTTTCTTCCTGTTTTAAGATACTATTAGCACTGATTGGATTCCATGAGATTAATACCATGAATGATGGTATACTGTTAATTCTAATTATAAAAACACTACAACAAATCTGTGATTGTGCTTGGAGAATACACTTGCTGTTTGAATCAAAATAAGGAATTTAATTATATATAATCAGACTTTATGTTATGTAATGATGATTTCTAACAAACTTGTGGCATGATCATTTCAGAGTTTCAGAAAAAGAAACAGAAATCAAGAGACTTGCAGCTGACATGGAAGCCAAGGACTCCGAATTGTCCAAGTTACAGAGTGAGGTTGATAAGCAGAAGAAGAAAAACAATGTAAGACACTGGTGTTGATTTGTCATAATAAGTTCAGTATCAGCTTCATCACTGTTGTACTGTTCTCTCTGTCAAAGCACTTTTCTGGTATATAGTTAAACATTGATACTCAGCAAAACCAGTTCTGCTCGTCAGGCTGCTTATGAAGAAATTATATTTTGGAAAGCTTGTTGAGAGAGCAGTGCAACTTTGCTGTTTACATTTAATGCAAAAGAAAAGATTTGATTGGAATCCTGACTTTCACATGTAGTTTTAGTGGCATATCATGGGCTGTTATCAAATCTTCTCTTGTGTAAGAAAGCATGACTTGTTAAATTTACAGGAAAAATAATACACAATTCATGTGATAATTTACACTTCAAACAGCTTGTGATTGGGAAAAATATGCCAGTTCCTGTTTTGTTTACTAACATACAAATTGATCTTGTGACAGAGATTGAATAAGTGATTTTTTTTGTTTGTTACATATACTATTCTTGTAATCTTTCATTGTGTTTATGCCACTATCTAAGGTTGAGGGGACTGGTTATGTATGTACTTAGAGGTTATATAGAAAAAGACAAGTTAGGATTTTTTTGTTGATAGCTCAGGATGATACAGAAATATATGTCTTGGGTGATTGACATTCTTCTGTGTTTCCCTACCCACAATTCTTTCTTTCTTTTTTTTTCCTCATTGGAAATATTTAAAAGTTCTTTTACCCAAACATGCCTTTCTTGTCAATGGTAGTTATTCCACTACCATAGACATTGTATTCATATCAAGAATACCTACATTGCATACATTCTACACTATTTTGGTAATCTTTAATTACTTGACAACCCATTTGGAATGCTGAATTTACATTTTTCTTACCTACAACTGAGCATGAGAATTTACACCACAGTACAAGCCGTTGAGTTGGCTAATCCATTTATCGTGGCTGCTTAGTGTTTAATGACTGACACAATCCGTTGTTTACTAAATTCTTATCTAGGATTTGAGGCAAAAGAATTGGGAGGCAATGGAAGCCTTACAAAATGCTGAAAAGTCTGTAACACATCAAGTTCAATCTGCTGTCAAAGATACAAAGGTAAAATCTTAACTTCAGTTTTTTTTTTTTCCATTTTTGACTTTTTATTGTACATTTTCAACTTATTTTTGTCAGTACTAAGAGCAAAATGGTTTTTTTTTCACATTAAAGTGTGACTCACTGTAAATACTTTGTCATAGTGAATATTGTGCAGTTTTCAGCTTCACTCAGTGTTGTTGCAGATGTTTATGTTTGAAAAAGAGCTTTTTATTTCCTGTATACAAACTTTATTAATTTCATTTAGAGCATCATTTTTATTCATTTTTTTTTTGTCTTCAAATTGCCGAGACTTGCAAGTTATCATTCACTAATCATTAAATAAGTTTCTTTACTTGTCTTCTTTCTTGCTCAGAATGTAAGTAATCTTTTAAGTTAATTCTATCAACTCCCCATGTCACCAGTGCCATACAGCTACTTGACTCACCATACCATGCTTTAGACATTATAACACATCTACAATGTATTTTGAGTATAATAAACACATTTGACTGGAATTTGAGACACTTGTTTGAATTTATGTAAGCATAAGTCCAGACCTGTTCACTTTTTTTTAACAAAAATATTTTGTTTACTTTCCCATTTCTTTGTTGTCTCCTGATATCTCTGTGTCTCTTTGTTGGATGGTTACCCTGGTGATGATCCTTCACTGCTTGCCCTCCTATCCTCTAGCATTCCCATCCTAAAGGTTCAATAGTTTTGTCTATGCTGTATTCTGCTTTTTATATGTCAAAACAGAAAATGTTAAAAGCATGCTTGTATCATCCAGTTCATCTCCCCTGCATCACATTAACAGGTTTAACTGACTGTGTGGTGTTGAGTTTTGTGTTTTTATGTCACATTTTACTTTCAGTTTATCATGTGTTATCTTAGTGACAGCTACTAAAAAAGATTTCACACATGTCCTAGGATTACAATGTCAAGACTAATTTGTTTGGGTTGAGTCTTGACTTTGAATACATTGTGTTTGTTTCAGTTGTGCTATTCATGATCAGTTAAAGAAAATAATTATTTTTAGCTCACCTGGTCCAAAGGACTGGTGAGCTTATGTCGTTGCATGGTTGTCTGTCTGTCAACTTTTTATTAGAATCACTACTTGTTAGAAAAGACCGAACAGATTTTGCTCAAATTTGGTTAGAAGCATTCTTGGGGGAAGGGCAACCATTCCTAAATAGATATTGGTTGTCTGCCCCTAGAAGCCTGAGGATGGAGGCCCAAAAGGCAAATTTTGAAAGTTCTTTAAAATCCTTCTGTAGGAATACATGAATGCTGTCCCTGTTTTGTCTGAAGAATGCTTGGGTGAATGGGAATCAATTTTGTATACTGGTCATGTATAGGTTATGTCCCTCTGGGGTGGGGTCAAACTGTGGAAATAGAGGAATTGCTCTGAAATCCTCTTTTATGGGAATGCCTTGATTCCATCCTGATTTGATCTAATGTTTGACCAAAAGGCTGGGACCTAAGTATTTTAGAAATTATTTGTCATATTTGAAATTCTTTGTAAAATGACTGAGCAGCTAAATTAGCCAGATGAGGGACACTAGCCCTTTGGGCCTATTGTTTTCTGATGTTTTTGCATTTTATCGTTAAGCTTTATATCTTTGTGAAAATTGGTGATGGGATGTAACCAGTATTGTCATTTACAACATATTGAACTATAAAAATGTAAACAACATTTTAGAAAAAATTTATATTGGAATGGTGAGGAATGAAATAAAAAGGATAAATGCAATTCATTGTCATTGTATTGGACTGAAAGAATAGGCTGTACTTGAACTTATCTTGATAAAGAGATAGAAATATCCAGCAAATGTATCGGTAATGATGCAAATATTAAAAATGTATGTGTTTCTAGATTTAAATTTTGGTAAGTATGAACAATAACGTTTTCTATGTTTCTTGAAAAAACACCTGAACAGATTTTGTTTCTTTTCGCAGGATGAAAGTGCAGCATTAGTAACAGACACAGAAAAATATGATAAAACAGTATTACAGAAAATTTTCCCAGATATTTCTGTCAACACAAATTTGGTGAGTGAATACAACAGAATGTGAACAAAGGACTTAGTACCTTGTAATTTACTAGGTTTTATACATGGTAGCAATGATGAGTGGACCTTTGGGTGTCTTGTGTACTTGATCAATGTTTTCATAATGTTTTTTAATAGATATATGTTGAATAATTATTACCAGAATTCTTTGGTCACATGTGCAGGCCAATAAGTTTGAACTTGACTTGTAAGCAGAACACTAACAAATTCAATGTTTCTTTTTAGGTCCATAAAGAATGGATGTCCAGCTTTGAGAAAGAAGCTATAGTACAATTACAAAGTCTGTCTAGTGCGAATGAATCTGTAAGTATGTTACTGTACCTTTTAATTATTGCAGTAACCACATTTCAATGATCTTAAAACTACTTCATGCTACTACTGATTCAATTTAAGGTATATATATTATCGCCAAAACTTTGAACAAATCGAACAAACACCTTGTCACTCTTTGTGGAGAATTTATGTGTAGTGTCTTGTGTTTTTAGGTTACAAAGTCCGAAGGAAAAGTAACAGAACTTCAGGGTCAAGTTAGCAGTCTAGAAACCCAAGTACAGGAGTATAAATCCAGTCTGTCTTCTTCAGTAAGTCTCACCTTGCAGAGAAAACATTTTTACTAACTAAATGTTTGATGTTTTGCGATCAACATACCTGTACACAGATTTAGTTTGGTACCGCACAGCCAGTCTGCAAGTCTTTTATTGTTTTACAACTGTAGTCATATATAATTCTTGGTACAGAATTGAACTCAGCAAAGTAAAGTCAAGTGATCTTGTGATGTAGACTTAAACACATCATCTCTGTTGGTTTTACAGAGTGCCACTTTTGAAGCCAAAGTCAAAGATTTACAAGAGAAAAACAATAGTTTGCAATCTGAGGTCCAAAGACTACAGACAGAAACATCCAATGTACGTACCACATATGGCATTCCAACTCCGTGTTTAGACACCTCTTAAGTTATTTCTAGATATATCAATATGTTCACAAATATAGTTCTATAAAATTCATGAAGTGTAAATAAACGATCAGATAAATGATTTGATGTAGAAATATTTGGTATCAGTAACGTGATATGATAAACCTGTTAGTGTCTTTCTCTGATGCAATTAATCTGGACTTATTCTGTGATATAGTTCAACTAATGCAGTAGCATATGTGTACTTTGTTGTAAATTACAAAGATCTGTCATCAGTAATTCCAATCCAATTTTACTTATTCTGAATGTGATGTCAGTATAGCAGGACAGCAAATACAATGCATCTTCCCATTCATCACATGAGAATACCTGTAAAAGCATTTATAATGAAAAAAAAAAAAAAAAAACTTTAAATGGCAGCTTTCCTGATATTGTGGCATGATTTACGTCATCTGTATCAACAAAAAAATTCTCAAAATACAAAATAATACAGCTACTGATAGTACATCAAAATTGCAATTTGTATTAGCAAGATAGAAAAAGGGTGCCAATTAAGAAACAGCTACTTTCAAAATATTGGATGTTCATTTGCAGATGTCAAGTTCAGAAGTCAAAGTTGCTGAATTAGAAGAAAGTAATAAAATCTTAGAACAACAAGTCCAAGAAAATAAACAACTGCTAGACACATCAGTAAGTTCTGTGCATATTGCTTGCATGGACGTATGAATTAGAGAAGCATGAATTGATTTTCTTATTAACCAAGTTCTAAAAGCAGTCATTTCGGTGTTTAAATTTAAAACTTTTTTTAAACTTTATGGTGATGTGATTTATATACTTTTGTGTATTGTAGAGTGCCAGCTATGAAACCAAAGTCAAAGAATTAGAAGAGAAAAACAATAGTTTAAAATCTGAGGTTGAGAAACTTCAAGTAGAATCTTCAAATGTATGTATGAAATTACATTGTTTCCATACAATTACAAAATAAATTTTTCATTTAGATGTAAGACAACTTAGCATTGCATTATTATTTCTTGTTCAATACAAAAATAAAAAGTGTACATCAATATAATAGTATGGTATTGTAGCCAACAAACTAGGGACTGGTTTCCTCTTGTTCAGTAGTAGGTTTACTGATTTTACCCTGGGTATTGGGCTTTATCAGGTTTTTTTTTTATTTGTTTAATACTAGTTTTAACTTCAATAAATGCTCCAGCCTACTTATTGATGTAAATTCTTTACTGGAGACAGAAACTTTGATAAACTAAATAAAAAAGACATGAACTATCATTCCTTGTAGACATGTTAATAAACTCGTGTATATTCTGTGTTTGTAGGTGTCCAGTTCAGACTCCAGGGTGACAGAATTAGAAGAAAGCAATAAGAAATTAGAGACCCAAGTCCAGGAGTATTTAAATGTTCTAGCTACTACAGTAAGTGTTCTCAAGCCTCATAGAGAATGTTCTAGCTACTACAGTAAGTGTTCTCAAGCCTCATAGAGAATGTTCTAGCTACTACAGTAAGTGTTCTCAAGCCTCACAGGGAATGTTCTAGCTACTACAGTAAGTGTTCTCAAGCCTCATAGGGAATGTTCTAGCTACTACATTAAGTGTTCTGTTTTCAAGCCTCATAGGGAATGTTCTAGCTACTACAGTAAGTGTTCTCAAGCCTCATAGAGAATGTTCTAGCTACTACAGTAAGTGTTCTCAAGCCTCATAGAGAATGTTCTAGCTACTACAGTAAGTGTTTTCAAGCCTCATAGGGAATGTTCTAGCTACTACAGTAAGTGTTCTCAAGCCTCATAGAGAATGTTCTAGCTACTACAGTAAGTGTTCTCAAGCCTCATATGGAATGTTCTAGCTACCACAGTAAGTGTTCTGTTTTCAAGCCTCATAGGGAATGTTCTAGCTACTACAGTAAGTGTTCTCAAGCCTCATAGAGAATGTTCTAGCTACTACAGTAAGTGTTCTCGAGCCTCATAGGGAATGTTCTAGCTACTACAGTAAGTGTTCTGTTTTCAAGCCTCATAGAGAATGTTCTAGCTTCTACAGTAAGTGTTCTGTTTTCAAGCCTCATAGGGAATGTTCTAGCTACTACAGTAAGTGTTCTCAAGCCTCATAGAGAATGTTCTAGCTACTACAGTAAGTGTTCTCAAGCCTCATAGAGAATGTTCTAGCTACTACAGTAAGTGTTCTCAAGCCTAATAGAGAATGTTCTAACTACTACATTAAGTGTTCTCAAGCCTCATAGGGAATGTTCTAGCTACTACAGTAAGTGTTCTCAAGCCTCATAGGGAATGTTCTAGCTACTACAGTAAGTGTTCTCAAGCCTCATAGAGAATGTTCTAGCTACTACAGTAAGTGTTCTCGAGCTTCATAGGGAATGTTCTAGCTACTACAGTAAGTGTTCTCAAGCCTCAAAGGGAATGTTCTAGCTACTACAGTAAGTGTTCTCAAGCCTCATAGGGAATGTTCTAGCTACTACAGTAAGTGTTCTGTTTTCAAGCCTCATAGAGAATGTTCTAGCTACTACAGTAAGTGTTCTCAAGCCTCATAGAGAATGTTCTAGCTACTACAGTAAGTGTTCTCAAGCCTCATAGGGAATGTTCTAGCTACTACAGTAAGTGTTCTGTTTTCAAGCCTCATAGAGAATGTTCTAGCTACTACAGTAAGTGTTCTCAAGCCTCATAGGGAATGTTCTAGCTACTACAGTAAGTGTTCTCAAGCCTCATAGGGAATGTTCTAGCTACTACAGTAAGTGTTCTGTTTTCAAGCCTCATAGAGAATGTTCTAGCTACTACAGTAAGTGTTCTCAAGCCTCATAGAGAATGTTCTAGCTACTACAGTAAGTGTTCTCAAGCCTCATAGAGAATGTTCTAGCTACTACAGTAAGTGTTCTGTTTTCAAGCCTCATAGAGAATCTATCGTTTAGATCACATTATTATCATAGTAAATTTGTTATGAATTCAATGAACAATCCCTCAGAGATATACCATTTTAATGAATAGATTTTACACTTGGGAGATTATCATTCATACTGGATGCCACAAGGTGAATCTACATTATGTCGCAGAATTTTACATTTAAGCAGACAAACATTATCAGTCTTTTGAATGAAACATTTTGGCCTAAAACAGGATATACTTGTAGATATTGATACAGGCCTCTTTGTCAAAACTTGTCAGAAATCAATTTCATTATGTTGGTACTTACATCATAACGCGCACACATGGTCCAACTTATAGAACTGAAAATAGCCAAAATGATGTGTATCTGATATGTTGCCCCTGGTCTGTGACAAAACAAGGTACAAAAATGACCTAGATGCAGTATATCAGATTCAGATATATTGGTCAAAAATAGTGAAAAAACAACCTTAGAGGTGGGTTTCAGCCAGTAGATGTCAGGCTATGTTTTTTTCTGTTGCCAGGAGTCCAAGTTACAGCAGCTAGAGAATAGCGTGGAAGGAGAGGAGAAAAAGTGGCATGATAAGCTACAGACTGTTCAAATAGATTTGGAACAAGTATGTACATATCTTTTATCTTTCCAATTTTCTACAATATTGATATGTTGGAAAATAAAATCATCTAAGGTAGGTCAAAATAATTGTCAGGATCAGTTTGTTTATCTGAGAAAGAGTGCAACATCATGGCTTAAACCCCTCAACACATATTTATTTTTAGTATGGTAACATCCAGATCTGCACCATAAGGATTTCAGAGGTGATAATTCACTGTTGAGATGTTTTAATGTCACTATTTTGACAGTGTTATGTTTTTGATGGCCATTCATGATCAAATCTTCTCTTTGACTGCTTTATCAGGGTTGCTGGAAATTTTAATTTAAACCTATGCTCACATTTCATTTATTTACATATATCTGCCAAATGTGTTGGGAAGGTGTGGTTTGGTGTAATGGTCCAGGGTGGTCTTTTTATTCATCTGTCTGTCTGTCAACCCATACAGGGTTTCTGTAAACAAATATTTTGATTTGTGAATGAATCGTTGTCGGTGATCCCAATAACTTAATTGACATTAATTGTCGAGAAATGCACCTGTTATATAGAGTGTGAAAGTCTGTGTAATTGACTAGAAGTTCATATCAGTAATACTGATTATAAAACATTTCAGGCCAAACAGGAGGTCACATCCTTACAGAATGAGTTACAAAAGTCTCAAGCCAACACAGAGGTACGTACATTTTAGGAACATCGGTTTTTACTTTGTCATGTAGTTACTATGTTGTATCTATTTATCTGAATGCCTTGTAATACTGCTGTATCTACCTTTCCTCTTTCGAGCAGGAGAAATTTTTGTCAACTTGCATTCACAAACACAAAATATGGGTTCAAATTGATAAAATGTAATCAAGGAGTTATCCACAACATGGTCAAAAATCTGAGTTGTTTGTTGATAAAGTTGACAATGTTCTGTATCTGAACACATATATATCTCCTTATATCTTATTTATGATATATTGTTGAATGTTATTTTTTCCTTTTGTTTTGTTTATATAAGTTTTTTCTTAATTTGTACATATTTATTACTGGTATTTACATTCTTAGCCGTTTTGTGACGCCTGCCAGTATATAATTTAGATATTAGTTAGTCATTGTGCTTTGTATCTTTGGAGGAATCATCAGACTTAGTGTAGCTTGCCTGGATTATTTTATAGATGTCCTCCACTCAAGTTTGATATGCTGCCACATGCTTATCATGTCTCTGTGATCTGATTGGCTGATAGGTTCTGCATTATATTTCTTGCAGGAAGTGTTGGGATTTTTAGGTGAAACATTTATAGTATATCTTGTACCCTATTCCCTGACTCAACACGTTCAGTGCACAGTCTTGTATAATGAGGCTGTTGCAGTTTTTTTTGGATGATGCTTCCCTTATAATCTTTTGATGGAATTTTCAGATTTCAATCAAACTTGCTTCGTATATTTCCTACCAAACCCACCAGCTCAATTTTGATGTTTAATTGAATTCATGAATCACTTAGTGGTTGCTGTGGTCTGTGTCTGATATATACTGTCTGGTTTCATGAAATTTTCCTGAAATACTTGATAACTAATAATTTTACCACTAAAGTTTACTACAAGGTAAAAATCACTCATTGGTGAGATGGTGGGTCTTATCTAAATTTTGACCTTTGACCTACATTAAAGTTCAAGTTTGCTTTATTTTCTATACTTGTAGGCCATGCAACTTCATACTTTGGGTATGGGTTCACCTTTGTGTATAGATTGTGGACTGTAATTTGCCAAATTATCTTGTTTTACAAATCCATTGACGAAAGCTTAATCTGTGATTGTTTGATGCGAACACTATATAAGTGATTTGATATTAATACATCAGTGAATTAAATATTATGCTGGGTGGGTAAATTATTTGAATCAATCAGCATTCTGTGCTACTTAAGCCAAAGCAGGCGTCACATCCACCTTTTTGTAAATTTTCCATCTGAAAAGTTTTGCTACTTCCACGAATGCCTCCATTGATGTGTGTGAATATATATATGAATATTTAATGTTGTGTATGAATGTGTGTGGTTTTGTTGTATGCTTGAACTCTGCAACTGAATGACATATTTCATTTCACCTGATTTTTTGTTAATTGTTTTTATTACTTGCATTGAAAAAAGTGAGAAGTTTTTAAATGTTGCTTTTCCAGGATATGTATTATTGAATTTGAACTTTAGAAAAAAGTAGATTTGTTGGTCGACAGACATTTTGTTTCCAAGAGACCCATCAAAAAAGGAACAAGACTTGTCCCTCTTTCCCACACACTGTTTTGGTCCTTTGTAGGCACTAGGTGAATTGGAGTTTGCTTATCGATGTCTAGAGAAAAGTTTGACGCAAATAACTGATGAGGTAGGGGAGAAAATGGAGGGAAGACAGCTCCCATCACTTTCACTCAAACATGTCCTGGTCTTGCCTACTAGCTTTTGTGCTTCAGACTTTATCCTGTTTTGGCATGATTTGTTACTAAATATACTGCTGGTTCTTACCACGGCTTCTCGGTCACACATTCCAATTACTCTAAATAATGTTTCTACTTATCATGTATCATATCTATAAAATAAATAGATACTATACCCTTGTAAACATGTATATAAAACTTTTATGATATACACATTTTTACATAATCAGTATTTGCATATAATCTGCATAAGAATACACTGCAAAATCTAGAAAAGCCAAGTCATTTGTAAGTTCAATGAAGCTGAAATGCTAGAACTGTTTGTGGCTGTGTGGTATGACTTTTGGGTACTCCATACTAACTCTGTGTGGGTGTGTGAGGTTAAACGTAACATGGACTAGCTGCATGACTGAGCTGGTCTCTAGAGGGCTGTCACTGTTAATTTCAAGACAAACATGATTATTATTGATGTGTGAAATTGAAAAAAAAAAAATGAAACAAAAAAACAAACAAAAATGATACATTATCTTTGCTCAGTGATACTAATGCATGTTTTCTTTCAAAGCAGAGATCCAAGATTTCAAAATTTAGTATATGTAAATAAAGGCTATGTAAAGTATCTATTTTGTCATGTTTTAAACATTTAAAGACCTTTACATTTCCTGTAACATTTTTCTTGGCACCCTTTTTTCGATCATTTAAAACTTGACAAATTCAGAATCATCATATTTTTCCAAATTAAAGATGGGCGAAGTTTGCAGTAGTGAGTAGTCTCCCTTGGTGGACATCATATTTTGCACAGTTTAACGGAAAATAGTTTAGATACCATGTATACCTGGTTGATGCACTTCTTACCCACATTCAGACATATATGATAAAGTTTCTGTTGCCGAGCCCGGGAAATGCTTCACTATTGCGTTCAAATATTGTCATTGATTCAACAATAATTTAAAGAGAATAGTTCTAAGTGTTTTTGAAAAAATCTTTTTTTGAGCACTGGTATTTGGAAAGAACAGTCCTTAACTGGCTTTCCATATCAAGTCAAATCAAATTCCAAAGGGGAGAGAAAAAGTCATGTATACTAACATATGTACTAGTAACCATACTAACACATTTTGTTGTGATATTGAAAAAAATAAGAACATATTCAAATTTTTCAGATGAAAGAGAAGGTATTAAGTCTAGAAGGCCAGTTGAAAATATCTGAAGACAAGTGTTCACAGTTGCAGAGTCAAGTTGAAGAGGTTGGCTATTGTTGTTCAATAAATGTTTGGCATTCTTGGTATATGTGTCCTACTGTATTGTGAACAGGAAATGATGAGTTTCACAGTTAGAGTGATGATAGGCAAAACACTGAAGGAAAACTTTCATTATTGAAATTACTCTAGTGGGCTACTACAATTCTCACAGCACGAATCCAGGAAGGTTAATAACTGGAATGGTTAATCATTTTCGTTTTCATGCAGGATGTTTTGTTGTTTTATAATGAATAATTCTGCTTTTTTTGGCAGACATTTTTCGATAATTTGAACCACCATTTGACTAAATTCACTTTTGAAATTTTGTTTGTACTGTGTACTTAGATAAGGAATAAAAGAAAACATATGAATGAATCAGTCAGTCAGTCTTGTATAATTTGATTTTCTTTTCACCATGGTTTTATCGTTTGGTTGATCAGAGCGAAGAGAAAATAAGAACGATTCAGGAGTCTGAGAAATCCACAAGTAACCAAGACGATTTACTGAAGGTGAGTTTATTTGTTAGTAGTTATAACTTGGGCATGTGCTCTATCGCATTCTGTTTTAATAACACAGCACCTTTCGTCTAGTTTTCAATTTGTTCACCTTCAGTAGATTTGTGGGTTTTGTTCTGTATTTGTTTTTCACAATTTTCTCTATTTACTCCTTAAATGAGTTGGGGAACCACTGATAATTTTGGTAACAAGTATGGCGATGATGACCTCACTTAATCTAATTGGGATGCTGATGAGATGAAGTAAATATCTTGATACCACACCTATATATACCTATTGACTAGTCTGGGTTTTTTTCAATGATTTCAAATGCTGAATCCATGGCTGCATGAACTGGGAGATAATATTGTTTAGGGTTGATAGATAGGTATATAATTTGTATTTGAATTTCTGACTTCATATAGAGGGCGATGTATCATGTCAACACTTCATTGTCATTAGTTTTGTGAAATTTTCATGAAAATTAACATCATTAAAGTAGCTTTAATATGAAAAACAGCAAATGAAAGAGAAGAACAGAAGTTAGAATATAAAAATACTCTAAATGAGAGACTTATGTGTGTGGCAGTGATCTGCAGTTTGATGCTGTCTATGTTGTTTCTATGTGTAGAAAGGTTTTGTGGGTATGGTAACATCTTTATGTATGGATGGAGTCCCTTAAAACTAACTTTACATGGTAGTATTAAAAGGGCTTTAGTGTGTTATAACATTCTGTAGTTTTCACACACTACTAGATGTTTGCAGCATAGTTTATAACACAATAGAGTTCATAAGCCATTTTTTAATCCATTGACTTGCCTAGATCTAACAGAATAAATCTAACAATTTTGCTTTAACAATTAACAGCAAATAGAAGAACTGAAGAAGTTGTTAATGGAAGAAAGTAAGAAAAGCAAAAATTTAGCAACAACCAATGTGAGACTGAATGGCATTATAAAGACTGGTCAGGACTCCCTGGCCCAGGAGCAAGCATTGGTGGATAAACTCAAGTCAGAGATGGAGAAAAGCAAGGTACCAAATGGTCTAGAATATCTGTTACGGAAAATTTCAATCGTAATGAATCGTTTGAATGCAAAATTGCATTGGATATTTTCCATCCATAGAACTCTGCTGTAGACCAAGCTTAGAGTAAAATTTCCTGGAATCTATGTTCTCCATCTACCTGTAGAATCTTCTCCTACCTTGCATTTTCCTAAATTTGGCAAAATTTAAGGAGAATTTTTTAAGAATTTTAAGAAACTGATATAGTCTGACACTACACTCTTAATTTATGCACATGCACTTACTTTTCATGTGGGTATTATCAATATTTTTTTATTTTTGATATGGGAGTTGATTTTTCTAGAAAAACTTGTCCGCAAAATCTATACTGACAGTATCTACAGATTCTTAAATTGTATGTAACTTCATCGATGTAACCTTTACACTCTGAAGTTGTACATGTGTATACCTTGTCTTTTTACTGGGATATTTTTTATAGATTTATGCTTTTAAAAATTCATGAACAAAGTCAGGATTTTACAGATTACAACTGAATTTTATGAAAATCCATATTGATCATCACTACGAATTCAAACTTTTTACTCCTGCACTTCTTTTTCCAAGTCCAACTGAATTTATGGGTGTCGTCTAATTTACATGATTTCTGTCTTGAATGTTATACATTGAATGGTTTTACGGACATGGATTTTACAGTCCAATTTATCGTAACTGATCACAACTGGTCCTACTATACTATTAACTGATCGAACTTCATGTACATTGCAATTCGATTTCATTTGTCACACATAGTACAAACAGAGAGATATGTTTGTTTAAATATCAAACAGGGTGATTTGTAGATGAATCTAATTGTAGACTGTTTCTTATAAGTCACTTTCACCGTTCCTTACACTCATATTTTGTGCTACAGGGGTCAAACGGTGCAGCACCCAACAGTGAGATAGAACAGGTAAGTTACACCTACTATCTATTTCATTCATCACCTGTATATTGGCATGGTAGAGTAAAGCTTTGTTAAAAAAACACTCGCTGAAATACACCTCAGATAATTGTGAAAAAGCACATGCTGAAATACACCTCATATAATTGTGAAAAAGCACATGCTGAAATGCACCTCAGATCACATAAATAATGCTGCAATAGGAATCTTTACTGGTAGGTTATTCACAAATTTAACAAAAATGCACTTCATTTAACTTCCTACAGCTGAAAGCTAAACTTGAGGAGAAGGAAAAACAGCTGGAAAAGGAACTGCTAGCAAAGAAACAGCTCTCACAGAGACTGGTGAGTTCTACTGTAGACTTATGAGGACATGGGTCTAGACTCTACACTATAGCACCAATAGAAATTCTATATAGATTTTTAAGAAAAATTTAAACATACTACTAATTTAATAGGGAACTTGAGATTTGGTTGGCGGATAATTCAGATATTGGTATTTTAAGGAAGTCTTATGATAGAATTAGGTTAATGGTATATGTTGAGCAAGAAAGTCCAGATAGTTTAACAAAGATGTTTTCCTGTTCAGTTACATCAACATTGTAGACCAGAATATTGGCATGGCTTCCTGAATAAGCATGCAGTATTCGATCACAGGTTCGGACATGAAATAATCTCTAAACATCAGTGGGGTCAGTGCGCTATATGATAAGTCAAACATAAACCATTTGTGAGCTAAAACAGAAATGTTTTCTTAACTGACCTCATTTTTAAGCATTCAACTTGCAGCCTATGATGCTCCCTGGGGTGGGATTTGTATGTGGTGATGTTTATGTAACATACTGCAGACCAGTCCATGAGATTAATGATGAAAATCAGAGTGATCTGGTTTGATGTTGTTTGGTCTGGCCAGATTTATGTTGTAAAATAGCTAATTTGGAAAAGCTTGTCTTGTTTGGAAAGTTCAGAGACATGCTTAAATGATCAGCAAATAGCACAATAAAGTTACCATCTTCTCCTTGGTTGCTGATGGGGAATTTTGTGTCACTCAGAAAAGTTCTCTCGTTCTTCAAGTACATTATTAGTATTTATAGAGCTGTCACCTCTACGTTCACGATATTGGCCATCTCTGGTAGAACACTGTAGTGATTTTAGCAAGGGGTTATTCAAAGGAACAATAGCACTTTATTACAGATTTTTTTTTCCTGTCAGCATGTACTGACCTCCCCTGTAAGCAATTTCTTTCTTAGTAATGTTTCTCTGTACAAACCAGTAAAGTATTTAATTATGTACTTGTGTCCTGTAGGTACAGACAGAAACACAGTAGACAGATGTACAGGTGAAACCTTTAATGCCTGATTATTACTAGCTGTGTACCCCCTAACTTTTCACCTCATTCACTCCTAAACACACAGAAAAGTTCATCTTAAAAGTTAACAATAGAATTATCTTAATTTCTGTGTGTAATTTAGGTTTGAAAGAGTGTGCCTAACTGCATTATCAAGAAATATTCATGAAAATAGTAATGTTTCTATACTACCAGCATAAAAGCTGCTGCATTGCAATTTCTGCTGGGATTAGTCTTTTCATTTTGTGATGTAATGACAAACTTGAAAGAAAATAGATCCAAATTTCCTGTTATGCAGTTTGTATTTGAGATAAACCAACTGTGTGCATTTTCACTTAAGTTTGAAGTGACAATGATAATAACATGTGTATTTTGATTTAACTTGTATTGTATGTTTAGCATGCAGTTTTAATCACTAATTTTTTCCTGATTTTGTTCTGTATATTAGCTTCGGTATTTGAAAAGAATACATACTTTTAGTTTGCTTCAATGTTTCCAAACTGTTGAAAAATGAATGTCTGGCTTTGCAGATGCTTATTTTTGCATTTGGTCAGTGATACTGCTGAAATGTATTGTTAAGAGTCAACTTGACATACTTTTGCTAATCGCTTATTTCTTAATGTGCATTCGTTCTTTTGACAAACTTTACAGTATTTTGTTAGAGTACCGATTTGAATATGTATAGGTGCTTTAGACAGCTGGTGTTTAGTGGTGGGCAATTCAAATCGCCTTTTGATCTTGGTCAATCATAGCAGTTCTTGTTATCAAATATTCTTTATGTACTGGAAGATTATCAAGTTAATATACCAAAAGATTATTCTTAAATTTTGTACGTAGGTTTCCCTTGACAATTTTGAAACTTCTCAGGAAAACAAATTGGCCTACAGGAGGCCATCTTGGATTTAGCATTTAAAGATTATCAGTACTATTTCCTAAGTGGAATTTTCAAATTAACAAAACCAAAAACAGAGGAAAGAATAAAAAAAGGAGGGAAAATATCCTTTTTTATGTAAGAACTTATATAGACCAAACAATGGTGGGCACCAAGATCCCTCTGGAATATTTTTTTACCTAGTTAAAATTTAAATATTAGCTGTAGGTGTTTTTGACAGCTTGTGTATACCTAGTTAAAATTTCTATTGTAGCTGTAGTTGTTTGTGATAGCTTTTTATATGTTGTTGCTAACATTGATGCCATCATTTTTTTTCTCTCTATCACTGGCACCCTAGGCTCAGTTAGGTGTAATGGTGAGTACTGTCTCCCCACATTACTGCCAAATCAAGCATATCATCCCGCACCATCTGTCTGTGTAATGGGTTCAATCATGCATACCATCACAGGTGGCTAGGCTTCATTTGATCTATTTGGTCAGAAAGATAATTTGGATAGGAAGGGGATGTGTTGTAATTAAGATTCTCGTTGTGAACAAACAATACAAGAAAATCCAAATGATGTTGTTGTGGAACAGAACTTCAGAAAATAATTTCGCCATATTCATAGTCATATTCATCATTTAAAAACTACTGTAATCATTTACACATCAGGTCTACAACTTCATTGTAACCTCTTGGTAAAGGCAGGCACACATCACCCATCCCTATCACTCCCCACTTCTAGAGAAACATTTGGAATTAAGGAAACTCAATTAACCATGCTTTCCATTTTCACACTGCACTTTGTTATGTCACTATGCATTTGTATGCATGTTCTTAACAATAATAATTGTATAATTAACAAGATTTAGATTAAAATTTTTTCATATCATTTTACTAATAACAGGTACCGTAATATGGAAATTAACACTTTAAAATGTTATACATACATATGTACTATTTATCAAAATTAAGTCTTGATTCTAATAGTTATTTATAAAGAAACATCTTTGAATTGCCGACACCTTATTGAAAAGGACTTTTTATTTTTTAAGAAAGTGATGGTACAGCTTAATAGCTAACTAGGACCAAGTACACTTGTGTTAGTGTTCCAAGGATGTACATAGAATTCATCATACTGGGGAAAATTTATATATTTGTAGGATGAAGCCTAAAATGATAAACAGTTGGATTCTAGAGATAAATGGAATGAAATTTATTGAAATTTCTACTGAACTATTTGTGATCTAAAATCGGTTTTTATTGCATGTGAGATTTCATGAAACAAGTCTAGAAAGTTTCATATCCGTCTTTTGATGTTGAGGGACTACTCGGTATATGATGTGAAATCTGGGTACTTTATTTTTATTGTCAATGTGTAGTATTGTGATACAAAAATAATTTATATTCAACAAATTTCCTACTGTTGAAATATTTTTGGTTCTATCGTGGGTGTGAAAATCTTAAATTATGATACACTTGGAATAAAACTTCTTCATATAAAAATGTTCTTGGTACACTTGTATATGACTGACAGACATCAAGAATTTATTCATTATCAGATGCGCTATTTAGCTGTTACAGACAGAAATGGTTTCACCCACACTTTCGTGTGTTTTGTGTAACTAATTAATGCTGGTCAGTAAAGACATTACCTTAATATTGAGCATGCATTGTTTCAGGCATCCTCTCAAGGGAATGACTTGGGAACGTCAGTGTAACAGTCGTGTGGTGCGGACCAAATTCTGATCAGAGGCATAAGGAATTAAGAAAGAGAAGGAAACAAGAAGAGATATTGAAACTGTCTGTGTGCAACACAGCAGCTGGACAATCTAATCCAAAGTCTCATTTACCAGTCCAGAGTACTGGTCGCTCAGTAACAGTGTTTAACATCACAGATGTGCTCCGGATGCTGAACTGCTTTTTTTCTGACTATGCCTTTTTTTATTATGTTCTCAAATTGTATGTTTAAGTTCACAAGCATTTGATTTTTTTTTTTTTTTTCATTTGTTTGAAGGACAATCCTGTATCATAATTTCAACCCATGAACTTCACAAAAGATACTTCAGTAACATAGACGATATCTCATCAAGTCATGACTTTTACATTTATTATTGATCATGATAACACACATACCAGAAATAATGTTAAAGTAAAGAAATCATCGAGAGACTAGAGTAGTGCTGAAAACTTTTTATATAACATTATGATCATACAAACCATAGTTACGATTCCTTATTAGGAAATCTGTCTTTTATGTTAAAAGGACACATTGAATCCAGGGGACAAAGTCAGTAATACACGAGTATAGGGTTAAATAAGATTCAGACAAGACACATTTATTTGTCTCCCAACACTTAAGAACTGTAGGTACTGTTTGCTTTTGCTCCCTGACAAGAAAAAAAATCATGCGTCCATTGCATATATTGTGCACTTCGCTTTTAAATAGAAAGATGTACACTCTCTGTGCTAAGTTTTTCTTGTGCTGATATAAACAGCAAAACACCATGACATGGTGCTGTTATTAATCGACAAATGTTATATTTACTTTTACGCTTGACTGGTGCCTCATCATTGTTATTTTATACAGGCCTTTGGTCCTCTTGTTTTGTAGGTTCCGCTTTTGACTTCAAATATGTTTAGGAAACAAATTCTGAACTCCGCTGAAATACACCTATCACTGACTTAGATGAAAAAAAGTCTGTTTCTATTAGGTGCAAACTAAAATGTATATCTTCTGTGGACATGTTTAATTGTTAAGAACTCCATACATAAATGATTGTTTCAACATTTCTCAATCTCACAGAGTTCCTAGGATCTCCTTGATATGTACAGAGCAGGCGTACTTTTAACTTAAACCCGTCTCACCCAGAACCTTTGCACATTTCTTGTATGCTGATGATTGTGTGGTTAGGTAGGATGGAGAGATGGGAGAAGACAACCACTTCCTTTTTAGTTTCTCTGCCACGACATGGCTCACTATGTGTTATGTGATGTGTTTTGTAAACATTAATATGTGCCAATTTAATATGCATATTTGGGTTGTGAACTCATGAATTTTTATGATTTGTTTCAAAGAAATGAATGAAAACATCAATTATATATGATGAACTTCTAGGTTTGTGAAATTTTGTACGAATTAAATTAAGTTACAGCTTGTCACAAAGAAAAATTTTTTTTAATTAACTTAAATGTCATACATACATACTACGAAAATTTGTTCCAGTACTGGTTATTGAACAGGTGAGAAAGTAGCATTGTTTGTAATTCAAAGTGTTTTGGATGAAAATATTAATTGTTGTTGGACAGGGTATTTCACCTTTAGAAAATAAAATATTTGATGTAAATAAAAGTAAATTATTTCACAACTTTAATGTAATTTACTTGTGAAGTATTTATAAAAGCATTAAAATCTAATGAATTTAGAAGTCATTCTGGTTAATGGATTGCCGATTTGTCTTACAAATCTTTGATAGCAGTGATGTCCATACATGAAATTTGATTCAACTTCTTTTTAATGCTTTGATAGAAAATAAGTTCTAGAATTAATATATATGGAAGAATTATATTTCAGCATAGCTGAAAGTAGAACAGTTTATGAAATGTTTTCTGAAAGAGTGATGGATAAAGTTATTAGCCCTACATATTCCCTGATGGTATTGTCTGGTGCACCCAGGTCAAATGAGTTAGGTGGAAGTGATTGATGTCAGTATTATTCTTGATAGTTTTAGAAAATACAAGCCATTTTAGACCAGTATTACTGATTTCAATGTGAAAACTATTAAACAACTTAGTGTCAATGCCTTGTTTACTGAATCACCTGTGTACAGAGAAAAATTTCTTGTCTTAAACTTACGTAGCCATAAATGCTATTTTCGTAGTTTGTTGGTACATGTTTTTTCAGTATTGTGGATTTTAATTGACCAATCCAGATTCAGTGTAAATAAGTTTCCTTTCGAAGAATACCTATGTTTCTTGCTGACTGACATCTGATGGCAAATGATGCGATATGTGATTACTAACAGAAGGTGCTATGTAATATTAATACCTGGGTAGGTAGATATTACTTGGTAACAGGTGATTTTTGTCATTGTTTAATTATTTTAACTCTGTAGAAATGTTTTGCCACAGATGAAATTCATAATTTTATGTTCTTGTATGTGGGACAAAATGTGTGTGCCAGTTTTATTATATTTGAAGCAATTTTTTTTTTTCTGTTGAAAATATATTTTGTGATCATTGGTTATCTTTTACTGTAAATGAAGTCACAAATTTTCAGACAACACAAAATACTTTTTTCGCAGTTATTTGATTAAAATATCCTCAAATATTTGTTGAACTATTTTCATATTTGTTTAAGTTTTCCTACTGCATTACAAAACAAAGTGACAGTTTGTGTGCCGTATAATCACCCAAATTGGCTTGCCTAATGATCTGGATCAGGATTGAACATTTGATGTTTATATGGTTGTAAATTAAGTGACAAAATGTGACTGGTGGACCAAACAATCAGGATAGCATGATAAATTCTATGACAGGAAAGTGACAGCTATATGCTGGCCTTCACTATTACCTGGGTGTGTTCAGTTTTTGTTTGCTGTAAATGTTTAGCCCATCAATATGCATTATGTAGCAGCTATATTCCTGTTCTGAGTAGGGACTTCCTTGTGCATACAGTAGTTTTTTCTGTTTTGTTTTGTTATGACCGGAGATATTTATTCATATTTAGCTGAATGATTTGGTACACAGATGTCGGGATATGGAATTATATAGAAAAGAGTGAGAAGTATTAAGGAGATATTAGGTGTGTTCCTTATGAGATGACGTACAGATATCTTTCCACTAGGAGCTCAACACTATTCAATTATTTAGGATTTGGTAAGATTGTACCTATATACCATTGTATTCAACATGGTATGTCTTTTTGTTTTGTTTGAAATTTTTAAGCATGAACAGTTGCGTCCATTTGTCAGGACCAAACCTTGTGGGCTGGTGGCAAGCTGCTGAATTGATGACATTTACAACCCACTGGCTTATTGTTAAGTTGTGCAGCTATTTACTGGTTGCTTCGTTGATGTTGGTTATGTGAGAGTAACGGTTTCGTCTTATAAAGACGAGTACCTATTCAGATAAGCTCAATTACATAACCAGCTCAGCTGTTATGTATAGTAGCTAGAATTTGTTGATGGCAGAATGACATACATGATCAGTACTCTGTGTTTGCCTTCAGATCACCATAAATGGTCAGTTTCTGTTACTTTTATTTATGTATAGATGGATTACTACTTAGTTGTTAGTCATTATAATAGTTTACTGGAAATTAATCTTGAAACTAGTCATTATGTCCATGTTTTTTGTCGTTTCATGTGATATAACATTTCATGAGAAATATAATTCGAGAAGGTTGTTAAGAATTCAGGCATTGTTACATTTTGATTTCATTCATCAGGTAGTCTTACTGTTATCAAAAGCAAAACATTTTCAAAACAAAAATTTATTCAGTAGAGTTTTTTTTTTTTTTTTTGCTGTAGTATGTTGTGATCTTCAGCATAGTTGAGTGCACCATTGCTCTTATAACTGTAGTCTTTTATGCTTAACTTTATTTCAATGGAAAAATTGATGCGTGTATACCTGTAAACTGTGACGGCTTCTTTGATTGTATCTTGTTTACATTCTAACTCTTTGATTTGTACAATTACTTAATTCAGTTTTGACTTTGTTCATTTTGCTGTCCTTTTAGATCATTTTTTACACTTGACCTGGGCCATTCTGGTCTGAAAACATTAAGTAATATTACCAGACATGCAGCTGTGGTGTCTTGAGGATGTGTAACTGCCGAGGATCATCTCTCTTATTATTGTTAATGCTGAGTGGGACTTGTGAAAGTTCTCTACATCTTGAAATAATTAATGTGTTTGTGTTTCAGGCTTCCAATTATGCATAACAGTTCAGGTATTGTTCAAATATTTTCACAATTTATATATGCCATTTCACCTCAAATCCAGAAATTTCTTTATATATATAAACGTGGAATGGTAAAAACTTCTGGCTTTCTTTGTCACTGCAGAATTGAAATGTTGGTTTCGGGAAAATGGTATATTTAAAATTTCAATAAAATCAGCTTTTGTCCAGACTTTGTAAGCAAATGCTATGTGTATTATTATTACATTGTATGTAAGGAATTAAATTGTTAAATGAATATAAAAAATGAAATATACCCGATCCATCAATAAATATGAAACTTCAAAACTGATGTCATCTGTTATTTTTTACACCAGCCATTGTATTTTGTCATGGGATTTTCTGTCTGTTGACTTTTGTAGTGCTTATTGCACTCTCATCTGATGGTGGGATAGTCAAATCGCTCTTCATTCATCTGTTCTTATTTAATGTTATTGCCATTTCTAGATACAGACCAATCTTTCTCAAATTTCATCTATAGCTTTGCCTTAGTCCCTAGTTGTGCCTAGTACATTTTTGGATCAACAGAAAAAACAAGATCACAGGTGGCCATCTTTGCTTTTGACAGTTATAGTTTGTAATGGCCTTGTAATTGACTTGAGATGCGCATAGGCCATTTTGGGATTGATCAGAACAAGATGACAGATGAGCGACAATCTTTGCTTTTGAAAATGAAATTTTGCTATGCCCATTTCTTTTTTTAAGAACTGGATGGAGTTTTCTCAAATTTTGTATGTAGTTTTTCCTTGCCCTGTTGATTTTGGACGGAAGGACAAAATGGCTGACAGGCAACCATCTTGGAACTAACAGTTATCAGTCATTACCAAAGGAATCTTCAAATATCTTATGACAGTGATTTTGACAATGAAAGTTTGTTATCGCTATTTCCTGAGAAGCACTGGATGGAAATTTCGTATGTAGATTCCTCTTGGTCCCTAGCTGTTTTCTGATTAGAAAAACAAAAAAGACTGACAGGTAATCTTGGAAGATTATTATCAATATTTCTTAAGAGAATGTTTAAATTTCATATAGTTAAGAGCAAAAACACAACAGAAAGAAATGGAGAGAAGGGGAAAGATCCAACTTGTAAAGAATAAATAAAGATCAAACAACTAGGGGTGCCAAAATATTTAATTTCAACCAACATGAATCATCATTTGGGAAGGGCCACCATTTCTTGAATAAATAAGGTTAGTTTGACTCCTAGGGACAGAGGGTTGGGGCTCCAAAGGATCAATTAGGTGATTTTAACCAAATTTGACAAAAATTTAAAAATTCATCATCTTTTGGGAAAATCTTAAGATAATTGTGAATGAAAATGTTTTGATGTGAAAAGTGAAATAACCAGGAGAGTGATATAGGCCCTATAGGCCTCGCGTGTTTTAAGAATCGTGGAATCGGAATGTAACTTAGAACAATTCAGGTTCCAATGATTTAAGTCTTCATCTTTGTTAAAAAAAAAAAAAAGAATTGCTTGGCCCGTATTTGGGAAACTAAGTTCTACTTACCCCATTTCAGATGATGCAATTTGAAAAATATTATCAGCTCTTGACATTGGCAATCCAGTACTGCTTGAAAAAACTTGCTTAAAACTTTTGAACATTGGACTTATACCCCAAAGTCACAAAAAGCAATGTACCCCTTTGGGCCCCATAAATATGAAAAGTATGATTCAGCATATTGATAATAATTCATATCAATGCTTGAACTATTTCATAATAATAAAAAAAAAAAAAGAAAACATTTTAAAGTGGAACCCATTGCCTCCAAAGATTACTGTCCACATCAGGGAAACTAAATGGTTAAGTGAATGTGTGTATAATGTAGTTGTGTTGTCATAGTTTTTTATATACATTTGTAAATCAGTGAAGCGCTGTGTGGTACTGTTACCCAAATGTAGAACGACAAGTGTCTTATGTCTTGGGCTGTATGTCTCTGGACTATCCCTGTCTAACTTGGAGCTAGGATATTCCTTTTTTGTCCCATCTGTCTATCACTTCAAACTCTTGTCAACAAGTTGAAACCTGTATTTTCATTTTTCAAATTTTTACTTTTAGTTTTCATGTCTGGTTCTGTCTTGTTTTATCAACATCTAAGTGGGCTCTCTAGGGATGACAAGTTAAATTCCAAATTTAGTGACTGTAATCTGTCTGAAACATGAAATCATCCATCATATTCTAGTTCTTAATATGTTAAAGGTTTATTACAATGCATCTTAAACTAGTCTACCAGACCAATGACTAGCAACCTTTTGCAGATGGTGAGACTACAGAATACCATTACAACTAGATAAGTAGTCTGTCATTATCATATATACCTATATTTCTACACATAAATTATTTCTTCAATAGATGAGTGGTCGGTCTTTATGACGAACACCAATATACAATTTAACCCTACTACAGTTGTATGGAGACCATTTATACAGACAAAACAAATCTTTGATCGAGAAAGTTTCATTTATTTTTCTTCTACATGATCAACATACGTTTTCTCTCATTCTTACACTCTTGATTCAAATGAAACAAATTAAATCAAATTCCCATGAAAGAATAAGTCATATTAGAAACAAAAATTTGAAAAAAAATGACTGAAATATGAACAACATACATGACTCAGTGAAAGCATCCTCAAATATTTAAACAATTCAAATTTTTCATCTTTTCAATTCTCCTTCTAAACTTAAAGTCCAGATAATTTCCATTTTTCCATCTTTTCATTTTCACCATCTGACAAAACTTAAAAAAGTCCATAAAATAAAACCATTTATTCAGTCCACCGATGAACACACTGCTGATTGGTGCATACATAGTACAGTCGCATTCCCTCCTGTAAAACAAAATGTACAGAGATAATTTTATCTTTGTTCTGTATCACATGCATAAGTTGCAGAATTTAAGTAATTTATCTTCGATAAATAACGAGGCATAACTTCCACTAGAATGAGTGGAATAAACATCCAGGAGTATTAACTGAAGACTGTTACTGTTAAATCTTAGTTTTCTGTACCAAAACCCTTTATCACACCAATCCTTGGGAATGAAGAGCTGGACTAAAATACTAAAGTGACTATTCGAATGACAGGAAACGAAAAAAATATAGATTCACCGTAATGCTATGGCCGATGATTAAAACATTCAAATTTTTTATTTTTTGTTCTTTTTATCCCCAAACTATCATTTATGACAGACGACTTTTACATATAACTATGTGAAGGGAGATAATCCAGTATGGCTGACGCAGACCTCGGGAATGATAACCCCAAGAATGGCATGTTCCTGCGTATAATGCACACCCCCATTTTGACCCAACAGTTTTAGCTTGAAAAAGTGCGCACTATATGCGGAAACTTACAGTATATGAAACTAAGCATCAAAAGACTTCCGGACCATTTATTGATGATGTGGTCAGATGGAACAACCATTCAGATCAAATATGGTGATTTTCATTAACTTATCTAAATATGTTTCAGAGTTGTTTATAAGAAATAAAACAAAAGTTTAGTATTTCACTGATATTTTCGATGAAACATTTCTAAATGCCAGAGCACTCCCAACAATTCACATTGATGGAACAGGTAAAACATTTAACACATGCTGACAGTAAACATACCTCTGCTTTTGTACTGTGTGATTGGAAGAATACAGATTCTTTGTGGTTACACTTGGGACAAACATGGTCTTCTGTTCGTGGGAGAGTAGGGTCCGCAATCACATCACCGATGATTTGTGTCAACTCACTACACGAATAAAATAATCATGCAAATATCAAACTTTGACAAATTAATCTAACATGCTTATTTTTGTTTAAAGAAAAGACAGGTAAAACTTTTCCACATGTATTTATAACTAGTTCCATTGGACTTGTGTTTAATCAGAACTGGAATTGTCCATGCTGGATTTGTACAGGTCCTTCTTCATTAAGATTTAACTCAGATAAAGGACGGGACAGAGTTTTTTTCATCAACTTTGGAATTGGCATCGTCAGTTTCATTGCTGTCTTACTTATTTTGCATAAATATTGGATTTTTTCAATTGAGAATGAAGCCCATTACAATGGCTCCTTGAAAAAAAGACCATATAAAAAAAGCTATACAGTTGAATAAAGTATTGAAGTCTACATTTAAAGATAAACCATTGTTATGTTCAAGGGAAACACAACTTCTTACTGCTTTGATATAAAAATTGTAACACACTTCATTTCTAACATGAAAAGAAATCAGAGATCTACAGGTATACTAATTTTGAATCCAATATTTTTTCTGATCAATAAATCATACAAGAATATTTCTTAGTATTACTTACTCAACCTCATGTGTAATTTTGTTGACGTATATACAAGGATTGTCTGCAATCTGTTGATAGTCACAGTTTCTGCACTGAGGAAAAAAAAGAGAAAAAATTGCTCATAAAATACTTTTCCTGATTATGATTATCATACAACAGTAACCAGTTTTCTTATCTATATTTATCATACGGTTTTAATCTGATTATCATCAAAATGTCAATGTAAAAGTGTTTTTCCACCCCAGTATGATTCAGATATAATTTGCATGAAAAATTTTAGTATTAGCTAACCTACAAAGGTTTCCAAATGTTCATGCCCTGTTTTTCATCATATTTTTTCCCCTTAATTTTATTTTATTTACTTGAAGCTGGAAATAAATGCAGAGGAATGGTTGTCTATACAGCACTTTTTCGGGATGTATTTGGGTGTTAGAAATAAAAATACTTTTACCATATTACTACAAAGGTCCCAAATAAACTACATATATGTCACTGATTAGTACTTACAGCATAAACCATGATTCTTTTTTCTTTATCTTCTTTGGGATACAACATGTTGTTGCTGTATAAAACACAAACACATTGTATCAAAATTCAAATTACATTGTTTTATATAATAAAGTTAAAGTGGGGACAAGAACATCCACTCACTTGAAATGATACATTAAAACTTATTCTCCTACCGCTTTTCTGTTTATCAATTTCTGGTTCTCAAAATATGAAATGTAGAAGTTGGTCACTACACTGTAATTAACGAACTGAGGATGTAGGTTAAATTTGATTTGGGGGATGAAGACTTTGTGGAGGGAGAAGTATAAATATTGTGAGTGAAAGAAATTTCCCTTCAGTTGAAGTAGTAGGCATTCAAATCAATTGAAAGATGTCGACTACCTAGTTTGAAGCCCAGCTGCGGGCCTAGTGTCATTTTTCATTTCTCTTTCGTTGTTTTACAGTTTAGTTTATTTTTACCGTAACAGTAAGCAGATGGTATAACTGTAACGAGTAATTGATGCTGTATCAGATAATTCATGACGCGTGTAAGGATTGTATATCATATATATACAGTATATATATATGCCAACCAATTGTTAGTTTCGTTAACATTCAAAAGCTTTCTGGTGATAATTTCAACAAAAGTCGTTGGTGTTTTTCACTTTAAATAAAAACAATTCTTGTACCATTCTTTACAAAATCTTATCCCAACAAAACCTGGCCCATCGTCGTGATTTTCGTACAGGTCCATGATTTCAGCTGCTCAGAGCACGAACATTGCGAAACAAAGTGCAAAAACCGGAAATGTCCAAAATATAATGTTGTCACTTACGCTAAACAAAATAAAAATATGTATCTATGATATAAGGAAGCTATAATCAGTAAAACTATAGTAAAGTAACAATCAATCTAAACGTTAACTTCTTTGTAATAAATACGAGCAGGAATTTGGAATTTTGCAATTGTTTTGTACTCAATTGTTAGGAACGTAAGCGACAAATGTGGATAGACGGAATCTGTGTCCCGTGCAGGTAGGCCTAGTGCAAATTGGCAAACAGACAAGAAGCACGCGCGCAGTTTTGGGTTTAAACACAGTAGTTTTGGTCTTATCTAAAGGGAAATGGCTACAGACAGGTATGATGTTGTTGTCTTTGGTGCATCTGGTTTCACTGGCCAGTTCGTTGTTGAAGAAGTCGCCCGAATAGCAGACGAAGAGCGAGGTCTGACGTGGGCTATTGCCGGCAGGACCATGGGTAAAATGCAGAAAGTTCTGGAACAGGCTTCTAAAAAGACAGGTAAGCATGTCAGATGTTAAAAAACAAATCAACTATACATCTTTTATAATTTGGATCTTGAATTAATAGCTGTCATGAATTGAAAAATAAAATGAAAGAACTGTAGTGTTGCAGCAGAATTTTAACCACGCCCCTTTTGGCATGATTGACTTCCATGTTCACTCAGCGAATGAATCATCTTCTTTTTTTTAAATTTGGCCATTGCAATTGTATACGTGTAACATACCACCTCATATACTACCACCATTGGCGAAAACATATATTTTCTACCTACATTGTTAGCAAAAAAATCTTTCAAGTGTAGTTATTCAACAGTTCAATGCACATGCATATTAACTTATTGATATTTGCAACATATAGACATGCATCTACCTGCCTACCTTGATTGCTATCCGTCTATTTCATGTCAGCAAAGAGAAAAACATGCGCATTTTCATATTTCACTGTTGAGTGTGCTAACTTAGGTTTTTATATATATATATGTGTGTGTGGATAATATATATCTAGTTGTATTGAAATATTTATACCCTGAGAAGTCCACATTTAGACAGATAAATAATGACAATTCATATAAAAAAATCTCCTTTTCTAGAGATACAATATCTGTCTATTGATATGCTGATAAAGTTTGCTTGCAAAACCATCTTTTAAAGGGCACGTTGGATATTTATTACAGTTGCACTATATCATGTATGAGTTGGTTGCAGATTCTTTCAGAATAAATGCCTTGAGGGTGAAAAAGAATGTAAGGAATAATAGGGGATAAATTCATATTAGACATTTAGAAAAAGTTAAAGGGATCATGACACCTTACCAGATATGATGAGGAGTAGGTAAGGCTAGGTATGAAAAAGTGGTAAATATTTAAATGGCTATTCTTTATAATGTATTATGAAGGTAGAGATTAACATGGATTTAGAACATAGCAACTTTTTACTAAAGGAATCCAGTGTTGTTTAAGAGGTATTTTAATAGTTCTCAAACTTTGACGTTTATCAGACTGGTGTCATTGTGCCTTTTGTGTATTTTGATATTTTCTCTGTCTCCGTGGTAACATTGTCAGAAATACATAATTTACCTTTGCCAGCTTTCAAGGCTTTAACTTTAACAGAAACATTCTCTACAAAACTTTGTATGCATTCCAGACTAGTGTCATGGCAAGATTTCTTTTTGTTGTTTTATCTATTACCATGGAAACAAGGTCAGAACTACAAAGTTAAGTGTTTACAAGCTTTTCTAGACTGGAACTTCAAAAGTGTTCTGCTGATCTGCTCAATTAAATTACAATGCAGGGTTTTTTCCATAATTTTGTTAGTAGTAGGCTGTGTAGTGAAAGTAGGAGGCTGGGCCTGTCGTGTACGTGTGGTCGTGTATGGAACATCATTACGGAACTGGATTGGTGTAGGCGGCCAAATGATCAAAGTAGCCGGTCAAATTGGCCGGTGACCAGCTCTTATGGAAAACCCTGCAATGTATATCTTCTTTAGAGTAATACAAACTTCTGGTAGTCATGTATGATCATCTAGCAGTTGAGTCATGTTTAAGATATTAGCTATCATTGAACATTACAAATGGTCAAAACAGTTTCTTTAGCAATGATATTCTTGATTATATGACTGTGATCCTCGTTCACAAGTAAAAAATACTGAAAACTGTTTACAGCTGCAAAAATGGTCTAAACAACAGAATATTTTTTTGCAAAATTCATTCACATGCATCCATTTTCAGATTGAATAGTTTGACATCAAAGGTTAAAGTTATTTTATCATTGTATAGCTGAAAATAGAGGACAAGAATAATTTGAATCATCTATATCTGTTAAACAGGAAAAGAATTAGACAGCATACCAGTGCTGATAGCTGACACTAGCAATGAAACCTCAATGGTGGAGATGTGTAAACAGGCCAAGATCATACTCAACTGTGTCGGCCCAGTAAGTCTTATATTCACTCAGCATCATCAGATCATGTAAAGTTGATATCTAGAAAGCCTCCGAGACCCCTGGCTTACTATTCTGACACTCAACGGATCAAGCTAAAAAGAAGTATGCTGACCCATATGCATTGTCACAACAGTAATACAATGTTCAGCCAGTTAACCCTTTATTACCAGCGTTGAGGTAACAATAGTGTGGTAAAAGTCTGTAACAAGAAACGAAGAGAATGGACATTATGAAATCGACGAAAACCTAAACGAACCTTATCCTTATCGTATCTCACAATGCAATCTTTTACAGATATGGGCTTCCATTTACATAGAAAATTCGCACAATCTGAATAGACTATTATAGGCAAATACCAAATAAATCGTAGAAAATCTCGACAGTTACACCTTAATAAATTCTAAACATTGTCCGTGTATTCATTTAGCTGTGAAATCACCACATATAAAGTTCAAATTAACGTCATGAAGGATCCATTCACCAAAACACGTTCGTTGGTAAACAGTAACAAAGTTCAGTTATTTTCATTGGCAGCGATCGGAACGCAATCAAATCACATCCTAAGCATGAAAAGTAATCATTTTTTCCAAACTTTACAATACTCACACCGTGGTCGCTGCAAGTTGTGCAAACGTTGTGATTTCCTATCACCGCACATACGCAAAACGTTGACTAAACGAACACATATGAGTTCCACAAAGGGAGATAATCTCCTAAACCTACGGAAGCCGTGCTGATTAATTGCATAAACAAGTTCTCATAACTTAGCAGTATATTGCTGCTAGTATTTACCAGGGTTACAATATGTAGATGTATACATGTGTAATTTGATAAAATCCATTAGGTGCCATGTAAGTGATTTCTTTTAATGTTGAATATATGCACATCCCTGAAAATGTTTACATAAATTTTAAGATTAAATTGTATCATTGGTTCACAGGGACTTGGCTAAATCCTCAATGTATGGTCACTATATTTATCATAAGAAAAGGTTAGAGGCACGATTAGTGTCATGTCGTTGTGGGTAATGTGTATGGATGAAAAGAGCTTTATTTACATTAATGTAAACATAATTACACAGTTTTAGTTTCATTCCAATAAATCAGAGACTATGCATATTAAATTTTTTTTTCAGTATCGTTTCCATGGTGAGATGATGGTAAAAGCTGCTATAGAGGGAGGGGCAAGTCATTTGGATATCAGTGGAGAACCACAGGTAAAGAATATGTCATTAACATACAGGTACATTCATAGGCAAGTGAAACTAAAGTGTATTCGTTGTCCTTAAATCAGTTTAATTATTGTTCAGGGCTTTCCTCCAGTTACTAATACCTTACAGTTCATTAAAACCAAACTGCTACACTTTCATCACTTGAAAATCAAGACAAAGATCAAAATCACGTTTCACATATAGAATGACTATTTTTTTTTTAGCCCTATTATTTGAAGACCCATGATTCTGATTAATTGTATAAACAACACTTTTCATACACATGTACCTATAAGTTTATTAGCTGTGTTTCACATTCCTCTTTCATGACATATAAATAATAACGACAGACACATTCACTGGTCAAAGGTTAGCTGGCTCTGTTGGATTTGATAAACTTCTTTAATTTGATGTATCATTGGGCATGTATAGGTCATACCAGAGAAAGTTTAGTGCATGGTATGCCTCCCTGAAAACGGACAGAACTTAATAGGGGATATATTTGAGTAAAATACTTCTTCCATTCACATAAAGGTAGTTCTGAAGCTTGAGTGAAATTGTATACAATATGTTACATAAATAGATGGCAAGACTTTCCATTTAGCAGAAGATTGGTGCTTTTTTTTTTAGGATAAAGATGAAAATTTCAGGGCACTGTCTGATGTTAAAATCATGTGTCCATATGTAGATTTCTCTTGGTTCCAATTTGTGGCTCTTTTGATTTTTTGACAGACCAGAAGAATAAAAAAAACTGACAGGTGACCACCTTGGATAGTTATCACTATTTCCTCAGGTGTATAACTTTCTCAAGTGTCTTATGAAGGTTACCTCTTAGTCCCTAGTGGTGCCCCATTAACTTTGAGTATGAAACTGATCAACAAAACAAAATGGCTGAAAGATGATTATATTGGATTTATTTATATGCAAGATTTGAATTTTATTTTTTAAAGCACTTGGTATATCTTTCTGAAAAAAGGAAAATTTGGACAAGAAAAAAGTAGTAAAATAGTTTGTTATTTTTTGGGAAGTACTCTAAGGATATATTTAACAAGTTCCTTCTTGATTCCTTTCAGTTTTGAGTCTGATCAGGAAAACAAAATGGCTGACATCTTTTCCATCTGAGATTTTGTTATCACTATTTATTGGGAAGTAATAGATGGATAATTCTCAAATATCATTTGTATGTTCTACATGATCTCGAGCATAGTTGTACAATTGTTTATTTTGGATAAAAAAAACAACATAGCTGACTAATGTCCAGTTTGTATGTGATAGTTAATTATCTTTGTTGCTATTTCTTGAGAGGAACTTCAGAGCAGATGTGGAAACAAGACAAACAAGGACCACATCAAATTTATAAAGAACAAATAAAGATCTTACCATAGGGCTGACCAAGATCCTGTTAGGATCTTTTATTAAAAATCTTTCTCCTCAGCTCTAATAAATAATTTTGACTACATTTGTGCTGGAGCAGTCATGGGTGAAGGGGATTGTATGTTGTTTGAAGGTTTGTCCCTTTTAGGGGAGAGCCTAATTGGGAAGATGGGATGAGGTCAGATCAGATGTTAACTATGTTTTTAACCATGAAATGAAAATTTTATAAATGATTGCTAAAATATCATTGAGTGATACCGGGTCTCTAGGAATCTTGTACCGGATACAATATTGTATTGTAACAATACTGACAGTGATACACAGATATATAATAATGGTAATCTATTAATGATTGAATGATGTTGTTTGATTAAAATAAATAGAGAAACTTTGACATTATAGAGTGATTTTCTCTGCAGTATCTGGAGAACATGCAACTCAAGTACCACAACAAAGCCAAAGAGAATGGTGTTTATGTCATCGGAGCTTGTGGCTTTGACAGTATTCCGGCAGAAATGGGCGTGGTCTATGTCAACAGACAGTTCAATGGTAATCAATATTGCATTGTTATCAATTAGTTTTGTCATGGCTTCTATCCTGTTGTGACAAGGTCAAAAGGTACACTTTTTAATAATTTTGTGGATTTTTATCAATCATCATTTTACACTCAAAAGTTTGAGAATACTTCAAACATGTTCCATTTTCAGGATGCAAGCATCAAGTTAACTGAAAATGTTTAGGTCAACATCAGATTGTTGAAATAACTCTTTGCCCATGGTCTGTGGTCCATTCATAAACAATCTTTGTTGTTGCTATTTCTTGAGATGTCCTGGAGGGGCATTTCTGGAACTTCACATGTAAGTTTCCTTCTGTCCCTAGTTATACCCATTTGGATATCAATTTATTCAAATTTGTCTGAAACATCAGTAGAGGTGGGCAATTAATTCATAAATTCAGAAAGTTGATTTAACCCTAGGGACTTAGGGATGGGAATCCAAATCAGGAAGCTTGACAATGTTTTACTCCAAAACACTCCTCCTTCTAAATGCCAGGGTAGATTTAAGCCAATCTTTTCTTGAATCATTAATAGGGAGTGGTAATTATATCAAAAGTACTTAAAGTGATCCTGAGATTGTACTGGTCAAATCTTATTTTTTCGTTTTGGTCCAAAATCCAACATGTATATTTTTGAACAAATAGTCTGAACTACTTTTCGAGTTTCCTTCACATCATTGACAAAATTTGGGAGTTTAATTTGTTAAGGAAAAGAAAGTGATGTCAGGTTATTTTTTAGCCTGATCAAAATTTCAACCACAGCAACCATTTTGTTACATGATTACGCATCTGTTTTTCATGTACAAAACTTAACATTTATGAGCTAATGAAACTTTTAAGGTATGTTCAGAATTTTGATTCATCAAATTTGCCAGACCACCAACTACAAATTCTATGGTTTGTCCATCCATTCATAGATTGTTAGATGTCAGTAAAGGGCCATGGCCCTCTTGTTTCAGAAGTACTTGAGAGATATTTTCTAAGCTTAACGGTTTCCCTTGGTCCAAGGTTGCCTATTTAATGTTGTGTAAGCTCAAGAAATGTCTCACCAGGCCATCTTGGATTTTGATGTTGGAGTTTGTTATCACTATTTCTCCGATCTCTCTTAGATTTCCAATGTAGGATTCCCTTGTTATCAAATTATTAGGAGAAAAAGGGAAATGTAGAGAAAAGATCAGTCTTGCAGAGAACCAACAAAAATCATTTCATGACGAGATCTCTCTTGGATCTCTGTTTATTTAAAAATCTTACTACTCTGAAAAGTTTTATTTCTTATTCATTTTAATAAGCTAAACTCTAGTAATCAAAAACAATATGCATTGCACAATGCTGATAAGGTCTCTGTGGATATATTCAAAATTACTCAGTATAGCTCTCTGCTGTTCCAATTAAACATGAACAAAATTACTTTCAGCAAAGAATCAGTATAGCTCTCTGCTGTTCCAATTAAACATCTTACTTTCAGCAAAGAATCAGTATAGCTCTCTGCTGTTCCAATTAAACATGAACAAAATTACTTTCAGCAAAGAATCAGTATAGCTCTCTGCTGTTCCAATTAAACATGAACAAAATTACTTTCAGCAAAGAATCAGTATAGCTCTCTGCTGTTCCAATTAAACATGAACAAAATTACTTTCAGCAAAGAATCAGTATAGCTCTCTGCTGTTCCAATTAAACAGGAACAAAATTACTTTCAGCAAAGAATCAGTATAGCTCTCTGCTGTTCCAATTAAACAGGAACAAAATTACTTTCAGCAAAGAATCAGCATTTGAAATGAGCTGATTAAGTGTTAACTATCAATTATTGTTACGACAAAATATGAAATTCCAAGAAAATTTATTGGTAGAAATTCTTGTGGTGTGGAATAATCTGGTCATATCATATAGGTGTACTAGTCAACCCTGCCCTCATAAAAGGTGGCTAGTGCAGGTGAAAGGATGAGCAGAGATTCATTCAGGAAGCAAAGTTAACATTCAGTATACATATTGTTAGTGAAACATCAAATTTATCTCTGAAAAAAAAATAGATATTAAAATGATAAGTAAACAGAATACAAATAGTAAGGTATGTACATTATGTATTTGTTATTTTACAGAAATTTTTAATTTCAGGTGAAGTAAATTCTGTGGAGAGTTACCTGGATATTATGTCAGGACCTGAAGTAAGTATTGCATATACATTTTCTGTAGTAGCTGGTTCACTGAGTCAGATCATGACTGCAGCACAAGAATGTAACTTCCTTGTTGAGTACTGTTGTGGTCATATGTCAGCATACAAAATGCAATATTCTGCATGCGCTTGAGATGGACAAAATTGAAAACTGTTAATAAAAGTCACCAATTTTTTTGTTATCCTTTAAAAAATGTGATTTTTTTTTATGGAATGAAAAAAAACCCCAGCGTGTTAGGTTTATTTCAGATTGAAGCAGTCAAAACTATTACAGCAATGTGACAATGTTTTCCTTTTCTGAATAATTGCCATCAACTCCGTAGATGCTCTCCTTTCTTTTCTCAAAAGTAATTTGCATTTGATTGTCTGCATGTGAACATTTTTTCGGCCAACTGCTGATTTTCTAGTCTGATTTCAACAAAGCATGCATGGCAGACATATCGTTTTACTGCTTAGCTGGTATGGTAGATGTATTTTTCATTTTCAGCAAATGTTGATCAGTTCATAACATCTTTGCACTTTAAATGTATCAAACAATTCCTCCTACATATGTGTACTATATCAGCACTAACGGTAGTTTCAAATTTCTAATCAATTCTTTTATTAGGATTGATTTTTAAAAATTTTAATCACTAATATAGGAGTTACTTCCCTTCCAACACCAGATATTTTCCAAAGTGTCTTCTTTTTTGCCAAGGTACCTGTAGTTTAAAAATGTACTGATTTGAAGATACTTTCATTACTCATCTACAAGAATATGAGAAGTAGATGTGGTCAGTTTCTGTCTCACCCTTATTTGTTATCCAATGTGCTCTTTGTTCTGTGTTTACTGTCCAAGGTTTGTCTTGCATCATTTTTGCTTCTAACCATCATTTTCCCTTCTAAGGGAGTCACAGGTAATACAGGGACGCTGGAGTCTGCCATACATGGTTTTGCTCATGCCAGTGAACTGAAATCCCTCCGCAAATCCCTGTTTCCAGAATCACTGCCTCGGTTTAAACATCAGGCTACAAAAAGGTAAATATTTAAACTTATCTTTGGCAGGGACTGGTTTTAAACACTGGTACTCTTGAATCAGCTGTCCATGGAGTAGCACATTTCAGTGAACTAAAGTCCTTGAGGAGATCTCTGTACCCAGAGCGCCTCCCACCATCCAAACACAAGCCTACCAAAAGGTATCAACTTTATATTTTTTGTTATTGTGGGAAAAACAATATCAAATGAGCAGAATCAATAAATGTAAATGATATATATCCAGTTAGTTTTTAAAACCAGATAAATATTGAAATAGGATATGAAATATATTACTGTAGGACCAAGTGCATTTAATGACTTTGTTTAGAGTTCATGAGAATGCACAAGAAACATGGCTTGAGGCATTAATTGTTATGCATTCCATTTTCCAGAGGGGCAGTGTTCAAGAGTGAAGTACTTGGAAAATATTGTATGCCGTTTTTGGGCAGTGACAAATCTGTGGTGTACAGATCACAGCGCTACAAACATGATGTCCTCAAACAGAGGCCGGTCAGTATACATAACTGTATGCATTTGGGAAGAAAACTTAAGTGATGATTTAGTTGCAATTGGTAAAAGTTATTTTATAATTTTCATGATCATACACAAATACCAGAAAGTGACATGAAACTTATAAAGAATGTCTGAGAGGCATGGCTACTTGCTACAAGCCAGTACCAAGCCTTGTCACAGGAGTAAACGCTGGCCCAGGCATGCAACAGATTCAGCCCAAATGTAGTATAATTGTGTTTCTTTGTCATGCCTAGCAGTTGTATGCTGGCAATTATCAACTGTATTTCTATTAAGTAGCCTTGAATAGTATTTGTTGCAGTGTAAGAACAGACTCCAGTGTAACAGAAATTAATGATATGGTGATCTTGGTCTGTGTTGTTGTTGAAAAAAGGATGGTATTTGCCTATAAAATTGTCTATTTTTAATACTTCACTCAGCCCAAGGGGAAAAAAATTGAGCAAATTCTTTAAAATCCTTCTCTCCTGTAGAAATCATTTGATTTTGTCTAAATTTGGTCTGAAGCATTCTTGGGTGAAAGGAAAATCAAATTTTTATAGATTGTTGGTCTTGTTGTAGAAATCCTACATCTTCTGTAGCAATTATTTGATTTTGCCCAAATTTGGTCTACACATCCCTGAGTAAATTAAAATCATTTTTGTGTACATGATGGTGGTAGGCCCCATTGGATGGAAAAGGGCAGAACCCGTTCAAAGAGAAAAGAAGAAAAATTCTTTAAATTCTATGTAGGAATAGCAGGATTCTATTTCAATTTGGTATGAAGCATGAATTGTTTGACATAGAGGTGTTGTTGAATGGGGAAACAGATAGAGTGTGTGCTGTGTGTTTAGAACTTTAGAATTTCTTTTCGTTTAGTCTTGATGAAGCAATTTCAGCCAAACAAAGCCAGAGGAGTGATACATGCTCTGTATGCCTTTCTTTATGACATGTCCTACATGCACAAACCTGTCACTTCAATTACAGATACAGTTCTCGCCCTACATGGTGCAGAAAGGCTTGCTGAGTGTGGTGGGAAGCATCTTATTTGGTCTCCTCTTTGTTGTCATGACGAGTTTTCGTCTGGGACAGACTTTACTCATGAAGGTCAGTTTATGATAACAAAGGGCACCAGTGTAATAAATCATTGTGATTACAAAGTGTTGTACAAATGAAAAGTTATACTTATCAAGTATATGCTATCAGTTAGCATTTTGGCAATTTTGGAAAAATAATGACTATGATGTGAAAATTGAAATATGGCTAAAAATTTGAAGCAATTTCTTGCTTACAAAAAGTCTACTGAAGTTTACTCTACGTTTAACTCTGAAAAGGCTAAAATCAATCAGAGAGTCAAAAAAAAAAGTTCTCTTTTCGTAATATGAGCTGTTGTATGGACATATAAAGTTGAGAATATTTAGTGTTAATATAATGAAGAGTTGTTCATTAGAAAATACTCGCTCATTTTTCAGTATCCCTCATTTTTCACGGCTGGATTTTTCAAGAAAGGAGGCCCAACAAAAAGTCAGGTAATTGCTGTGTAAATCTGAGGGTGATGACAGTCAGGGTCACAAAGCACCATGGTTAATGTAAAAGAAAATCTCGTTCCTGAACAACTGGATATATATATATATAATTTTAAAAGATAAAAACTTTGTGTATCCTATATACAGAGAAAATGAATCACTTAACATGACAAACAAATATATCACTAACGTTTTCAGGCCTCGCGGCCATCTTCAGGTGATTACATTACATGTACACTGTACGTTATGTAATGTAATCACCTGAAGATAGCTGCGAGGCCTGAAAACGTTAGTGATATATTTGTTTGTCATGTTAAGTGATTCATTTGCTCTCTCTCTATATATATATATAGATTTTTATCAGATTATATAAATATAGTCTGTACATTACCTGGAGAATAGTTACAATAACTCCCTAAATTTTTTCTGATGTGACTCGTAACACACTTGGATTGCTGTTTCTACATTAAGTCTGAGTGAATATTTTTATTCTAGATCTTGTATTTTGTCCATACTGTTTGCAGATTGAAAACACTAGCTTTAAGATGACATTTGTTGCCAAAGGATGGAGCAAAAAACTAGAGGATCCGTTATCTGACCCGGAGGAAAAACCCGATACTATTCTCACTGCCAAGGTTGCAGGACCAGGTCAGTCAAGGTCACAAGGCACCATGGTTATTTAGGTTACAACTGTATATCATTGTTTGGTTTCTGTAAGGTATTGCCAAGGGAGATAACTGAGCTGTTTACTGTAAAATAAGAAATTTTAGTGCTTATTTAATATTAGCGATTTCCATGCATAGCCATTGAAGCACTAGATATATATATGATCTCTAAAATTTCCATTATGCTTGAAACGGATCAACGGAAATTGGAAAATTTATTAACACCAATAATTTGTACAATGGTCAAGTAACACAATGTCTGATGGCTTGGACAGTCTTAATTTTACAACACTTCCAATACATAAACTCCCTTTCACCTGTGAATGTTTGTTGGATGGTGACTCAGTTGAGAACAGATATGAATTTCAAGCATTTGTTATGGTGTGTTGTTTTTTTTAATGTTACAAAAAAAATTTATTATCAAATGGTTGTCCGTTCATATCTCCCATCATCTATGATCAATCTGCCCTTTCTCCATCTGTCAGTCCTTAAACAATTTTTAACTTTGCTATTTCTTCAAAGTAGGGGCAGACTTTCTTAAATTTCATTTGTACTGATAGATTCCCTGTGGTCAGTCAAACAGCTGAGGTTTTTTATCGCTGGCTCGGAATGTATTATATGGACCCAACATCATTGCCCTTGGTTGTTCCAGTTCAGTTACACTCAGGATTTTGATACATATAAAGTTTATGACTCTCTTTAATTTCATGATGTAATGAATCGTCTCTAATTTTATCTGTAAATTGGTCTTGTGTAACACTGAATTTTAGAGTCTGATCTCCACGGACCTGCATCAGTATTTGGGTTAATAACATATTCTGGAGTCAGATATTACGACTAATATTACTGAGTCATTGAGAAATATTTCAATCTTTTGTCAAATTGTGTTGACAAGTTAACACTGAACAAAAGTAATGTTAACATTAACCTTTGTTACAGAACTTGGCTACATAACAACACCAATTTGTATGGTTCAGTGTGCTCTGGTGATTCTCAAGGAGGCTGATAAACTCCCTAAAGAGTAAGTGTATGGTTGTCATTGGTTACCAAGAATGCAGACAAACAAATGAATGTTAATTGTTGTTTTCTCAAGAAATCTGAGAACCTGTCAAAACAAGAAACATGAAATTGTGTTTAGAATACGGGTAAAACTTGATTGTTGTGCCCCTCAAGAATGGTTTTGTTCTCAATGAGATAGTAAAAAAATCCCAAAGATTGAGTGAAGGTGTGATGAATATTCAAGGAAATGTATAAACTGCCAAGGAGAAAATAATTGACACATTTTTTCTTTTCTTACAGTGGTGGTGTGTATCCACCTGGAGCAGCATTCCAGGATACCAGTCTGATAGAGAGACTCCACAAACACAATGTCACCTTCTCAGAGGTCAAGGACTAAAACAAAGGCCACCTCAGAGGTCAAGGACTAAACCAAAGGTCACCATACAGCAGTCAGCATTACACTTGGCCTGTAAATTTTTTCAGTGACAAACTGCTGTAAGGATCAATAACCATGACAATATCACACAAATTTTAAGACACTATGAACAAAAGTTGATATACACATATGTGTAGGACACAAGTGGGTCCTAGTAATTTTTGTGAAATTCATGAAGTAATGAACAAAGTTAATGTGACACATGTTGTATATATCTGTTCTTTTGAATCACCTGCATCTTTTGTTTACAAAGTGAGACAATTTTCCTTGTTAAATCTTTTCACATTGTGTGTGGGCTTTTTTTTTCATTCATTAGTATTATACTGCTTTCAATATTTGAACTTACACTAATGCTTGTTGTTATTTCTTATTGTGATTTTTTTTTATTTCTAATAACTTTTTTATTTAGATAATATTTCTAACTTATATATAAATGAAATTCTTCGGATTTAAATCTTAAATCCTGGTAATTAATATGTTGTATTTGGATTTGTTATTAAATACTGTTTATTGGTGATTCATTATATATCGTATCCAACACAAGTTTTTATAAAAATTTCACAAGATTTCATGAAATGGAATTCTTAAATCTTAGAAGAATGTCTTTTTTCATACTATGATACCACAATTGTTTCCCCCGACTTGCACCGCCAATAAAAAAAGATCTATTGTGTATTACACAAGTGACAAATACACAAAAATGTTACACGGGTGAATTCACTATGTAACAGGTGATTGTTGTGATGAAAAGTAATGTAATGCACTAAATTTCTACACTATGAGGAATGATTTAGCCATCATGTATGTGAACCCATGACCTCTACACATCATTCTAGTTGGGATATCTTTAAAAAGACCCTTGAATTGTAAACATCACTCTAGCAGTGATGTTCGTGGATTCATGACTCATACAGGAGAGTTTAGATTCATACACACCAGATTCTTTTGATAAATTTTTTTGGGAAAGTAGTTGATAATGATACAATCCTGATTTACTGCTATATATTTAGTCCCCTGATCTTGTTGAAAAAAAAATACATATTTAGAATATAATTCCATTGATGAGGACCAACTTAAGTATATTTGTAACCCCCATAATTTATTATATATATTTTAAAAGGACATATTTCTAAATATCCACCTGTCCCATCAGTTGGACTCTCCTATTGTGATATTTTTACAATTAAAGCACTTCCTGAAGTGTGTCTACAATATTCTGTTCCCTACATTACAGTGACCATTAAAGACCCATCCATAAAAATCTTTTTGTAAAGATTCAAACTTTCTATGCAAACTGCCTAGTATTGTATGTGATAAAATTGAATTGCTTATAGTGAAACTATAACCTTTCATGTGTTAAATTCATTGTTACTTACAGTACTAATAAGATCAAGTGTGTTTCCCAATTCTTGTGATATGCTGCTCTTTGTGTACCAGCTGATGTACACAGATATTTATATATGTATTTAACTACAATAATTGTAATAAAATTATATTTCATACACAAACACGTTTGTTTCATTGTCTTCCGCAGAATTGTCTCTCTGTCCGGAGTGTTGAATGGTCTTCCCATGATACTACATACAGTTATTTAAATTCATGTCTCAAACAAATACCAGAGGGAAAATATGTCAATAAATGATGGAAGGAGTAGGAGGGCAATCTATCTCAATCAGTAAATCTGTGTACTCTGCTGCCTTTTTTGGTCGAGTGTCAAGTCTGGATATTGCAGTTGCTTTATATGTTCAAGTGTTTGTGTCTATAGTTAGGGGATGTAACTCATGTGGTGTCTTATCAGAGTATAAACTTGTCAGGAACTGTTTAATTATCAGATATGTGTAATTCTTTATCATATGAAAATGGCTTAAAAATTTGAACTTTATTTGTCAAATACATCAATTGCATCAGGAACTTGTGGGTTTAAAAAGTGTTATGTTTCAGAATGTATCTTGTCACTTCAACCAAATTTGAGACTGGTCCATCTTGATATCCAGGAGGGGACGGGTCACTAACTTTTCAATTCAGAATGCATGCTGACGCACTTATGGCCTTTGAGATTAGTTACAGGGGCTGTTGACACATCTGGGACACTAGGTATCACCCAACACGTAACAAATAAAGAATACCACAATATTCTAAACTATACCTTACAATTCTTCATTAACAGAACACAAGGACAACATCACTCAGAAAAGTAAACCTTTACTGGTGTCTCTCCTAAAACAAAATTCCATTTGATATAAAATATAGTATACAAATGGAAGGTTTAAAATATCTGGTAATTTACCCAAGCTTCTCCAGGTTACAAAAAGGTAAAATTTAGCTACATTTGACTTGCTCTTCCATTTGAAACCTTAAAAAAATATATCAAAAACAAAAGCACTTCAGTAGAAATGGAAATTTTTCGCCACTTATTACAAAATTGAACCAAGATAAATGTTAATGGCATTCAATGTTGATACTCAAGGTTACTTATAATGTAGCATATAAAAATAATGAAAATCTAAATGTACATGTATTAATGATCTGATCTAATTATAAACATCATTTGATAAAATTGCATAACACAACTGACAGTTCCTAGGGGTTGTAATCCAACTTATTGTTCATAAGGCTGCCGTTCAAAGGTGTTTATCCAGAGAAAACATTTGTAAGAAGTTGATGAAACCATCATTAATCGAGATGAAACAAAAATGCCTACTTTAACTGAACTTTGGTAGTTCTCTCAAAATATCTAATCAAACCTATTTATAAATGATTACCTTTTAGATATACACCATATTGATCAGACTATGTACTCTATACCAATGTGCGGTATTAAGCTTGCCAACATCTAGTGCTGTTCAGTTGAATAACAAACAAGTGAGATTGGCCCGCCCCTGACTATTGAGATGGTGACAATATATCAAGGGCCCCCCCATTGTCCCTTGTGAAGAGTAACGTTTGAGTTTGGCTTCCTATTGGTGTTCAGTTCTTTTTTTACCAAATCTCACATCTTAATAAAATCCATACTTCTGGCAAAAAGAATTTCCTCTTCGTGATGCACATAACTTTCGAAAAATGGTCCGAGATTCAATTGAAAATCTTTCTTGTGATAATTGAAAGTTTAACTTGTGCTTTCTTCTTTTTTCTGATCTGCGTTGTGCCTGTGACCTCCTCAATGACCTTGCAGTACTTCTTCCTTCATTCGATTGCTGTCGGACCCTTGATCTCCCAGACAGCCTGGAGACACTTTTTCTTTTCTGGTAATTATATCTGCGTGGTAGTCCATGTGATGACTGAATCCGTGAAAGATCTCCAGCTAATGGACTTGGTACTGTCTGTGAGGAAGTAGATCTCGACCGATTTCTTTGTGTTCTTGATCCTCCTGATGAGGATGTTTCTGTCCTTGACCTAGAAGGCGCTTGCGTTCTTGGTCTAACAGGAAGTGTTTCCGTAACTGACCTTTGAGTCGTTTCAGTGGTACTTCTTGCTGGTATATCTGTTGACACAGCTGGTATTGGAGTTGTTAGTGTCTCCGTTATTGTAGAAGTCTCTGGTGTTGTCGATTGGCTTCGAGATTCTGATCTCTGTCTGGATTCTGTTCTTGATGTGTCTTTTGTCCCAGATCTATTTCTATGTCTTGGCCTTGACCTTGACCTTGACCTTGATCTTGATCTCGATCTCGATCTTGATCTCGATCTTGATCGTGACGATGATCTTGACTGTGATATACGAGACCTTCTTCTTCCTTGGGATGTGTTTATTCTAGATGAAGATCTGGATCCTATTATGAAGATGGATATGTTTTGAGTTTGGATACTAGGTATGAGATAATCATCCTTCCTTATATGGATATGTGCCGTGCATGTTAGATAGATATTTAGTCGTTCACAAACTTGCATGGCATGAGTTAGTCTTTTATAAAAATCATTTCAAATTAGCATTAACATGGTAGGCCAATATTTCTAACATTCACAAAGCAATTACGAGTGCACTGTTTAAGGAGTCATTTTCATCGATGATATACCTACACATGACAGAATGCACATCCAAACAACTGAGATACGCTTCATTCTATCGTGACCTTAAGTTCTCTAGTCTAAGATACAAGATCAAACTTTTGGTATAAACGATCTGTAGGATACCTGCATTTTTGAGACAATATACCTTCCAACACTTAAGAGGAAAATTGTTAAATTTCTGCTCAACAACTTCAAATTTCATCGTTGATATTCTACATTGTAAAAGAATGAACTGTTGCGATGCAAAAATATCACAACTGTTACCAAAATGAAAAACTTCTTAACTTTACGAATTTTCGTTATCGCATGGATATTCCAGGTAAGAGTTACATTTTAATGATGGTTTATGCACATATTACATAATTCATATGTATAAAAATAATATTAACATCACATATGTACATTACATAGCAATTACATTACAACACTATAGAGACCATATCAAATGGTTTCCTGATGAATATGACACATAATTCATGAATATGATATTATATACCTATAACTTCCCATTGAACATTACCTGGTATATATTTCACAAGTATGAAAGAATATCAATAATTTTCATGAGTGCATATCATAACTGAATAATTTAGGTATACCAAGATATTCTTTATTATGATTGTATGGTATGCAAAAGAAACCCATTAAAATTTCTTTTAATATTTCTAAATAAAATACATGGGCTGTCAGAGATGGGTAATGCTCAAAGAATTGGACAAAATTAAAGTATGAAAAATAACAAAGGGCTATATGATTCTTGTGCAATGCCCTTCTTCTCATTGAGATCTATCTACCTATGATGTTTCATGTTGATACCCCTTACATTTAGTGGATTTAAGGATGAAAAATAACAAAGGGCAATAACTCTTAAATTATGCAAATATGTGATGGTTCTTGTGCACTGCACTTCTCCTTGTTGAAGTTTTATGTTGAAACCTTTGTAGTTTTTGTGTTATGCTCTAGACAAAATTATGACAGATGAACAGACAGACAGACAGACAAAGCGTGAACTATGTGCTCTCCCTTCAAGGAGCATAAAAAAAGGACAAGGGAAACATAGCCTAAAATGCTGGAATCAACAGCGTAATCTTTGACATCATATTGAACCATATTTATCTGGTAATAAGCCTAGGTCTTGCTATTGCTGTAAATATCATTAACAATAGTTATTGTTCTCCAATAAACTTAACCTTTGACATTTGAGTCAGATTTGGTATCTTGTAGGCTTATTGTAAGATAAATACAGTAATATGACAGTATGCTTAACAACAAGACAGTGCAAATTTAGATTAGCCGCTTCATGCAGTATTCTACTTACTTTTGTTGTTTGTTAGGAATGGCTTACGAAACCTTAGTCAATATGAATTTAAATAGAGACAAGTACCATGTATGGAGCAGATCTTGCGTAAATCAATCATACTCCAACTTCATTTACTTTTGAATAGAAAACTTGGTAAATTTCAACGCAACAAATAGAAGCCTCAGTTTTATAAAACTACAATTCATCAAAGAGAGTAAATACAAAAATATATCACATACATTTGTATATAAACACATCAAATACTAGAATATGTATCCTGCATCACTGTACAATTGTACAAGTACAATGGATCACGTCATACTAGCACTTTGAATTACTGCATAAAACATTTAATACATCATATCACTATGTACTACATTAAGGTAAACATGGTATCACTTCATAGAAGCAAATTATAACATTGTATCACATAGTGGTAAATTGTATGGTCTGTAATGTGCAAATGCTAGAACATTGTACTACATACGAGAACATTGTGTCACTTTGTAATAACATATTTCAGTTACACAGTGTATGCTACATATTGGTATATTGTATTACTATATACACTATACATGTACAATGTACCACTATATACAATATTAAAACATAATAAAACTACATACAAATACATTGTAATACTACATACAAATACATTGTATCACTATGTTACCACTACATACCAATACATTGTATTACTATGTTACCACTACATACCAATACATTATACCACTAAATACTGATATATTGTATCACTATGTTACCACTACATACTAATACATGATATCACTATGTTACCACTACATACCAATACATTATACCACTACATATTAATACATTGTATCATTATGTTACCACTACATACTAATACATTGTATTAATATGTTACCACTACATACCAATACATTATACCACTACATAATAATATATTGTATCACTACATACTAATACATTGTATCACTATGTTACCACTACATACCAATACATTATACCACTACACTGTACCACTACATACTAATACATTGTATCACTGTTACCACTACATACCAATACATTATACCACTACATACTAATACAATGTATTACTGTTACCACAACATACAAATACATTGTATCACTATGTTACCACTACATACAAATACATTGTATTACTATGTTACCACTACATACCAATACATTATACCACTACATACCAATACATTGTATCACTATGTTACCACTACATACCAATACATTGTATTACTATGTTACCACTACATACCAATACATTATACCACTACATACTAATACATTGTATTATTATGTTTCCACTACATACTAGTACATTGTATCACTATGTTACCACCACATACTAATACATTGTACCACTATGTTACCACTACATACTCTATGTTGTACCACTACATACTAATACATTTAACTATGAGTGGTATGGTAGACAATGATATATTGTATCACTATGTACACTACACATAAACATTGTGATAGTTCATATAACTGCTATGTATTACTATACATTGGAACAGACATAAACTACATTACATTCAAAGTACAGCTATCTCCTGCCTCATTCAATGTAGAATTTACAAGCGCTGATACATGACTGAACTATTAGAGGTATATTATGTGAATCACTTAAGTAGAGATGAGAAGACTACAACATGAACTCATTAGATTTATAGATATCTTCTTATATGACCTATGTGACCTTGACCTCTGACCACTAACTTTGAAAGTCAATTGGGTTTGAATAAAAGATTTTCTCTAAACTGGTATGTTCTACATGGACAGACAGAAACAGATGACGTAGAATGTGAGGTATGATGCTAAAGTTCCTCTGCAACTCATTACAAGGGGATAACGATGGTGAAAGCAAACACTGCCAAACACTAACAAGTGTATTTGTCCTAACCAGATCAATTCACATTAAAAAGCCAAAGCATTACTTAAAAAACTTGTTAAAAAACTAAAATTCTGACCACTTCAATGAAAAAATGAAGTCCTTGCAGAAAAACAAATTTAAGAAATGGAGCCTCCTTATGGCTGATTTAATAATCCATGTCACTGACCTGATGAAATCATGTTTTGATAAATATTTCATTGCTTACCTATAAAAAGATGATTTTCTAAATTTTTCGACGACAATGTCTGTTAAATAAGAAGTTTGATAATCTCAGTTTTGTCTGGTATCACACCAAGGCTATATCACTCACAAAAACATCAAAATCATAATAATACCATTAACATATCAAGATAAAAATGTGTGACTGCGCACATCTGTTATTAACCTAAAACGTACGTAATTAATTTGCATACCAATTTGTTGGCAGTAATGAGCAGGGTTAGTAAGAAGCTGTATCTCCCGAAGATACCCCAACAGAATAAGGTATGTCTGGCTGGAGCAGCAGTGGTTTAACTTGCAAGAGACAGATGTGACAAGCACATGCTCAAAACTGTTGTAGGCTTTAGACATACAGCCTGATACGTCAACATTTTTTATATTGACAAAGTATACATATATTCAGGTAATTTGAAGAATTGGAAATCCACTTCTTTGACCGTCAAAGAACTGACTTCACTCCTCACTATAAATATGTCCTTAGTGAAATGTTAGTGGGTTCCTACCCATTGAGTTTGGAGTGTTTGTCTAATAAGGCTGAGGTTTTAGGTTTAATTCCCAGCGAAAGAAATACTGATCTCTGTTAAATACAGACAATACTGTCCTGTGAGAAGGTTAGAGTCCTCAGGATATCAGTTTTAAACTGATTCTAACATTCATGTTGAACATGATGCAATTTTTCTCTAGAACAAGGCAAACAGTAGAAATGTTCCAATGGCGACTATGGATGAATGAACATGCAAGGGTAGGGCAGCAAACATGCCACAGTGTTGTCCGCCTGACGTACCATGTCTGTACAAGGTCGTGTTCACGCGACGAGTGTCATACTCCTCATGGCGAGCAGATCTACAATCGTCTGGGTTACCTCTCCTGCAAAAACAAACTCACTCTTGCAAAAAAAAAACCCATGTTGACCTACATAACTAAATATTTCACATATTGATCTTCACAACAAACACAATAACTTTTTTTTAATATTACAAAATAACAAAATATATCAATACATCCAAATGTATTGACTTTACGCCAAAAAAGACTGCAGTGGAATACATTTAATCTTTCATTTAAATATAAACATTCCAGTTACATATGTTAATGGAAGTCCGAAACATAAAATTGACATTTTTAGAAATAGAAAAATAATGTAGAAGAAAAAATCTGTATATTAACAGGGTAAAATGATTAGATAAATAAACATGAATACCTTGCAGGATCCACTATACGATAAACTTTACCATACGGTAAACCAGAACTGGCTTGGGATGTGGCCACCATATATACTTCACCTGGAAAATAAGTAATCAGTCAAACTACTCCGCAGAATACATCGATAAATTACAGGCCTAGTCCAGAATTCACAGGTATATATGTATTTGGTTTGGGATCATGGACAGTGTCTACAAAACATGCACCACCTTTAAGAAATATCTGTTGAAATGTTACTCATTCTGGTAAAACATTCCTAACCATTCATCCAAAATAAAGAGCAGACAACTCTAGCATCCAACATTGCGGTAACATAAATAAATCAGAAAAGGCATACCATTTTCTAGTTAGGAAAGATTTAAGCTTTTGTTCCGAAGACCTTGTCTAAGGTTATGTCATTGGAACTGATTCACAAAGTTTTTTGACATATTAAACACTATTTCTTTAACTATTTTATATGACCTGGATGGAATTATTCAGAGGTCATATTATGGAGGAAAACCTTAAAAAAAAAACAACCCGATTTTGAGGCAGGTGACCCCATACTTTACTGTCATATAATATTGTGTTCTTGTCTCAAGACAAATTTGGTCAAAATCCTGTCACAAAAACAAATATATGGAATTTAACAGATGGAAGAGGGTACTGCTATTTCCAATGAGGGACACCCATGATAAATCTTCAGTAACTATTGTTGTACTAGAACCTCAAAAACCCAGTATATACATTATAGTCATCCTACATCATTATTAATGTATGTAATTACCATCTTCATCCTCGCCGAATGATATGATGCTAGTCACGTACGTGGACTGTAGTGGGGGACGACACATCTTCGTGGTACACATTTGAAGTTCCTCATTCTCCCATTCCCTTGTTACCGGATCATGAATCAGTCTCCAGAGTTTCCTGAATACAGAATTATCAGATTTATCCAACAAACTAATTGATTTGACCTAAAAACCAGGTCTCTTCCAAAATGTATAATCTCACAAATTTAACAAGACAGTTATAAATCATTTCCATGCAACTGTTGAAGTCTACACATCAACACAAAATACAATATGATCACAATCAAGGGTATTAAGTCTTTCGGTTTTAAAAAAAAAAACTCACCCTGACACAAATTCTACCCTGTGATCACATCTGAGGTCTATAAATTCTTCCTGTAACAAAGCCCTCATCCTAACACAAATTCTACCCTGTGATCACATCTGAGGTCTATAAATTTTTCCTGTAACAAAGCCCTCATCCTAACACAAATTCTACCCTGTGATCACATCTGAGGTCTATAAATTTTTCGTGTAACAAAGCCCTCACCCTGACACAAATTCTACCCTGTGATCACATCTGAGGTCTATAAATTTTTTGTGTAACAAAGCCCTCATCCTGACACAAATTCTACTCTGTGATCACATCTGACGGTTATAAATCTTTTGTGTAACAAAGCCCTCATCTTGACACAAATTCTACCCTGTGATCACATCTGACGGTTATAAATCTTTTGTGTAACAAAGCCCTCATCCTGACACAAATTCTACTCTGTGATCACATCTGACAGTTATAAATCTTTTGTGTAACAAAGCCCTCACCTTGACACAAATTCTACCCTGTGATCACACTTGATTTCTAGAAATTTTTCGCGTAACAAAACCGTCCTGTGATCACATCTGATGGTTATAAATCTATACAATGAAGCCCTTACCCTGACATAAAATCCCCGTAAATGTAGAAGCCATTGAGATTTGGACTGTTACAGCCACGGTAGAAGTGTCCACCAGTCACAGACATGCCGATGCTATGAGGATAAGTATGGATGGGATCCTCCACTCCCCCTGATAAAACAACATCAGTCATCTGTATATAGTCAGGAAGATCTAATGCTAATTCACATCACAGGCTATAAACAGTGATTAAATCATGATGTTGTTATAGTGACATTTTCTCCTGTATAAAAAAGTTGAGTTGTATCTGTAATTAAGATGCTCTACAAACCAGATGCATGTCTGACAATTTGTAACTATATAAGCATAGCTGATAACATTGGCAACATTAAAAAAAAAAAAAGAACAACAATGTTTATAAGTTTTGGAGTGAATATGAAATTATGGTGTATGGATGGAAATTTGCGAGTAATGTACTGTATGAAGTTTTGATAATATTATTGTTTTTGAATTGTTAAAACTTTTTCTTGGAAAATGTAAAATTAAAAAAAAAACCATTGGCGACATAAATATGCAAAATATCAAAATAAACAAATACTATTTTTATTTCAGGTAGTTTCACTTTTTCCTTTAATGTTTAGTTACACGAATACCATATATGCTTGTCTACACACCTCTATAAGTCTGGCTACAAGTCTTTGTAGTACATGAGTAGTACATGTGTATTAGTCAGATATCCTTGTTAATAGAGAACTTCTGTCTCACCATTGGGAGCTTCCACTCTCATCATGATAATGCATCATGTAATTACATGTAAGTCCTGTCTTTATCACTCACTTATCGTATCACAAATATCAGGTCTGAAGCATGACATTCCTTCCAATGCATTCCACCCGTAGTTGGCTCCTTTCTTTAATACATCCAGCTCTTCATATGAGGACTGTCCTACATCTCCACAAACAATTCGTCCCTTGCCTTCACCTGAATGTATTCAACAGATGTAAATGAAAACCGAAACTGATGATAGTGGCAAAATGTAAACAGCAAAATACCAACTGGTTTCTCATTTCATCCTGTACAGCATGTAATTCTGCCATAAAGTCATGATTTACTTTATCATGCCCTTCTAACCAACATCCTCTGCATCAGATCACATTCCTACATTCACTCCCACCTTCTGAAAATATGCTCGTCTGCTAATTCATATTCACATCTCCTCAATTTCATACCTACTCACATCATCTTCCTCCCATACATACCCACCATGGGTGGTCATGTGACACAGTGGTAACGCACTCGCTGAATGAATGTGAAAAGGTATGAGGTCACCTGTCCGACCACGTGGGTTATCTCTGGGTACTCCGGTTTCCTCCCAAAATAAAACCCCTCGCACACTTCCATCCGAGCCAACAAGAGTGATTTATATAAGTTGGAAAAACTTGCTTTGCAAATGTTTTAAAATAAATAAAGTTTATTATTACCTCTCTCCCATACCTCCTCTCTCCAACACCTTCCCACATCTCCTCTCTCCCACACCTACCCACATCTCCTCTCTTCCACACCTTCCCACATCTCCTTACTTCAATACCTACCCACACCTACTCCCTCCCATACCTAACCACACCTCCTCTCTTCCACACCTAACCACACCTCCTCTCTCCCACACCTAACCACACCTTTTCTCTTCCACACCTACCCACACCTCTTTCCCACACCTAACCACTCTTCCTCTCTCCCACACCTACCCACACCTCCTCTCTCACACACCTACCCACACCTCCTCTCTCCTACACCTACCCACAACCCCTCTCTCCCATACCTACCCACAACTCCTCCCTCCCATAACTACCCACACCTCCTTACTTCCATAGCTATGAACACCTCCCTCTCATTCCTACCCTCCTTTTCTCTATACCTACCCACACCTCCTCTTTTCCTTTACTTCTTACCTCTATCCCATACCTTCCCACATCTAGTCCCTTCATTCCACACCTCCTTCCTCCAATACTACCCACACCTCTCCCCCATACCATTCCACACCTCCTTCCTCCAATACTACCCACACCTCTCCCCCATATCATTCCACACCCTTCCAATATCTACCTATACTTCCATCCTCCAATATCTACCCATACCTCCTCCCTCCCATACATACCACACCTCATTTCTTTCCTGACAACATATCCCTCATTTGTTCCACCTACCAGTGACTGGGTCACCCCGATCTTTCCCACACCTCCACATATTTCTGACGCCATAGGCGTAGATTTCTGGACGGACTCCATCCTCATCCACAAAGGGGTTATCTGGTGGGATCCCATAAGGTCTCCATCGAGGTTGTCTGTCTATATCTATCCTCAGCACCTTGCCCAGAAGTAGGGATCTGTAGTTAGCATAGTACAACATTGTTTAAATGGTTTAAACACCTAATCACTGAAAGTTTGTGGTTTTTTCATATAGGATATCCAACTTTCTATCTATACTGCTTAAGATCAAATATAAAACATGCACAACCACAATGGACATCATGGCTTTCATTTTCATTTCAACTTAATGACAACTTTTATTGAAATATAAAAGCATATCAGGGTAAAGTCCTTGCTGAATTAAGTATTGGTTGACCAAGGCCGGTCACCTAAATCAATACAAAGCTGATACAACGAAGACGATACACTACAAATTTCGGCATCTTCATCCTGCACTGAGATAGTAAATAAAGTTTAAGAGTTTCTTGAAATATTCCAAGTAGAAAGGCCATATTTCTGGAAAATTAACACAGCTGTAACAAAAGTTCACCCTTGTTTGCCCAGATGGAAACAAGTAGAGCTTAACATATTCCTTCGAGTGTGAGAAATATTGTATTTTCTAGTACAGTTATCTCCCTTTCATGAAACACTGCTATGCTGTTACCTGTGTCCCACTTCTGTTTTGATAACCAATGGTATGTTAAATTATAATTATGATCACTGACACTCTAATATATTTTTGTTCAGAAATATTTAGCATTGAAGGTATGGGTGGTAGGATGCAAATATGCTTCGACCATAAGCAAATAACTTGTTACCAATGGAACAATTGACCTTGGTAATGAGCATACCAAACATAAACGAAACAATGACATTGTCAGTAAGAGGAAAACAGCAGACAATGAATTTGATTCAATCTTAGCTACATTTTGTATACATCAATGTGGCATGACTATGTAACCCTGGTAAAACACTAGCCGCAATATACTACTCGGCTAGAGAGAACTTCTCTTTCGCTCGATTGGTTGAGCGTCAGACTAGTAAGCCAGGGGTCCCCGGTTCAATTCCTAGTGGAGGCAATGAAATAAATAATGACCTGTGTTACATTGGCGCCCATGTAGGGACCCGGGAATAGTACTTAGCCATGCCCCACCGGCGTCGCTCTGACCCCTGGAAACTCGAGGACGAGTTATTTCCTGTGGAATATACCACTCGGCAATTGAAATAAATGAAATAAATAATGACCTCTGTTACAACTGTGCTAAATCTCATTTGCTTCATCTACATATGAAATTATGATAGATATCTATGTCTTGTTTTGGTGCGATACCTTGTTTAGGTTAATACATAACTGACCCATCCGACCAACGATATGCTGTATTGCTTTGCCCTTTTAAGGCTTTATCTTTTTCCTATATGTTTAAAATGTGGAAATTTACCCATCGGGGAAATTTATACTAAATACATGAAAGTCATAAGGCCGCGTAAATTGAAAATGTCAAATTAACCAGTCCTGGAAATAATTACATTTGTAGATATGGTGTGCAGTAATCCTTATTCCTAATATAAATGCCAGAAATAAAATGCTCAGAAATGTAATATATTTTAAGCTTGTTTTGTGAAAAGGAAAATATAGATTGTACTGCTTTATTAAACCTAGTTAAGATCTAGTTAAGATATAGTTATGATCTAGTTATGGTCAAGTTAGACTTGGTTATTTAAGATGACCAACCTTAGCCACAACAAGTAGCTAGCACCCTATCTCTTTGTCAGGTATTTTTTCATGTTGTTATGTGGTACCAATACCTTGGGAAAAGATAAAAATACTATACCAACAGTACTCTCTACCCTGTGTGTGTTACTGAAACAATTAACAGCCATGTGGTACTCATGATGTTTGTGTATCACAGGGGCACTCTACTCCTGACTCAGCAGTCCTGCATGTCTGACTATTAATTTGACATTTTTATTAGTTAAGTAGAATTGGAAGTATTCAATTGCTGTAGAGATAAAGAGGACATGTAATTGTCATTACAATTACATATAAAAAAAATACACAGTTATTCTGTAACAGCTCTTCATTGTAGTATGGAGTTAGGTCAAGCCCAGCAGTCACTAGACAAGTGTAGCATAATTCTTAGTTAAATGCATTTTGGTGATTTTTAGGTGAGAATTTCAAAATAAGTCATTTTTAACTTTTCAATTTCAACAATAAAATGGTGGCCTCAAACTCACGTCCAGTTTGGGAAAGGGGTTGTCCTCTACACACTGTCATTCTCTTAAATTACTGACATTGTTAGAATCAAGGATAAGAAGTATAAAATAAGTCATTTTTAACTAATTTCAACAATAAAATGTACCTAAACATCATAGAAAAAAACATAGAACGATAATATAAGGGGTTGTCCTCTAACATGAAAATAAAATTTAACTAATTTTCTTTCATAGTTAGCAAATGCAAGTTTATTGATGCAAGAAACTACAGGATTATTTTCAGGATCATCGTTTTTTTGAGATCGGCTTGTTTTCAAGTTTTTAGGGTATATAAGTTAATTCTTTTGAAGTTTACCTGTTCTGGGACCGATTTTCTGGATCCCCTGCTGCACCTCCATCACCCACAAACAAGTAAAGGTAGTTATCGTCACCAAACAGAATCTGTAATAAATAAAGTGGATACCACATATATATATATAACTATTTCACCTCTGAAAATCTTCACAATGCCAGGTAACATCTCATAAATTATTTAATCTTAAAGTCAAACAGAATTGATCAATGAAAGAGATTCTGCACATAACCTGAAATCCAATGTCCGCTTTTAACTTTAAAGATCTCCTGGGCTAAATATATATTAAAAAGTGGGACAAGTGACAACCACAAGAATGTGCTTTCAAACAGGATATCTGATTAGAAGTGGTTATATGATACTGTTGTGTAAATGTTAGTGTTACATCCAACTGGACATGGAAGTTAGCCCCTTTCAATACAACTTTAGATTTAGATGCACTAGAGCTAATCAATGACATAAACAGCATCATACAGCTGTTTCATCATTTTTGGACTTATCATTGAGGCTCAGGGCTGGTGGTTGAAGAAAGCTAAAAGTGATCAAAGATTCAACAATCATTATTTTACTGTTACTGTTCAGGGCTCTCACACCCCATTTTGGGACTGGGGCCCGGAGCCCTTAGAATTGGGAAAAATAACGGCGTTTTCATTAGAATTGGGAAAACTTGGGGTCTAAATTGGGAAAAAAAGATACTATTTTGCACTGGGAATGGGGTCGAATATCGGCACCAAATCTGGCAGATCGAGAGTACTGCCGTTATAGGCAAATAATTGAAAGGGAAAAATAAAGTCAGGTACAGAGAGAAAAAAGATCTACTAGAACAGATCACTCATCTACATTTTAATGGTGTTTAGAAACTTAACGCTGATATGCTAGGAACAGGAATATCAGTCGAAATCGTCCATTTTCTTTCACTTTATATTGAAGAGGACTTGTTAAAAATTGTAGCAGCACTCTGCCTTAGAGTGGTTTCAGATCCTCTGGCAGACTCCACTTCCTACATTTCTTATCACACACACAGTCAAGATGTTAATGATGATCAAATGAAACCTTAACAAATGAGAAACATGATAGCCAAGACACAGGCTTTATGGGTCAGTTAGATTTGAAACAGAAACAGTGTACAGTACTTGACTGCTGTCAAATTAAACTCAATTAGATTTGGCCGTGAACTTTTAGTAACTAGTCAGGAAAATCTTCATTATCAGCTGTAAAAAACAGAGTCGAGGCTCTTTTCCGTTACCAAAACTAAAACAAATAAAAGTCTTAATTGTCTTCTAATATGATACAATCTTGAAAAAAGAATTAACTTTGTAATTCAAAGTTGTATGAGAAACCAAATTTTTTTTCCTTATGTCTAATAACAAACATTGCTCGACAAAAAAATAAGGAGAAGCCTAGCGACCTCAACAGTTGCCTGAGTAAGCAATATATACAAAATATAAAGGTTAAAGGTTAAGTAGCTTTCAAGTGTCACGAAAAGAAAATTGTGACACTGATGATAGTAAGCCTGTGTTAGTACATGCATACCATCAAAACTGTCACCCTAAACTAATAATTTTTAACAAGTTATTTCCAATGGAAAATAATGTCGGGTCAAAAAATGCAATTTTCCTATCAAAACTCCCCTGGGGAAAATGTGAGACCCTGGGGCCATGAAATTCACAGTTTTGGTAAAGCATCTCGAGACGTTTTCATCTCTGACGAGCATTTGATTCTACCATATCTGGGTGTTGAGAAGATTTTTAAAATTTAAGTCAATTTACTGCTTTTGGCCCCTCCCCTCATGGCCCTGAGAGTGGGAACCATATTGTTCACTATTTTGGTTCATCTTTGGCTGAAGAAGGTTTGTGCAAAATTTCAGTGAAATCAGTCTAAAATGGAAAAACCTCATGGCGCTGGAAATCAGTGAGGTCAATATGACGTTTTGTTTAAGGTGACCAAAAATGAAAGTTATTAGAAACTTCTAGGTTTCTTGGTGAATAAGTGATCAGAAAAATAGATTTTGTGAGAAAACCAATCGAAATGGTTAATATATATATATCTATGTAAAAAATATAGTTAATGACGATACACAAGTTATAATATAAAGAAAATTGTTTAAAAAAAACACACAAGAAAAAGTTAAGTTAGAATTTATACACATGACGTCATAGATTCTTTGCATGGTTACATTGCACTGAGGAGCAGCTAAGCTGTGAAAAAGTTATGCAAAATGCTAACTTAACTTTTTCTTGTGTGTTTTTTTAAACAATTTTCTTTATATATATATATATATATTGTATATAGAAGCCCAAGAGACAGTTGTGAACGAAGGGCCATCAATTCTGTATTTCATGTTACCAAGAACCATGACTCTATACAAGTATATAGGAAGGGGAATAACTCTGTATAAATGTGTACAAATAGCCATATAAAATCTATAAGCTTGTATTGATACTTACAAATGACCTTAATTTTATGTGCGTATGCATACAATGGGAGAACACAATGGAGCAGTTTGGTATAAATCAATTGCCATCCTAATACGTGTCTGCCTGTTGGTATCAAGTAATGAATAAAAAATGATAGTTAACTTGTTTGTCAGAAGTGACAGACTGGAACAGATTGAGAAATAATCACTGTGTTATGTTGTAGTGTAATAATACTTATTAGACACAATTTGAATTTAGGAACTGATACAATTTATATAGAGATACTAGCTGTGAGCCCTGTATATGATCAGAATAAAAAAATTACAGACATTAACATCTGACTGAATAGACACAAATCAGGAATCAGTTAAAGATAGAACATTTATGTAATTAAAAAATAGTTACATGGAAGCTTTGGAATTATATGTGGGTAACTACTGAGAAAATTTCAAACTTTGATGGTTTGGAAGATCAATGAAGTCCTCAAGCTGTATAGAAATCAAAGGACATAAAAATATCATTAAACATAATGAACCACAATATTTCATTTGTATCAGAATGTAAGTGTTCACAAATTTCAGAGATGCATTTAAACTGACGATTTTTTATGTACTGTTTTAACTAATATTGTTAAAAATTAATAACGCATGTACTTGGTGTTCGTGCTAATGTGTGGGTCAGGATATACTCGTTTGGGGTTAAGCCCTCAAACAAGACAGTCAGCCAGCTACCTTTGGTATGTACTGATCGATTATGTAGATAAAGCAACCAACTTTTTTTCTTATCACCATTTAGCTTTTCTTTTTTCTAAAGTTGTAATTAGAAGAAACATTTACATACCCCTAATGATAAAATCACCTCACAGTGGAGATCAAACTATCGCAAGAAACACAGATGATTCATTTTGCTCATATTTTTAAAAGAACGTGACTTCCTTAAGTGAATATTGACCTAGAATGCCAGTAAGTTTTAATAAAGATCTGATCAGAGAGAAGGTTTGTTTTATCAGAAGAAATGTTTCGCCATTATAGATGATATGTAAATGATGTACTGAGTAACATGTTGTATATAATTATATAAAAGTAGAGACACCTGCTGTGTACAGGTATATTTACTGTAAGACAGAAAAAATACAGAAAAGAAAATCTAAACTGCATCAAGTATCAAAGACATTTTCTGTAATCTTGGAAGGCATTAGTGTAACAGGAAGGAGTATTGAAAAAAATACCCTCGTTGCCCCTGGTTGATGTCAAACAACGCTCTAGCAACTCTTTGGATTGCAGAAATTCTACCGCTTGGCTATGCCACGAATGCCCAAGTAAAATCCAAGACTAAATTTAAGTGACCTGTTGTTTTTTTTAACTCAACAAAATTAATTCAGGTCATAACAGATTGATTATGTTACTAAGGTGATCTTCCATCTTGTTACAAAGACAATAAATAACCCAATCAGATCAGAGGTGCAAACACATGTGGATAAGAAACGTAATCAACATGATAAGAAATTTTTTATGTTTGGAATATGATCTTTCGGTAATATTTGTATCGGACTGTTATCCCGAGACCCAGCAGCTGACTATGATAACAGGTTTGATACTGTACACATCAATCATAATTTTTTTTTTATTTATTGTGGTCCTCCAAAGAAATACTTACTACATCAAAAGTTATCATTTTATTTATCAGCAATAAGAAATTGGAACAACTTAATCTCATAATGGATGAGATTAAGGAATGGCTTGCCACCTATAAATAAAAAATACAAAGTGTGGATGTCTCTCACAATAAAGGAAACCCCTACTCTCATAAGTGTCCATGTTTCACTCCGTTAATATAATGACTGATGACAGAAATCAAGCACTGATATAGAAGCACTGTGGAATATTGGCCAAAAAGACATCCCTTTTTATTTTTGGGGGTGGGGTGGGGGGGGGGGGGGGGGAGATTTGTTTCAATAAATTTGACCTCAATCTTTGACCTTCACTTGCAAACCACTTTAAAGATAATAATTTGTACTCTGATGTGATTTTAATGTTGATCATTAGCAATCAGCAATGTTTGTGGTATTAATGATACTGATGGGAGTAAATGACAGTAATTGAAGGCTCGTAACATAAAGATAATATAAACCCTTCCTTCACCTTGTTTTTACCATCCAAACAGTCCTCAGTATTAGCAAAGTCATCCCTTTTTTAAGCACATAAAACATTTGATAAAAATTAACCAAATATCTTCTGAGATGTTCTTGGAAAGTTTTTGCTTTCACATATGTGTCCCTCTCCCAGGGTCTCTTAAGAGAAAAAAGAAAGGAAATGTGGTATGGATTTAGTGTTTTCTTCAATAAATGATTTCAAGTGCCTTCGATTTTTAAATTTCATCAAAATCTGACAAAAAAGCTGAAAACCTGCTTGCTGGTCCTTAGTCTACCATTGAATTCCTTTGAGTGTTTAAAGTGATCTAAAAAAAATTTAATTATTGAATTACAATTAAAACTCTGCCTTTATCAGAAACTGAGGGTAATCTATTTGATATGATTAGACCTAAATGACCTGTATCTTTCATACAGATTTTGTGGTTTATCTGTAGACCTGGCAGACCTCCAGACAGAGACATGTGATCCTGTAGAATATATATGCTGACACTAACAGTTCTCAATGGGGAATGAAATCAAA